ATTACGAAGGCTACTGTAAACGTGAGTCACCGTACTTGTGTTGTCGTGTTTGATACCTTTTATGGTTACAAAATTGCACAAAATATTCTTATTGGTTTTGTGTTGCGCCGCGGACAACTATCACCGGCTGTTTTGGATTCTCATAAGCTGGCAACTGGAGCGACAGGTAGGCAACTAATAATTCACGTCGTCCATCCTCTTTCTCGGCGTATAAGACCTAAATATATAAATATATATATATATATATATATATATTTATTGTTGTACTTGCATTTTTTTTCTATTGTGAGAACGAATTTACATGAAAAATAATCCTCATAAAAGAAGGTTATTTGCTACGTCCGGCGACGGCGAGACGAGTTGACACAACATTCGATCGGGTCTACTGACAAGTGACAAACCGTGACAATTGTATGATTAAGACATTACATACGACTTATAATCGTTACACGCAATGTATGTCAGAAATGTGCTCATGGGCGGCGTTCGGTAAATTTAATAATTTTCTCTATTTTTATGAACTACAGAATGTAGGGACGTTATTAAACGATGAAATACGACTAGAGTGAATATTGATAATCAAATCAATGCGAATGAATCAAGATAATTAAAATTAAAATGTTATGATTTGTGTATAGCTACATTTTTGTGACTATTTGGGGTAATAATGTCGTTATACTTCGTCAGTTACTTATAATATAGGCATTTTAATTCGATAAACAAACAAGGATTCATTATCAATCCTTAAAGTTTATGCTAAAGTATGCTCTAGAGACAAAATACAATATTAGTAATAAATAATTAAACTAAAAAATAAAGAAAGCAAACATTTGACTCAATAAGTCTTCGAATCGAAAAGAATTAACATTATTAATTGATATCCAAGATAAAACATCTCTATTTTAAAGTAATCCGATTTTGATATACTTACCTACATTTCCAATAGATTGGCAGTTCGTAAAATTCTCTAGAAATGAGATCTCTGTAGTTTGATTATTTTGCCTAATACTCTTTTTCTACATATTGTTCTTTAATCAATCCAATCCGATTTTCATGTCTTGACTTAAAATATATATTTGTTGTGTTTTATTATCTTATTGTTTGAAAACAAGCACATACGAAGTACAAGACATTGCTTTAGAAGTCACTTTTAGTTAATATTACGTATGCCTGGGTCTTTTAAAAATTTAACTATTGCACTACTAAAGGTTATATTTGCACTTTGCAGTGACACAATTTCAAGTTTTGAAAAGGCGGGGTTAAAAATTCTGCCGGCCAGACCCAAAAAGTAGCATTATTACAGGCCGATATCCAACTGCAAGCCAATCTATACATGTCCTGGTCGGACAACAGTCCATGTTCGGGCAGATACCCTGTCAGTCACCGTTCTGATTTAAACAAGTGGAGGGGAGGGAGGAAGCAAATTTCCATTTTTTTTTTTTAAATATTTATCATATTAAGAATAAGGCTATTCCTTTCTCATAACAAATTAGTTGAAATTTTAGCTTCGAAGGTATTAAAACAAGCGTTCCAATTATCCACCAATGCATTTGTATGTAAAAAAAATTGTCATGCAGATGGGGGTTTATAAACTCTTGAGTAATTTTAGAGTAAAAAGTAAAAACATCTTTTATAATTTATTAAATTTAAAGAATTTAATATTTACAATCAAGGGCGTCCATTGTATAGTTTCCAGGGATGAGGCTGGAGGGGCAATCATATAGTGAATTAAGAATTATCAAACTTTTGCTCAAGTCGTTATCAAATAATTAGTGATTATTCTTATACATACTCGCATCCATCCAGGAGGGGCATGCCACCCTTGCCTACTCTGATCGGAGTCCATGATTCTGAAAGTTGTACAGTTTGTGGACTTCAAAATTAGTACCGAAACTTTAGGTATTGTAAAATATACAAAAAGGTTTTTGTTAATGAACTAGGTTTAATGAAGCTCTTGCAATATTTAACGATAATCCTTCATTATTCAATCAGATCTATAGCTATCAGTTTTTTTTTTTATAAATAGCCTTTATTAAAAAAAATATGATGGCTCAACAATTACAAAATATTATATAACCAAATTAGAAAAACGTTACAATAGGTGACGTGTACATAAAGAAATGTACAAACAATGTAATATAAAATACAAGAAGTATAGTTAAGTTAAAAATAAATAAAACTATATAGAATAACCAGAGCTCAGGATGAAGGATATCGTGGCATTAGTTACAGGAACAACACGGGAATTAAGGATGAGAACTGGGTTAGGATTAGAGATGCCATGCGAGGCAAGGAAATTAAAAAAATAAATTCTTTCGGAATATAGGGAAGGACAGTCAAAAAGGAGATGGAAGAGGATAGCTATCAGTTAAAATTTATTTTTTGCTAAAATTCGAATTAACTGGTTATGGTCGTTCAACGAATCGGTATATATTATTATTATTTCATATAAATACCTAAAAGTTGATATATTTGCGCTTTAAGAAATAAAAATCAGAAAACGTAGAAAGAAAAAACATTTGTGGATTATTAATATGATGTCACTGAATCCTTAAAAACCTAATATTTACGTATAAAACTGTACGAGTAAACAAAACCTATTATAAAATTTAAAATTAACTATTAAGTAAGACTTTAAATGATTATGTTGCGAGAACACATATCACAGTTTTACTCATATGTTTATATGGGTCACAGTCTATTTTTGTATTTCGTAAATGGTAATTTTAGAAAAAAATATCTGTAAAAAATTATTTTCACGCCAGATGTTATAGACCTTGATATATTATGTAAATAATTTGATATCTTTATTCTTTGCAAAATTGTATACACTTGTATAGTGTTTATTTATATTATAATAAGTACCCTTATTAAAATAGTTAATTGTTTTTTTATTCATCAGCGATTGGGATGTTTTATTTAACAATAAAATCAAATAGTTCTAAGCCTTAAGGACTAGGTGCCATGTCTGGTATAGAAAAACTCCAGAGAATATTATTAATAATACCACCTTTAAAAAACGGGTTTTCTGTTGGTACTTTTGTAAAAAATGTAAAATGTTTAAAATTCTTATATTTATGGATTTTTACAGTAAATAAGAAATCATTTCTGCAAATCAAGTGTTTAGCAATTTTGTGTTATTCTATCTGTCAATCTTCGATAAGACAGGTTTGATAGCTGTTAATTTTATAATTTACCAACTTAAACTATTAAAATGAAAAAAAAAACTTGTTTCTTTAGATTTTAGTATTTAGTAAAATTGAATCATGTTATAATAAATAATATAGCCAAGCATAACAATTTATTGTTCAAGCATAATCCGAAATTTAAATTCACGGAAATTATGCATCAGTGGGCATTTTTGTGAATAATATCACTAATGATTCTCAACAAAAAATAAACTATAAATATTCTTCTAAATAGGAGGTATTTAACATTGTAGTTCAACCAAAAACTTATTAATGGAAAAATAATTAATAAATACTATAAACCTTAAAATTTTATAAAATATCTGGTTTGGCAGCATGTAAAATTTAGCGAATAAATAAATAAAATATATTATGTACCTGACTTTAATTTAACAACATAAGACAAGATAAATAGTATCAATAAATGTTTATACCAGAGAAGTAATTCGATGACCGATGGTACAAACAGCTTCTATGCTTGGTGGAAATTAAACAATAATTTAACAACATTCTGAGCATCGTAATTGCATAACACAAAATGTCTCTACCCTTTAGCAATACTTTTAACACCAGGCATTAAAACGTAAAATAAATAAGAAAGACAAATAATTAAAAAGAAGTTTTTCTATTATAATAACATGTATATTATGTAGGTATATAATGAACATAAAAATAAATTTACAAAATGGATCTCATAATTTATCTGTACATTAAAAATTAAATTACATAATACTAATATACCATATTATTATAAATATTTTTATGATTTCGTAGCCTAATGACTATAAATGAAATGAAATAAATATTATAATATATCATGAATACAGTAAGTTTTGAGCCACTATTATATTTACAGAATATTAATTAATTATTTTCCTATACATATAAGACATATATTATTATTAAAAAAAAAAATCAATAACAATATTATGCTTCTTTATAAGTATATAGTATATACAACATAAGTTTTAAATACTAGATAAAAAAAAAAAAAATACAAAATTATTATAAATAATGGAAGATAGATCACAGATAAGATAATATTACATGGGCCACACACAATATTGACAATACATCAGATAAAAAAATTATAGTCATCATAATATAATTTACTACCAATCAATAGAATCACACATGGTTGTGTGATGATAAATTATTAACAAATTTAATTATAATAAGAATAGGTAAATATTTCACTATCAGAACTCTTATTTATAGATCTTGGTCCATAGGTAACATTTTTTTTGTGTAACATTATTTAACGTTTAACAAATGCTAAAAATCTATCAAACTCGTTTATTTACATTTACATATAGTTACACTTGGAAATTACAAAGCTTATGGAAATATTTATGTTTCTACAAAGTAAATAGGTACGTTTAAATACATTTACTAAGTATAACATCAAATTATTATATTATTTATACAACTATGTATTATTTAAATTGAGATTGAAATTAAATAAAAAAGTGTGTTTCTTCATTACTAACATCAGTGTTAGAGTGTAAGTTTACTATTTTAACTTCTTATAAATTTTAATACAACACCAAAAATTAGAAATATTTAACAAAACAATAAATTAGATATAACATAAGTTTGATATCAACATATTATTTCCGATGTTCAATTTAATAAAGTACATATAGTTTTTTTACGGAATCCATAAAAGAGTTTATATATATGAAAAAAAAAAAAAATAATAATGTAAAAATAATCAGACCTTACATTATAAACTTGACAAAAATAATATATCATTAAAACCTACTAGTATGTTTATCTGATAATAAAATGTAATACACGAAGAACAAAATATACATTGTATTAGAGATACACTATTTTATTATATCAAAATGTAAGATAGTAAAATTGAACACTGTGTTTGTTCGACAACAAATAGTAATAGATAATCAATACAGAGATGATCATACATTTTGTTCGCTTGATTTGTTTAGACTAATAAAATTATACTTAAGTTAAATGAAAAAACATTATTTTGTCCTTTACATAATGTCATTTAAGTTATTGCTGGCAACAGATTATTGGCAAATTAATTGTAACATTTATTTTAAAATTAAAAAATCAAAATTACTTTTAAAATTCAAAATATCAGTCAAATTGTTTTACATAAGTTTAAGTAATTGGTTTTTGATTTTAAATGGTATATAAAATAATAATACAAAACTATAAGACATTTCAACTCGGGTATATGTGAAAGAAACAAATTATAATATACAAATATATTTATATATAAACATAGTTAAAAGTAATTTAGTCATGGTAAAATAAAGAAACTATGTAATAGTTTAAATTATTAACATTCTTATTAAGTACCTATTCAATTACAACATTTTGTAAAAAGTGAAACATAAGATTATAAATGCATTAGATAAGGATAATTAGTTAACTAGTTAAAATCTTTAAGAGTTGGTGACTCAAGACGATGGTTTACAGTTATTAGTATTTTTTTTAAATCATGTTACTGGAAACATTATTTTACATCCAATAAACAATTCCTAAAGAAATAATAACAAATAATAGAAGTATAAACCACAACTCCGAAAGCAACAGTCTTTATGTTCAAAATATATTTTTCTTTGTACACTCTCATAAAAAATAAAATAAAATAAATAAATAACAACATAGCACCAACTAACATACAAAGGAAAAAAACAATTTATACAAAGTAACAGCCTGTAGGACAACTTAAGTATTTTATTGAGTCTTAATAAAATATATTTATGTTTGTAAAATTAAATTTAAAAAAAAACTATTTGTTGGGAATGAATATTTATAAACAGTATTTATGTTCGTTCAAACCATAATAGGGTCCTCATCACTATCCAATGTATTGTTGTTTGACCGTTTTACTTTTCTTGTAACATTTCTTAATTTAGCTTTACGACTGCCTATTGTATTTGTATCTAGGTAAATAATAAAGGCATTAAATAAGCTCTCATTTAATAAATATAAATACCCAACTCACTTGCATCTACATCATCTAAACTTCCATCATCAGTTGATAAGAGATCATCATCAGAGTTGGTACGTCGTAAACTTGGTAAGTTAGATGTTAAAAAGTCTTTTTCTTTTCTAATTTCATGTATCTGTCCAACTAACATTTTCTCTTCCTCGTCCATTTTTCCGGGTCCTTCAGATGGTCCATAAACCTAAAAAAAAAAATTATATTATTTATAACATTTAATATAATATTTATGTATTTATTTATATAAAATGTATGTACTTTAGAGATACGCAAAGAAGACAAACGATGGGTGGCAGTATGATGAGCAGTATCTAACGTATCTATATCAGCCAATGTCGATTTAATTTTATCCATTTGGTGGCTTATAATTGAGCTGATACATAAAGTCTGCTGTTCAATGTCACGCAATGATTCTTGTGCTGGCACTAATTTGTTAGTTCTTAAAACACAAGGAGCGAAAACTATAGCCAATGAACTAGCATTCATGCGATTTACATTCTCATGTAACGCCACTCTGCAATGAAAATAAAATTGTTCTGAATTTAATAAATATGAATTAATATATTTATATATATACCTTGCAAGATGAAACACTAATCTTTCCATTAAATCATAATTGACTTTTGGCAGCTTTTTTAATATGTTAAATAAAGTTGACACACGATCTTCTGACAAACTAGCAGCACGAATAAAGTCATCATAGCAGTCAAATGTTAGTAATGGCTCTGGCATGTCACGTAGGAAAGATTTAAGAACACTAGCTAATACATGAACCTGAAATCACATTATTTTTATACCAATATCTAGTAAATAATTACTAAGAAGTAAAGTTATTATCTGTTATGAAGGATTAAATTGAACATACCTGATATTTTTCAAATTCTATTTTGCTAACATCATTATTATCAATAAGCTCCTTGAGTTCATTTACTCGGGTGGTAAGCTAAAAAAATGGAATAATACTTATTACATTTAGTGATAACAAAAAAATAACAATGTAAGTTTGGTTTACTTACACCTGGTTTACGATAAATGCCTTCAGTGTACATTCCATACATTTCAATTATAGTAATAAGACACTCTACAACAGCAGGTACTTTACCCATACTTAAGTCTAATTGGCCTAATGGTCGGCCAAATACTTTTCCCTTGGCTACACTACCACCTTTTGGCTGGATATTTGATGAGGAACTTACGTCTTTTAAACACTCTTTATTAGCACGAGGATAGCATTTTTTATGGCACGTCAATTTACAATCTAAAATTAATTATTTTAATTTCAGTAATTATTTAAGTAATGACAAAATAAATACTTATTCTTTTACTTACTTCGGCAAACCAAACTCCTTTCAATTGGCCACAGGAAAAATGATGTGCAAACCTCACATGCTGTAGGTATATTGATCATACTCATTTGTAGCACATGACCTCCATGAACAATATGATCTTCAGACTTTTGTTTTTTCTCTTTTTTGCGTTTCCCTTTGCTTGGTTTTTCAGTTTCAACACGATTCTGATTCATAAACTCGTTCATAAAGCCTCGAAATGCATTCACACATAGAGTAACTGGAAAATCATCCTGAATTTTCTCATTACCACAGACCGTCTCAATAACCTAATATAGTAGTAGAAGCAAATTAAAGTTTAAAATGTTGTGGGTATATTATTTTTTAAATGATTCTTACATGCAAGAAGTTGGCTATTAAATCTTTATATTTTATATTAAGGACTTGTCCACTTCCTTGCTTGTTAGCGACACTATAAGTGGCAATAAGGTTGTCTTTAAATTCACGCAACGCTTGTTTGAATATCTTATCAACCTGCGATGGTTTTTTAACTTCTTCTCGTTCTATTTTGTATAACTAAAAAAAATAATTGTTTTCTATAAATAGTTGAATCAGTTGTTTTCACGATTAAAGTATAGTTCAGCTTATAATTATGATATTATTGAACTAAATTTTATTTTGATGCATAACTGTCGAAATAGGTGGTTACAATATTTATAACAAACTTTAAATTAAAAATAATAATTATACTTAGTTTGTACTGTAAAAAAAATTGTTTTTTTGGATTTATTAAATCCGTGGTTGATTAATTATTTGGATAAAACAAATGTATTATTTAGTTCAAGATGTAATTTTGTAATGACTTAGAATCGCTCATAACAAAAAGTAGGCTGTATGATTAATTCTGGGTCAAGTCTAAGACATTTCAGTTTCATAATGTCAATTTTCGTAATCAAATTCCACCTTTTTCAGCTTCAATGTTTTACATTCAAGCCAAAAAAACAACGAAAAACTACAGGACGTAGGTTTTCTTCAAAATATGCGAATAACATTAATTAAAATTTCTTCCAAATATGCATAGGTATGCACAACTTTTGTGAAATTTGACAACTATTGTCTAATTTTGGTTCATTATAATAGTAAATTATAATAAAAACCACTGCCAAATAACGTCCTCAATAACGAATTCTACTTAATAGAATTCTACACTATAGAAACTAAATCACGATAAAAAAAAATAGGTTGCCAGGGTAACATAACCAAAACAAATATCTTATCAAGGCCTAAAAAGTTTAAGGTAATTTTGACTGATAACAACAAAAATAGTCACATAATTTTTACAACTTAACATTCCATATTTTACAGTTAAAAAATGTTTTTTTTTGCCTTATAAAGTAACTTTTATGTACTATTTCTGATTATAGACTAGATATGAAGAAATGTTTCAAATAATAAGAAAAAAAATACATTAGAGTAAAACCGATACTTTCTCAGCTCTGAGCTGAGAACTGGAGCAAAAAAATGTATTGATTGTTGATAAAGCTAAATATTAAGTAGTAGTTAGTACCAATCTATGTTACTTAAGTAAAAAGTATAACTTAATGTAAAAAAGAAGGGAACTATTTCATACATGGTATAATTTAGTAGATCAGTACATAGTTATTAAAACTTATAAAATACGACAACTCTGATTTGGACGCAATAAATAAAATATTGTTAATCCAGGTTTGCATCCAAAATTGGGTTACCAAAAAATTATAAGGCATGATTTGTGACTAGGCATTTTTTTTTTAAATCGTTCATCAAAGGTGTTTTACAAAAGTTAAGTTGGATAAAGTTGCAAAGATTTATTTTTTTTTTATCGAAATCGTGAAAAATATTTTAAGAATTGACAAAATTGTCAACTTTGAAATACGACACGATTAAAACAGATACTCGTCTCGTACATAATATATAATAAAATACATGAATATTGTAAGTCTTTTTATGTATATAATGATACAAATCAATATATTATATCATTGATTTAAAATAAATATACAGTTATAAATATTTTAGAGATAAATTGTATTTTTATTTTTAACTAACTTCAACAGAGTTAAAATTTTGAAGTGACCTAGATTCTTAATGAATTTATTTAGTTTTTAAGTACACCAATATAAAATATTTTCCTTTGAAAAATCAATATTTATTCTCAAAATAGTGGGGTTCTAAGTTGTAGCTCTTTGTTAAATAAATAAAATCATTATTAGCTGCACGCATATAGACACAAAAAATACTGGGTTGGTCAGTGAAAAGTGGGGACATATTTCAACCACAACATAAGGGACGATGGTAACTACATCAGTCAAAAATAGTCTAGTTGGCTAGTATTACTCTAGTTGCTTTACAACACATTAAAACAAAACTAATATTTAAATAAATTTGTTATGTCAGAAATAATGTCAATGGACTTGTTCACTCGGGAAAATCCGGTATTCGAATGTTATGCATTTTACAGCAGTATTTTGATTATAAAAATGATAGCAATGTCACTTTTAACGGCTTTCCAAAGAATGAGAAAAAAGGTGAGTCTTTTATTTTATTACATAGAAATTATTATTAAAAAAATAAATAAATAAAAAAATACTTTTAGAAAAAATAGAAAAAAGTGAACTAAAAATAATTCACTAAAAGAACAATTTACCAATCAATTGTAGTACATTTTTTTAAAATGTCAATTTCTTTGAAAACAACCAAAAATTAACTTAATTAAAAAAAAAATGACAAACGTCTTTAATTTTTGACTAAAAATAAAAGCGTAGGCCCTATTCAATAAAGCCCCTCATAAATGTATCAAATTTCAGATAATGTTTTATATTGTAAGTTGTTTTATAATTTAAATTTGGTTAAATATTAGTGTGTGACACATACATTTCATAACTCAATGAAATTTGGACTTTGTTGAATAGGGCCCACGCTTTTTTTTAGTAAAAAATTAAAGATGTTTAACATTTTTTAAATTGAAGTTAATTTTTGGTTGTTTTCAAAGAAATTGAGAATTTAAAAAAAATGTGCCACAATTGATTGGTAAATTATTCTTTAGTGAATTATTTTTTTCTATTTTTTATTTATTTTATTTTTTACTTTTTAGTCATATTAGGTGTACTTAATAATTGTGAATAGATTACTAAATTCATTTTGGAAGATTTGGAAAAACATAAATTTTAGTAAAACGATCCCCACACATGTCCTTGTGTACTGCGAGCTAGATGTCCGAGTCCTAATATTATTACAGGATATTGTATTGTCATCCGAGATGAGTGTCTGTGCCATGTTTCAGTCCTCTACGACATCGGGGAGTGTGTTAAATTAAGTTTGCAAGATTTGAAAAATACATGTACAAACCTACGTACGTGTTGAAGAAAAACATGTAAAAAGTATATTTCAACACCCCCAACGAATACTGCCGTGTTATATTAGAAATATATATATATATATATTAGTATTTTATTTAATCATCAAATCGGGAAATAGATATTAATATTTTGGAGTACAAAAAAAATGTGTAATGTAGCAGTAAGCACATAATTACATTTTTTTTTATTTACTGACTTATCTTTTTGGGTGTTAATATAATATTTATGAGATTATTTTTATTTATTGCAATATTAAAAATTCTATACTAAATTAGAATTAGATTTTGTTCTTTTACCATCTAAATGATATTGATAATTCAGTAAATATAAAGTATTTTAAAAGGCAGTTCAAATTATTAAGATGACTTGAAACATGCTAGAAATAAAAAAGTTTAATAATACTAGAAATATTTTGCACCTTATGAACAAGTATTGATCAGTTATTTATGAACCATACATAATATAGTGTTATTAACATACACATGTACAAAAAAAAAAAAAAGGAATCGATATAATATACTGAACTGGACAGGAAAATAACATATCACAAACATAAAATATTTACAACACGGCAATTATCTGTCATGACCTCGTTTATCAAAGTTTTTATTTCTATCCACAATTTTTTTTTCAACTTATTTAACCCCATAATATTTTACCAAATACATAAAAAAAGTAATTTGATTACCAAAAAACCACTTAAGATTTATTTCAATATATTTTGCTAGGATCGCGACTACCAACTATCGAAGTATAGTTCTGACCAAGGGTCCAGATAATGTTCCTGAACTTTATCATTTGTTCCGCAGTATATATTCCAGAGTAAAAATATTTTACTGTTTTATTTGTTACAAAACAAATATCGGATAGGGAAAAATAGATTCATTTGTAGCGGAACAGATGTCGGATAGAAAGAAATAAGTTTACTTGTTCCGGAACAAATATCAGATAGGAACTTTTTAAGAACAATATCCGGACCCTTAGTTCTAACCCTCATGTTTTTTTCTGAGTGTACAAAAATATTCATGTAACAACACGTTCTATCTTTTAAATGAATTTACTAACTTGATCGATAACATAGTTAAATAATGCTTTCGGACAAATAAAAACTTCCGAATAAGTAACTATTTATAAACATAAGATTTAGAGCAGTTATAAATAAAATATATATAGTCATACATTTTTTATATTTTTAAGGTTTTTATAAGTCCTGAAGACAAATCAATGAGCAAAGGATCAGAAGTTAAATATGATGACCCAGATGTTGAAAGAGTACGACGGTAATCAATTTAAATTAATTATATCATAGACAAAATATATTTAATCTATGGTTACATTGAAATGTGTCATTAATTCGTTAACATTTTAAATTATAATGCAACTACGAATTTTTAGAGCACATTTGAACGACGTGGAAAACATACCAATATTTTTAATAAGTGGATTATTGTTCGTTGCCAGCAAGCCTTCTGAAATGTTAGCAATGAACTTGTTTAGACTTTTTACAATTGTTAGAATATTGCATACTGTAGTATACGCAATATTTGTTGTACCTCAACCAGCAAGAGCTATTATGTTTTTAACAGGAGTTGTCATTAATGTAATAATGATTATATGTATTATTCTTAAGATGCACCAATTTTAAAATTTCATAACTAACTAAGATGTACTTTAAAAATTATAATATAGTAATACAAACTACGATAGCTAGCTTTTCAAAATTATGTTACTTGCAAGTCTATTATAACTTTTTTCAATGAAAATAATATGTAGAACTGTTCGTGTTGTATATGATATTAAATGTTTAAAACTACCATACTATAATACGCGCATTTTTTCTTGTTATTTGTATTAGTTGTATCTACAGTAGCGATTTTTACCATGCTATAAAGAGTAAAATTCTGTTTAGTTATCTCTTAAAGTTAATTAGGTAATTTAGGGAACAGACACCATTTATTTATTTTATTTTGTTATTTACGTTTTTACGCTAAAAAATATCAACAGGTATTGTAACTGAGGTTATTTAAATCTTTAATAAAAATTGGCAACTACTACAGACTGGGATATAACATTTCATTAAAATAAAAAGTTTAAGCCTTATGCACTATAGAAAGTTTTTATTAAAAAATAAAAATAAAATAATGGATAAATTATTAAAATCCAAAAACTCTACGAGACGTCATCAATTTTCTTATTTTTCACCACAATAATGACTATATACAACTCAAAAAAACAAATGTACGTTAAAAATTATATCTAAGAGATAATTTAAATTAGGCTAAAAAAGTAGACATAATCAATTTTAGACAATGGCCCTTAATTTGTAGACCCTAAGAAGTTTTTTTTAGAAAAAAAGTATAATTTACAAATTATGTAATATGAATAAACCAAGTAACCAAATGTTCTTTAATTAGTTATTTGATGGAAATTTAAAAATCTCATTTTTAGCGTGTTAATAGTCTTTTAAAATAATAAGTATTAGTATAATACAAATCTATGTATCTATGTGTATGCTTTCAGTTTGTGACTTTTTTTTACATTTGACTTGAATACATATTTATTTGAGTAGTCCTTATTTTGGGTTTGGCGGAATTTCAATAGAGACACTAAATCGGAACAAAAATAGTTAAAAAAAAAAAGGTTCCTAAAGTTACTGACCTTAATTTCGATATTAAGGCATGTCTCGTGGCATTAATCTAATAACCATTTATTTTTCCCCCATAAAATAACTATTTTTACAAAAAAAATGATCTTTTCTACGATAGCCCTGCACATTTTTTTTACAGAGTATTTCAGAGTTGATGTACCGTTACTCAAAATCTTAAAAACAGAAACTATTTTGAAAAATCCAAAAATATTTTTGAAAACTAAACATGTTTTAAATTTTAATTGACAACACAATTAGTAAAAGAATTTTGCAAGAAATATCAATGGAATAGTTTTTGGTTTTCACTAATATTTTATGGAAAAAAAAAATCTGTTTTGAATTCCTCCTTTAGATTATTGCCCAATATAGTGTGATATTAATTTCTTTTTAACATTATTTAGATGCCTTTACAATTAGGTGTAAGATGTGTCGCCAGACTGTATTATATTAAAATTAAGATCACAGTCTTTTGTAACATTTTTTTTACCCATTTTCAATCAGTTAGGTTCTCTACTGAAATTCAACCAAACTAAAAAATAAAGATTACTAATATATTTTTATGTTGTATTTTTAAATGGCTAAATTGGCGTTTTCTTTGTCTGGATTTTTGAATTTCTGACATCAATTAAAATGACTCCCAGAATAATTTATATAAAAATTAATGTTTTTTTACTTAGTGTTTTCAAATACTGTAAAAGAATACAAAGATGCACAGGAATATTCATTTGTTGTAATTTTAATAAATAATGTAAATTGTGGCTCGGTAATTTTTTAATCCCAGATTTGTATTACTGATACAAATAAACATTTTTAAAAGTATCCAAAGATACTTTTAAATTATTACCTATTTCATATATTATAAAAGTAATCATAATTAACTTACTTTTTTAGTTATGAAATCTTGCATGAGCTTCAGTTCACGTACATCAGATATAATTTTATCAGTTCTGTCAGTAAATTCTGATGTGCCAGTTAAACTGAATTTGCCAACAGCAGTGCTATTTTGATTGCTTGGAATGTTTGGAGTTATATGAGCTTTATTACCAACAGATAAAGGTTTCCTTGGTTTTCGTCGATTGGTTGGTCTATTACTTCCATTTTGGTGTATACATGGCATTTGCAGCACGCCACCATTTTGAATACATTTAGTATGGAATAACTTTTTACAATCTGATTTAAAAATATATAAAAACAATTATATTATTATCTCATTTTAAATCAAATTATTTTAGGTTTTAAACTTTACCAGAACATTTATGTCCTTGTGTCAAAAAAGCATCCATCAGTTTACTACAATAAGTACACTTATCTTGTGGAGTAAATCTTCCTAATTTTCTAAATCTATGACCTGCTATAGTAAACATGGTAGTGCCTTTCCATTCTAAGAGCTCAAAAGAAGGTGAATAAGTTAATTTAGGCTCTTCTGTTCTCCCAGTATGTGTTGTTGAACCATCACTGTTTCTCCTTTTTAATTCCTTTTCATTTGAATTTGTAGGTCTAAAGAAATACAAATATTTTAATATTGACCAATTGAAATTATTGTAAAATAATAATTGTAAAACAATTAAAAAAAAAAAATATTTAGCAATGGATATTTTAACTAAAAAATCATGACAAAATGTAATAAAAATGGCTGGTCAAAGAATTTTTCGCATTTACCATAGAGTTATTAGAGGCGGTTAGGTTAGGTTAAGTAAAGTAAATCTATGGTTACCAACAAAGTTAAAAATCCTATGCTTATAATTTTACATTTGGTAATTTTAAGAAACATTTTAGCTGTTAAATCCTGTATTTATGTGTTATGAAAAAATAAGAAGTTATGAATTATTTATACCAGCCATAACTTATCACCCAATTATTCAATAGCTAATAGTATAGTAAATATAAAACTTTATGCAATAGTTACATAGCATAAACGTTTTTTTTTTTCATAGGAGGGTAATAGTTTATCTTACTCGGGTGTTGACTCAGTTGCTGAAACACGAAGTCGGCTCATCAAACGAGCTGGAGCAGTAGGTTCTGGAATAATATGTGGTGTTCTAGTTAGCATAGATCGCTTATTTGGGGAATCATTTGGTCTTTCTCTTCGATTCCAAACAACTGATGGTTTTGTATGGTTATCATCAATTTCACTGTCACTAAATGCAGTACCTTCTTTGGGTGGTCCATCTGTTTTGTTATAGCGATCTATAGAAATATAATATACAAAAACATTTATTAATTACTATAGAGTGTGTATCATTTGGGATTAAACATAATACAGTCTATTAGAGATAGGTTTAAAAGTTATGTCCACGCTTCCATGCACTAGGCATTTTGTCATCTGCACTAGGCCACTCCTTATATCAATAACATAAAGTATTGGTATCGAAAGTGCATTTTTTTAGGAATTGAGTTATGTATAGCAATATATACCTAATAGCCAATGCGTGTATTGAAAGACTTAGATTAAAACTATTGCTGCTAGAGGTATTTAAGTTCATCATATACAAGGAATGATATACCATCATATTTTCAAACTTCATTCTAGTAAAATTATAAAAAATATACTTGACACCTGTGCTTTATTTATGTTGTTGATATTACCTAACCATAAATCTACCATTAAATTATATTTTAATATACTTTGATTATTGGACTAATAATAGTTGATCCAAAGTATATTAAAAATTACACAATCTCTAAAACAATTAAAAATATTATTTTTACCTTGAATTAAATCAGTTGGATTTGATTCTATTCTCATACGACGACCTGAAATTTTTCTTCTAGGGGCTTTAAATTGATCTTCCCTAAAATTCAATAATATTTTTGAATAAAAGAGTAAGTTTTTTTATGTTTAATATTCTTTTATACCTCATACTGCTGATTATTTTTGGTTTTACAAATGGGTCAATCTCTGATTCACTATCACCTTTGGCACCACCACTACTTCTGGATATACAATATAAAATAAAATATAAGTTTGAGAAAATTAATAAGCAAGTTAAAACATACTCAGAGTCACGAAGTTCTTCTTGACTTGAATCTTTAGAATTACTGATTTGTGGTGCCGACACACTTTTCCTCTAAAGTAAAGATTTAATTATATCAAGTGAAATTGTATTTCTATGCTATGAATAATATAGAATTTATTATATAGCCAATTACCGTTTTTTTGATTTGAGAAAATTTTTGTCTAGCTAAATATCCTCGGGAATGAGCTTGTAAAGTAATAACACTGCGTCTTAAATTTTTATACCAACTTGAAACTCTATACTTTCTCCATGCAGATTGTATGTAGATAGCAGCAGTTTCGTCCATCCTCATTCTATTCACTAGCTTTTGTGATAATATCATTCTCCACCAAGACTTTAAAACATAACAGATAGTGTTAAAATAATTATTTTAAAATGTTAGTTTTAATAAAATACCTGTATTGTTTCAGTAGCCCATGTTATTCTAAGGAATTGCCTTCTCTGTAATAGCGTGCGGAACCAACGTTGTATTATGATAATACTTGCCATAATTTGTTGATGAAGTTTAAAATCCAATTTTAACTTTTCACACTCTCGCAAAAATACTTTTGATTCACCAATTTGAAAATTATCACGTTCTAAGTTTAGAGTTAATAGAAAATCTTTAACATCTTGAGAATTGCTGAAATAAAAGATCATACAAATAAAAATAAAAGTAAGTTGTTCTTATTAGTGTTCCAACATATTATAACAAATTTGATATGTGATAGTTACCTATGTAGTCCTTTTGGTAATAATATTCTATAGAGTTGAATAAATTCATCATAACTAAGTCGCACATTGTATCCAGCTTGTCGAATTCTTACAGTTTCCAACATACCTGTATATCGTAACTGTCTCTGAACAGTGTCATGGTCAAACAAATTTGCTACCTACATTGCATAATGAAATATTATTTATTTGTTTAAAGTAGAAATTAGTGCCTCTCTTATTTATACCTTATTACTATTGCTTTTAATACAACGGATAAAAAACGGATTTGCTTGGTTAAGTGTATCCATTAGACTATTTAATGACATTTGAAACTGAGCAGTCACTGTAAGTGGTTGCTTACGAGCTTTACTACTTATGGTACCCTGTACTTGTATTCGACCTGCAAGAGTTTTTACACTTTGAAGATTTTTCAAACCCTTATTTCCGCGATCTTTCGGTCTAAATGATTTGTTTTTCCTATAAAAAAAAAAAATTTGATTTAAGAACTATTGTACAGTAATAGTAAAATTATAATACAGTATCTCAATCGAAGAAAATAAAAGTATATACATTAGTACATTAGTAGAAATAAAATAACATTATTTATAAAAATTAATTAAGCAATATATAAAAAAAAAAATTAAGCATTAAACATAGTTTGATATAAAAGGTAATAAAAGAAAAAATACCTTGTACTTAATGAAAATACTAGTACCTTCTTTTTTCTTTTCGCAAAGACAGAGAGCAAAGCATCACTAGTAAGATAGCACTTATTACCAACTGACAAAATGTTTTATGACAGGGGAAAAATCCAATAATATAAAATTATGCACAAAAAAAAAAAAAAAAGGTATGTACTTAAAATGTAATAGAAAAAATGACTAGTAGTTGTAAGTTAATTTTTGTTATTTTAATAACACCTTAAATAAGTTGTCCAGGCCAAACTAAAACCCAACCTAACCAAGTGTTTGAACTAAATTAAGTTCAATAATTATTATAAATCAAATCACGCTCATGCTTAATTATGTAAGGAACTAAACACATGCTTTACAGAATATAAAAATTAGCATAGAAGTTTATACAATACACATGAGATGCAAAAAGAAAAGTGAAGGCACAAGAAAATATAAACCTTTAAATAATTAGTTATAATATTTAATATTATTTTGAGGTGTAACTTTTTGTTATAGTGGTTTTAGTAGTTTAAACATTTCAGAAAGTTAAAGTCTGTGTTTTCCTAAAGTGTTTCCTGATACCATCCAAACACCAATAAAAAAATGGGTTATTTTTCCCCATTTAACAGTTAACATACATAACAATCTGTGTAGCCCGTTCAATCACTTTGTCTTCATCTGTGGATTTGTAATTGCATCGAGTTTTTACCTCTTCATTATTAGTGCTTTTATTAGGTTTAGTAGCATCAGCACTGATAGATTTATTCAAAATCATGTGATTTTTAGGCATTTTATGTTCGGTGTTTGGATTAGATGCCAGTTTTTTACCAACATTAAGAACATACCCTCCTCCTCCATAAGATGAGGAGTTAGATGAAAATTTTGGAGCGTACCTGTAAATGTTATGTTTTATAGGACAAATGCTAATTAACTATAATTAAAATGTAATTTGTCATACTTTAAAAAATAATTAAAATTCAGGCAATAAAAATAATATATATACATACAAAATACAAAGTTAAGCAACAATAAGAATATAATCACATTCATATACTTTTTTAAGCACACATTAGGCTCGACACTACTTATTGTTAGTTCAAACTTACACAATACGATAAATGGTGAGATTTACAGATGACATTGTAGCTAGCTGACTGGAGGCAGCATGAACAATAATTATTTCTGATTAAAAATTTTTCGTAACTGTTTTTTAATGTTTTAGTATTGTGATTATTAAATTTAGAAAACACAAGAGTTATGTAGGTTTTTTTTCAAAAATGTTTTAGGCAATAATAATGAATACTAGGTTTCAATAATAATATAATTTAATAATAAACACTTTTTGGGAATGTTTTGTAAAAATAAAGAGGCAAGAGAAAAAATGTCAGCGTAACACAAAAACGTGTTATAAATTAAATAATTTTATGAATTTAACATAAGAAATTTTAGTTAATCATAATGACGCCCGATTTATTTCAATAATTGAATAAATATGTTTAGCTATTTTGGCTTTAATAAAACATGGTTACCTAAGTATGTAATTACTAAGGATTATAGACTCAAATTGAGTCTATAATCCTTGACTAAATACTCAATTTTAAGTATAAATTATGAGAAAAATCAAGTAGTCTGAAAATCAGTATTAAACGATACAACAGTCATAGTGTATCACAATAAAGGTTATTTAATTATATGAAAAGGCAAGTTTCAAATAAAAAAAATAAAAATTCCCACTTAAAAATGTGTGCTTGCATATGTAGATTGACCATTAAATAATTATGATTATAAACTAAAATAATATTCAATCATGAATTTTATAATGGTAAAATATCAATATTTACCTGATTATACTGTCATTTTGCATGCTGTTGCGGAATCGTAACGATAAAGTGGATGCTTTAACTCCATCAACTAAAATATTTTAATTGTATAAATGAAAATCTAATCTTTACTATATAGGTTAAAATTTGTAATTTTTTTTTTTAAAATTGTATCACAAAAAAAATTAACTGTTTTATTCCAAATTACTATTTTTTCTTTTTTTATAGAACACATCAAATGGGATAGGGTGCTATAGAAAATGAGCATATATAGTGAGTTTTATTTACCTCTACTCTGACGATGTCTACGACCAGCTTCTTGAAATGAAAAGTAACTCCTGAAAAATGCTCTTACAATGGCCCAGCGAAAAACTGCTACAGGATCAGCACCAACCAACTCTCTTACGAATGCCATGCTACTGTTTTTTAAAACTCCAACTATGTCTTGTCGCATTAGATCCAAGTTTTTTTCCCTCATTTCAAACACCTAATTAAAATAACAACTTAAAATCAAACATTTTACATGCATAAAAAGATTTAGGTAAAATATAAAGAATCCAATAGTACTAATAAGAAAATTAACAATTGTCACCCAACTATTTTACTTGTTGTTTTTCTATAAAACTAATTATTGATACATAAATATTCATACATTATTTAAATTTATAATGTAAATATTGTATGTAATTCAAAAAACAACAAAAACTTTATTACGTTAGTACAATTTTTAATTTTTTTTAATTTAAACAATGATTTCTAATTTTTTTTTTAACATTAGTATTTGACCTTCTGAGTCAAATGTCTGTAAGTTGTAATAGATGGGTAACAACCTGACAGTAACTTGTTGATAATATAACTAATATCATATTTTATCATCTAACATAAGAAAAATAAAGTTTATTTTACCTGATATTTAACTCTACCAGCATAATGTCGCACAATGAACGCATTTTCTTTACGTTGTGGCATTTCGTAAAATTTGTTATCTTTATGAACAGAGTTAAATTTTTGTAATAGTGTTTCACAAGACGAACCGGGAAAGCTAATTAAAATAATATATTAACAAAATACTGAGTAGCCACTTAGTAATGTGAGAAAAATTAGATACAATTTACAATATCTTACTTGCACTGATCATCCAAGACACATAATAACCCGTTTGGTTTTCCTTCAATCATTTGTAAACACCCAGTATTATCTAAGAAATCAATATCACTCCATTTTATTCCTTCTTTACGATATTCTTCTTGTTCATATTTAAACACATGTTGATTAAAATAATATTGAAGATGTTCGTTAGCATAATTTATGCAAAATTGTTCAAAACTATCCATAAATAAAAAGAAAAAATTAATTAGATAACATACAAGATAAGAGTTACATATTATATACCTATTAGAATTGCCAAAGTCTTCAAAACCAAATATATCCAAAACACCAATTGAGTTTCCTTGATGATCTCTCAATGTATCCTTCTTTGATAATAAAGCATGATTAACTTGCAGTACAATCCAGTCAAACAATGCTCCATACAAACACTTTGCCATTGCATCTCTAGCAGCTATAGCCTATATGTATACATTTTAAATTAGAAGCAAACATTTAAATTAAGTTTTTTTAAAAAATTACCTCAGGTAACTTATAATTAATAACTAAAGTTTCTCCAGAAGCTTTAGCACGTTTTGCTGTTAAAGCAGCTAACAGAGTTTCTTGTTTAACTCTCAGAAGTTGAGAAATTAGGTAAACTATTTCTGGATTACGTACAGCAACAGCTTCATCGTGATGATAAGCAGACTTGCGAGGTTGAAAATCAACATTGCCTAAAAATAATTTTGTTTAAAATATTATTTTTACAAAACATAAATATTTTATAATTTTTTATTGTGTACAAGTTTCCAAATTCTCCTCCCTAAAAAAACCCCAACATATATAACATTGAATGTAACAATGTATAAATATTATCTATATTATTATGTATTATCTAGATATTATATTTTATAATAATAATCCTTATATCATCAATTTAAATTATAAATGTCCAACTAAAAATGATAATAACAAAAGCTTGTGGGAAACAGAGATATGAAGTAGGTGCAAACCTAATCTGATAAATTATAACCTCATGATTGGGATACATGACATAATATACAATGAATAATGTAAATAGGTAAATTTGATTATCAAAGAAGTAATATTATAATGCTCTAAGAGAATTTGTAGGCTCATTGTATAGACTTAGATAAATTATACAAATTATAAGTTATAACTAATCTAAATTCACAAGTGTAAAAAAACAGAAGTATTCATTTAAAAGATAAAATTAAAAATATAAAAAATTTAAAGGGTTGAGATTTTAAGACATAAGACAAGTTTGAGAGTCGGGGACAGTGAGAAAAGTTCAGAAATTACACTACTAATGTTAACTTCTAAAATACAGGAGGCTAAATGTTGTACACACATATGTTCTCATAAATGGCAAGAAAGTTTAATGGAAAGATATAGGATATGGAATATGAGATAAGTAGTAGTAAGTAGCATGTTACGTTAGATAGTTAATAAAGTAAGACTGTAGTTTTTTTTTTTAAATTTTTATTATAACTTTTTTTTTAAACAGTTAATTGCTCTTACCTAATAGTAACACTGCTGAGAGAACTGCAAATAACCTTCGCTGTTTTTCTGGTGTAAATCCTACCATTTCCATAGATTGTTTTAATCTAGAAAACTCATATTTTTCATCCAAATTTCCTAATGTGTAACAACCACTCTAAAAAATAAACAAACATAAAAAAATTAAAATCACACAACAAAATGTATTTTAGGTCTAAAAAATTCTGTAAGCTAATACATTTTATATTAAATTTCAAAAAATACTATTACCCCATTTAGATAGTTGTAATAATCTACTTTATGTAGATGTAAAGATTCTTTTTCTGATTCGCTTGCACCATTCAATAAATAATAAAAAACATGATAATTGCGTTCATTTTGACCTTGAGAACATATCCTAGATTTCTCTAAAAGATATTTCTGAACAACCGCACTACGAATATTAAATATAAAAATAAATTATTTTTAATTTTGTTAGTTTTTTTAAATATATTAATTGCTTACCCATGTACCATGCCATTTTCTTTATAATTAACTTGAATGAATTTACCAAATCTACTAGAATTATTATTATGAGCAGTCTTAGCATTACCAAAAGCCTAAAAACAGACGAATACATTGTTTTTATGAATACTATAATCAAAGTGTTGGATTAGCTTACTATAATCATACCTCTAAGACTGGTCCTGCACTAAGTATAGTTTGTTCAACTCCACTGCCATGACTTCCTTTTTGACTTAATGCAGTAAGATGATGTAATAGAAAATTGGTTGATTCTGTTTTACCACTACCACTTTCCCCACTTATCACAATGCACTGGTTTTTTCTTTCTCTAAGCATACAATGGTATGCAGCGTCAGCTATAGCGAAAATATGAGGTGGTAGTTCTGGACCAAGTCTTCGATTTTGATAAAGTTTTACATATTTTGGATTATAAATGGGATGAAACTAAAAAACATACATATAATATATTACGCCAAAGGAATAGTATTTCTTTATAACAAAGTCTATATTATATTTGTCTGTAATTTTATAGAACAAATTTTTGTTTTTCTTTGTACCTACACCCTGTTTGCCGAGAGAACATGCTGGGTTTGGGCATGTAGACTGAAGATAAAGCAGCTGCCGAGGACAGGATGGCAGACAAGGCGGTCTCGGGGGGAACGCTATACACACTGGGTGCCGCGCAGGGATGCGCAGAACAGCCAATTTTTGTCGGGTTGCGGCATGTTCTCTCAGCAGGCAGGGTATAGTTTGGAATGATTGTTGTTCTTACATAGTATATTCAGTCATATTCAGATGTAAAAATAGTTACAGCTAATACAGAATAAGGAAGTGGTCATTAACAAATTCCAGATTGGATATAATAACACCAAAATCTAATGATACATGAGAAACCCTCAATATATGAAACTTGTGGTTTAAAACTAATCACATAAAGCACTAAGTAATCCAAAACATATAACATCATTATAATCAATTTTTACACAATACACAACTTAGCAGATGCTCTTAGACAGAATTTTCGACAAACTATGAAGTTACTGAACCAATTAATATAATTCTTAAATTGTACATAATTTATTTAAAACTTATAAGGAAACAAGTTAGCAGCCCATGTAGGGATTACTGCCTCTTCTAGGAAGGATTATGACAGATTCGCTATCCAGTCTGTTGTCTGATTGGGGAATGGGGGGTCCGTTTTACCAGACTATTTATTGACCACCAAACACAGTGCCAATGACCAAGTATTAAATCAGCAGTAGCGAGTGTTAATTACACTCTGATGTCTTACCCACTCGACCACTTATCCTCCTTATTTGCTTATAACTAGTGAATTATAATCTGAACATCATAATAAATTGCATCAACTTATTAAAAAAAACAATATACATAACAATTACAACAATAATTGTACATTTTTCTAAAATATAAATAAGATGTGTAATAATAGAATTAATAAAATTAAAAGGTGTAAAAGTTTCTTATGTAAATAACCTTCTCCAACATCTTAAAAATGGTTTTTTGTTTTTTAAGATTATTAAGATTTTAGCAATGTGAAGTATCTTTTAATTTATTTCAAATAACATAATCAGTAAATTTCAATTCTTAATAACATACAATTTGTTTTATAAATACCTTAAAAGGATTAACAGCAATCAAAATTGAGCCCACATAAGTATAAATATGTCCAGCTGTAAATCGTGCTCTAAGATTATCTAAAAGAGTTTGTTCGTTGAGATCTGGGAGCTGACAAAGATCTGGATACTCTCGATCTTGTGGTTGATAGAGAAATCTATAGAAGTAATCTCGTATAAGTTGTGGATCCATGGTGAAACCGTCAGCCCATAAATTTTCAGATAATTTTTCTCTTAAATAAAACCTGAAATATCATAAACATATAATTCTTTTAGTGTAATTTAATATTTAATAAATAACTTTTATATTTTAAGTACCTATAATATTCTTGTTGTTGTGTATGCCTACGAGGCTGGGGCCATAGTAGCATCACAGCAACAGGACATTCTGTAGGGCCGAGCCTACGTTCCTTACATTCTCGCCCAAGAGCATCACCAACAACCTCAGCAAGTTCAAATGTACCAGCATAGCCTGTTCCACATCCTCCTGATAAAGAAAGTCGTTCTACGATACAACTAACTATTTCATCAGAGGTGGTTTGTTTGCTGGCCTCCACACTAAGTGCTTCATAACATTGTGATAATGCACCCACAAATACTTGCACTATATATCTTTGGTTGCCTTCACCCATGGCAGCCGAGGATCGGGTTTTACTTTATCTATACATTGATTTGCTAAAAAAAAAAAATTGAGGGTGAATCATTATTATAGATACTATACACCAGATTATGAGAATTTTCAACATTTGTAAATCATCTAATTATCAAGGGTGGTTTACTCTTTGACAAAAATATAAACAAAGTGTCTTCATTATTGGATCCACATTCACTCAGGTCACCCAGCAAACTAAAAAGTAATATCTTTCTTTAAGAAATTTAGTAGATAATGAAATATTTATTTTTTATACTCCTAAAAAATATATATATTATGCTGCTAATACTGTTAGAAATATAAAAGCATAAAAAAAAATGTTTAATCATCAATTGTTATAATGAAGAACTTTTCTGTTAATAATATTTATCAATAATAATTCTACTATTAAAATATTTTTAAGATCATACACACTTTCAAACTTGTTTTTAGCTTGATTTTTCATTTGGAAGTTTTTGGTGAAAATAGGAGTTATAATAATTACAAGCCAAATAGTATCAAGTTAACCCTATCCTATCATCCTTATCTTATTCCTCCTATCATCAGAGGGTTTGGGTTGTTAAGTATATGCGTACAAGAGGCCAATTGGAGGATTATGTCGATCACCCGACCTGGCATGCTAAGGTAATCATCTGAGACCATTTTTTTATTGACATATAAATAAAATAATAATTACTTACTAAGGTAACTTATGATTTCACCGAAAAACTACAAATCAAAATACCAGCTAATCAAAAATAAAACGTTGATGTTAGTTTATGCTTAAAAAAAAAAAACAACAGTTTTTTCTTTTATCTTCAAAAGTATCATATTCAATACCCATCATTAGATGGGATTTAGACTTACCCATCATTTTAACTGTAAAAACACATATATTAAATAAAATTTAAAAAAAGTTGATTTTAAGTTATTAAAAAAAAAAATATTGAAGTTTATGCCTATAACATTAAAAATAAAACCGAGTAGCAAAATTGACTTATTCATCATATTTAGTATTACAGAATGTTAATTTTTTAACAGTTTAACTCTACAACAGTTAACATTTAGAGGTATGCCACACTGCATGCCTCTAGTTAAGGGACCATTAAGTGATTTATGAGAAACTAAATTATAAACAGGAATATTCCCAGTAACTAAAAGTATACAAAAAACAAAACAAAAATTACTTTTGCTTAATGTAATTTTGGTAAGTTTCCATCCCTTATAATAAATGCATACTACTAACTAATCTGTTCTACTTAATTTTGTAAAATCAAATTAACTAATGTTAGAGCACGTTATTCAAGTGTAAACAATAATCAAATGGAATTTGGATAGTTTGTACATTTAAACGAGAAAGTTGATAATCATTTGTTTTATTACTTTTAAAAATGTTGTACATAAATACATTAAGCACTACCCAATAGTGCCACTTAATTAAATAACAAAAGAATAAATATAATTAATGAGAAAAAAATAGTTAAATAGTAGATTCAGCAATTGTAGTTAAAAATACAATATAATACAATACAATACAATATATGAGCCAGGACGCTGTAAAGTGAAACAAAATTAAATTTTGTCACAACCCACTAAAAATTGACACATTTAATGGATTATTAAAACTGAATGGACCAATCTTGGACTATTAAATGATGTTGAAAAGAACCAATAAATGATTATTGCATATATCTTTAATGAATGTTTATGGAATCTGCAGTAATGATGCACAGTCGAGTTGCTTATATTATGACAATATGGAATTACGGACGAAATGTTTTATCAATATCAATAACGGATATAGACAAGAGTTGATTAGCGTTAGAAACAGAAAGGCTAAATGCCGAATGATTATAAACTAAGTACGCCTACTCACTTGTTGGCGTTTTTCATCGGTGTGCTCTGTATTTGCATACAAATTGCTACATAGCTACCAAAATTCGATGATAACAATTACATATCACATTGCTTGGTACTCGATGTGCGAGCGAATAGTCCGGCCAATACTTTCAAAGGGTCGCGCATTCGGCGCAAGTACACACAGACGGCACAGGACCTAACGCGGTCGGATGAACGGCGGACCACTGTCAAGTCGGTAGGCATTTGCCCAACATCACAAACGGAAACGGCGAACGAATTAAAAGCGATAATGTTATTTAAATGATGACGAATCACCGTCGATTGGGGTACGAGCTCGAAAATCAGAACGACAAGAAACACATAGGCTATAAAGAAATTATTTTGGACTGCGACGGGTGCAGTGTGCGCATGCGCAATCGTCCGGCCCAGCAGATTTCGTGATACGCGTCAATTGGTTATAATGCGCATGCGTTCCAATTTTCCCACGGCTAACGGCCGAGAAATTTTTATACCGTATGGCAAATAGAATAGGTTTGTACTTTTGCCCTACTACAAGTTATAACGCGTACATGATGCATCCCTTAACCCTTTCCATTGATTGTAGGCTTTGTAGCTCATCATTACTTAATGTTACACTCACAATTATAATTTGTATTATTTATGAGAATTGGGAACGAACCAATAATTAACGTAGCCGTATTAAGTAGGTACTTTTCACTTTTCAGTAACTGACTAGTGACTACGGTTCTTTCGAAGTATAGATTCAATTAATTTAGGCTGTAGACTGTGGTTCTTTATTACGACTTATGAGCAATAGTCATTAGCCAATATATTGATTATTGTATAAAAATCGTTCATTTCTTATCAGTTATCACTAAAAAATATTATTATTCCTTGGGTTGGTACTACATTTCCCAAATTCCATAAATTCCAATGTGCACTTTTCCTATAGACAAAATGATTGCTTGAGTTGTGATGGGCGTAATTTAATTTGGATTATTTTTAGCATAATATGAAAAGTTGATGAATTGAAAGTAACCGTTTATTCTAAGAAACATTGAGCCCTGAATCAATGGAAAACAAATTAACCTGACCTTATTGAAGAGTTAACCGTTTTCCCCGAAATTTCCGTTATTCCTGATAATAAATTATTCTACAGGAATGGTCAGCTGTGTTTGGATTTATCAAAAAATTATAACTGGTTGAAGTATAGCTAACACCGTTTTTTTCAGTAAATATTTTTCATTTTTTTTAAGGTACAGGGCTGGTGGGTAAATAGAGCTGACATAACCCAACCTAACCTGTTGATTATTGATATGGGGTATGGGAATGATTAATATATAATGTACCACTAGGCACTTATCACTATTCATTAATATTATTAATTATTCTTTAGAATCGGTTCAGAGACTCAAAACGGTGATAAAAAAATCAATTTATAAGCCATAATAATGGTGTAATGGTGTACTATTACGTTTGTTTATTAAAGAACCGTCTGGATAAAGAAATGGTCACTACTGATGCAGAAGGAAACGAGAAATCACTATACCATTCACTTCTTCAGGATACAACTCTTTTTAAATCAAGATTTGATAAACCGACCTAAAGGTTGTAAACAAAAAAAAAGTGTACCTATTATAATTATAATGAATTAAAATCAAAGATTTCCATATAACTTGGTATAATATACCAATTTATAATAAATATAGTATACATATGTGATTTCTATGTAAACATTTACTTACACTTTTCTATTTTTAAAGCAGTAAATTACTGATTTATCTATCTATACATTTATTGATAAATACAATATTAATATAACAAGTATTTTGATAGATGCTTAAATTAATCTACTGCTTTACCAAAAAGGTGGCGTATACAGCCGAAATATATACATCATGTATATGTCTACTCAGATATCACATATTAATACTACGTCTATTATAATTTGGTATACTAGATATCAACTAGATATTACAGTGTTTGCTGGCATGTCCCTACTAATTTGTTTAGTTAACAATTAAATGAAATTGATTGAATGTCGTGTTATTTGGTTTCAATCAAAACATTTTTGTTTCCCATTATATAAGCTGCTTAAAACTTTTTCCTTTCCCTTTTTAAAAACTGAAATGACGCCACTGATCCAAATGTCCTCAGCTTCATACATGTTAAACTGATTTCTAGATAAGAGTAGGTGTCAGTGTATTGATAAGGTTATGTAAGTCGCCTTTTAAATTATAAATAAAAAAACGTATACAATATATAAGATTATTTTATAAAAAAATATTAAATTATAAAAAGCTCACAATTATGATGAAAAAACAGTTTTAATAATCATGTTATGTATTACTCATGTTATTTAGTATATATTTTTCATTAAATATTAAAGAAGACATCTTTTAAGAGTACAATTCAACATTACTTGGTCTTAAAAAACATTTATAAAAATACAAAATAAAATACCTTAATTTTTCAATGACCATTTAATTAATTAAATCCATAATTCAAGACCACCATATGCTTTACCTAATATATGTTCATCAGTTGCTAAATCAAGAAGACAATCAATCTAAAAAAAAAAAAGTATAAATGCATATATTTTTAGATTATTATCAGGTGTGGGTCTGGGAGTTATAAAAAGGTGGCTAATTTAAGTTTAAAAAAATTGCTTTCTGGTAGTTCTGGAATTATTCAAAACACTCTTTTGTTACAAGTAATATAGTACTAAAGCGAATAAAAATAACTTGAATTTGATAAAATTGATACTGAGTCAAGAAGTATAGAAAAATAATCTAATATAACGCATAATTAATATCAATAATGACGGTAATTAGATATGATATTCAAACAAGGGGGGGAGTTGAAGCCTCTACTGGTTCCACATCTCGTTATTAAAAATAACCAACATTCTATAAATAAGTTATAACATTTTTAAAACAATTCAAATGTCAGTTTTTTCTTCATTTTCAAATTGTAATCTTAACATTATTGGTTTTTAACTTACAGTACAAATGATTAATAACAGTTTAAGTTTTACAAGGGCAAAATTGTCTATTAACTTGATTAATATCAATTCAATGATATTACTAATATCATTAAATTATATTAATGTTTTTATTTTATTTGCTTATAAAATAACTAATATCTACTCGATATATTATATATAATATTTACTTGTTGATTTATTGTAATATTCTTCTTAGATAATAAGGATCTTTTAAAATTATTATTGATTGAATTTTTTGTAAGCATTATTTCAAGTGCGTTTTTATAGCTTTCAGATATAACTGTTGAACTTTCAAGTTCTCTTTTTAGAATTTCAATAGGATTAATTCCATCCATTTTGTCTTTGGCTGCAAGAATTTTCTTTTTTGGAAACCATTCTTGAATATTTTTTAGATCAATATCGCTATCGATTTTCAATATTTCTTCTTTGGCAATTTTTATCCAGTCTATTGATGGTTCATTAATAAATACTTGCATTACAGACAGTAAAATTACTTTATTGTTGATTAAAATTGTCAATGAGTTCACCATCGTTTCACGAATGAAACCTATAAATCAGAATTCCAAATTATTGTAGGTAATGTAATTAAGGAAATTGATAAAAAATGCTGCAATACATATTTTTAAGAATGCTTTACTTTTGAGTTTGTTAATAATAGCCTAATATACCTGTGACATTCAATGGTGCCATTAAAGAAATTAAATGAGGTGTCATTCTGAATGGGATTAGTTCTGGAATAACTTGCAAACTGGTAGCCGTGTGGAATGCAAAATTAAAGTCAATTCCTTAAATTTTTAGAAATTATTATGATCAATAAATTGTATATCCTCATAAAAATGTTGCTAAATTAACATGCTGACTGCCAACTACGAGATAATTTGTACTTTTCAGTACCATGGCAGACAAAGTGTTAACATAATACTTACCGATGCAATGGCCAGTTTTGATTGAAACAATAGTATTCATTAAATGTCGATCACCAATTCCTAACAACCAATGACATATAGAAAGCACAGAGTAACTAGTTATGAATTTTGATCTAAAGCAAATAAACATTTCAGCACTGTGACACATACTCAACAATGACAGCCTAAAGAACAAAAATTATTTATTTTAAAACACTTAATAATAAATATTAGATAATAATGGATATAATACTTTATATTATTAAACAAGATTTTAATACTAGGTAAAAAATTGTATAAAAAAGTAAGGTTGTAATTTTAATTAAAATGTTTAAAATATTAGTTTTATAAGTAAAACATTCAAATTCAAATACTCAATTATTTCAAATTTGAATAGTAACCAAAATTCAAAGATTTCCTATCACAAGAAGAAATATAGTTCTAAAAACTAAAAAAGTTTAAAAAACATTTAGGATTCAAACCTGTAACACATCAATTGTTAGTCAACCACTGAGTTACGTTACACAGTTTTTTTATCTTATTTAATTAAAATTTATATGAAGCTTACATAAATGTAATCAAGGTGTATGTTTGTGTGTATATAAATATATATACTTAGTAATCAGTATATTATTTGTACATTAAATATAATTCAGTTTGTGACATTTTGAAAATCCTCTATTTATTGTTTTATTAATTTTTATTTAAAATTTTTATAATTAATACAATAATTTAATTTTAAAAACTAAATTTTACCTTAAAATGTCTGTTGGAATTGATTGAGAGAGTTTTTTGAACATTGCTACAGTAGTGATGTGATTATATTCAATAGTAGCCTGTGCATAAATAGTTGGACTATGTGTTGAGTTTGTTTTTTTTGATAACCAACAATAATGTTCATTAAAAAGGTTTTCTCTATAAAAATAAATAATAATTACATCTCTAAACAATAAATTACCAAAACTTATAGGTGGATTATATTAGCAGTTCCTAGTGTGTGCCACAATGTCTTTACAGGGGCACCACCACAAAATTTTATCTGGTCTAAAAATACATTTTTTCAGGCTTTTATTTATTTTTATCTGTCCTTAATTAAGCCTTCAGAGTTCAGTTACAACATAGGAGCCGTAAATAAAAAAATGTTTGAGAAGCACTGCTTTAGACCAATAGTAAATTATGTAAATAACTACAAAAAATACTAAATACAAATTTGCTATATAGTTTTTTTTAAATACAATTTTTTTCAAAACTAACAATAAATGAGTTGTTCCAGATGTATCATTTTTAGTGATTGAGTAGCTGATGAGATCTTTAATTGTAATTGTATCATCAATCCATTCTATCATACCCAATCTGCTTGTAATTGGTACAACCTATAAATTGTATTATTTTAAGTTATTAATTAGGTAAACATACAAAATTCAAGTAGACTAGACTGTTACTTTACTTCTAAAGATAAAAACTAAACAGTTACATAGTTTATTATATTACGTACTGTGTATGTCATTACAGAAAGCTGTCTTTTACAATATGCTTCTTCAGATAAAATGCTGTTCATCAATAAAAGCAGTTGCTCTATTCTTTGATCTTGCCTTAAATCTTCATTTGATTTTACTAAAAAACTATATTCTATTCCATCACTTCCAATTATGGTAATTTTTATCGGGCGCCGTAATGAGTACACAACTAATACCTAAAATAAAAATATTTGTATTACTAAAAATTGTATTCTTACGTTTGAATACTTTAAAATTAACTGCCATCCTAAACTTAAATAAATTAAAAAAATATTTATCTAAAACTGGTTAGAAAAATTGAGACCACATTGTATAAAAATAAAAACACTGGCCATCCCCATGTAGATGGGGCTTATGAGTGTAAGGTGAAGACTCAGCAGTATTGTATAAAAACACTTAATACTAAAAAAAAAAAAAAATGTATTATTTATTTATTTATGAAATATTGAGTGGATCAATTAAAAAAAATCACCTTTTATATCATAGCAATAAAAAATAATTTGATCAAATTGTTTAATGGTTGAAAATTTGAAAGTACATTTATGATCAGAAAAAAATGTCTATATATTAATAAGATAAATGTGTACAGAAATATAGGTTAGACCTAGGCAAAAATCAAGAGTTTTACACACAAATTAATTAACAATAATTTGCGAAGAAAATCTCATTCATATTTATAATCCAAATACCAATTTTTTATTTTTTATATTAGTCAACTATGCAAAAAAATAATATCCAAGTTTCTTTTCTACTTCTATAAATAGAATGATATTAATAATGACCATTATATTATAATATGTAACATTTTGGTAGTAAAGAGAAATTGATAATGAAATCTCGTCACGATTCCCATTAAAAGTGTGGAACATATTATCCATGTGCAAAATTCAAGTAAAGAGAAGTGTTGGCAGAAGATGGATATTGTGCTAAAGAACCTTTGGGAATGGTATAATACAACATTAGCTAACCTGCTTCGAGCCAGCACAAGTAAATTTAGGATAGCTAATACAATGGCCTTTCTAGAGGGATGGTGTAAGAAGAAGAAAAAGAAGAATATTTTGTCTTTATAATAAGAGCGTTATGATTAAATATATTAAAAGTACTTTACTTTTGATTCAAATGAGGAAATTGTAATGTGCTTAGAAGGGTTAGGAATTTTTAACCCTGAATATTGGCCTGGTACTTCAATACTGTCAATACAATACATTGAATATTTCATAAGCCAAGGGCAGTAATGAATAAATTTGTTTGACAACATCTTATAGTTTCTTTTTTTTTCTTCCATTACATTGTGCTTAATAAGATCTAATTCTTTTACAGCAGTTTTTTGATCAATACTAGAACTCAAATGACGATCTACAAGTAAAAATATATACATAATATTTTATACCATTAGAAAATTGAATTTTTTTAATAAACATGTATAAGGCATGTTTTTATAAACACACCTAGAATTGATTGTAATCCATTTTTATAGCAATCCAATTTTTTGAACTCTAATCCTTTAATATTTTTATTTTCATCAGTTAAAAAACATTGGTTAAACATGCGTTTGAATTCAAATACAATTGCAATTGAGCATGTCATTCTAAATGATTTTTGTATACAGTTTATGTGTTCTAAGAGTTGTGAAAATGGACAACAGATATTGTTTATTCCATTTATAAACAAATCAAGATTATTATCACAAACCAAAGGATACAGTCTTAAAAAAAAAAATAACAACAATAATATTAATAAATAGAATTAAATAATAAAATTGTTTAATATGTCAGTCAATCAATATATTACTCAGGGTCATTCACTAACTATGAATCCGGCAATACCTATCTTAAAAGACATTAGACTTTTTAAAATTCTATTTCATACTTTCACAGTTATTAGTCAATAAACAATACTGGTCAATAAACAGTTTTGGTTTATATTACTCTTTAAGTTTAAGTTTAAAATATAAGACAGGAGTAAAGTGCGGTACATAATACTACTATTCCTCCCGTCCTATACTTAAAACTTTAACAACTATAAAAATAAATATCCATAACTGTTATTGAACAGTCAAAATAATCAGCAAATTATTTTTAATTTAAAAAGGGAATAGTACAATTCTTAAACATTTAAAAAGCTTAACTTTATAATGTTTTGACACACAAGGGATATGGTTATATTTTTAAAAAATAAATAAATTGGGCGATCTATAACTATAAAAGTAAAAAAATTAATAATTTTATAAGCCTTATAATTTCTAAAACATGGGCTTGTGTATAATATATTATGAAAATTATTGCACTTACTTGGTTTTTAAGAATTCTTGGGTTTCGTGAAATTTATACACATCTTTTTCCATATAAACTCGTAGTGGATATTGTAAAGCTTTAGGATATATTTTAGCAATACTAATTAAAAGTGTACCAAATACACTTATTAGAGGAGAATCTAAGCAACCCAATATTTGATCAATCCATTCCAATAACATATATTCAGGTAAATCTTGACTCTAAATGGTAACATATAATAATAGGAATTTATTTTAAATTTGTTTTTTAAATATTAGTTATCATGTACTTCTTTAATGAATATTTCCTTTAGTGTATTATTTGTGAGATTTTGCTGTAAAACTAAAGGAAATAATATCCAGGCTTTTTTTCCACCATACTTCATTGATTTTAATATAGATTCTACAAATAAACTTAATTTGTGTATATTTTTATCATTTCCTGAAAAAAAATTGTTTAATTACCATACTATTTTTATTATTATAAGAATTATAAAGTTATCCAAATAATTATTTTACAATTTATTCAAATAATTTATTTTTAATTGATTAGAATTAAACATTATTTGAATCATTTTTCTAGTTTCTTTAAATAAAAAATGATTTAAATAATCATTTGAATAATTTTTACTTGAAAAGGTAATATGTTATGTATAATATGATTATTTAGATATTTTTTTAATCAATGATGCACAACTTTAAATGTAATATACTTTATATATTCACTAGTCTTTGTAGAATCAAATATACCTATGCAAAAAATACATTTGGCTTTAATTGTTAGAACTTAATAGTAATAATAACTCTGTTCCTATAAAAAAGCATGTGCTACTTGGTTCAGTTGGTAGCATTATTTAAAAAAAGACAACTGGTGATACAGACTTAATTGGCCTATTGCACCGCTTGTACATTATATTGGTGGCCATGTATTCTTGATGTGAGCTCATTAATGTAATGGTTAAATCACTCTTGGTTGTTACTACAAATTAAAAATGTTTAACTTCTTAAAAAAGATAATCGGGTTTTCTAAATTTTGATTAGGCACCAGCGCCTTTTCCCAGATACCCCCATCCGTGGCAATATGCAGTACTGAGTAACTGAGGATTATTGAAACCTGTAGTTGTTATTTTCAAATAACGCTATACTGACTAAAAGGAGTATTGTATCATAATGCTGTTTTACCTAAAGAATTTAATTTTAAAGTTACTAATAATAAGTAAAACAACAAAATTTACTTTGGGTCCTTTAAGCAAAAATAAAGTAAGCAAGTATTTTTTCTTATTTTGTGTTTTATGGCAAAAAATGATATTGTGAAATTATAATGATATTATACAAAATCATATTGCCAATTTAGCCAGTAAGCTAAATTAAAAAAAAACCTAAAACAAATTGACGTTTGTCTTGTGATAGTATCACAGATTTTTATACTACAATACCTTGTGTATCAAATTCCTTTAAACAATGTTGAGCTAACTTCAAGTATGCATCAATTATTATATTGTTTGATACTTTGTTACATAAAGCAATATTTATGGCATATTTTAAGTTTTCAATTACATTGCTATCAATCTGATGAATTATTCCATGTGGATCACTGAAATTACAAACGTTTTATATTGTGTTGAACATTAAGAATATTATAAATTAAACTAAAAATGATTCTATAATTATTAGAGAGAAAACTCTCACACCTTATAGAATAATTTGGTTTTAATAATTTTTTGTTTGTTTCCTACAAAGCACAAATTACTTAGATTTTTAAAATTCGATCATGCTTTAAATAAGAGTTTAATTAGAGCAATTTTTGTTGGTTTTTTCTTAACTAATTTTTTTTGGTAATTTAATAAAAAATTAAAGTCGAAATGCCCAGTACAGTCTTCTTTTTTCAAACAGAAAACAAAAGAATAAAATTGGATCTTCATTTATGACATAGCCTTTCCTAAAAGATTTTAAGATTTTTTTTACCAGTAAATGGCAGGCTATGACCCGAAAAATAAATTATACAGTGAAATTATACCCAAAAGCTCATACAAGAAAACAAAAAATAATTTGACGTCAACATTTAAATGTTGCCAATATTTTGTAATTCCATAATTTATAGTAAAAGAAGGTTCTATATAAAACTAAAACTTAAGTACGGGTACAAAGTTACACACAGCTAAGCATGAATTGGTCCATAAGCCTAACTTAACCATGTTTAGACTAATCAAATTATCTAATAAGGGTATAATCAAGTTTTGTGTAACTCAGCATATGTAATTATTTTTAGTGAATTGAAAGTCTTATGAAAATGTTAATAACCTGAACAAATAATGTTACAAGTACAGTTTACATGCTATAAACATACCTCATTTCTGATTTAATATTCAGCTTTTGATTCACTTGAATTTTTAAACTGTGGTCAATTTGTTCAGTATTTGTACTTTCATAAAAAATAGTATGTATATTTGTTGAAATATCTGCTATGTGTGTGTGCATTTTTATCAAACAAATGGGCGAACACTGTTGTTTATTTATTTTGTCTAAATAATATGTTAATTGGTTAAACTGTAATAGTAATTTACAAAGTTTTTAATGACATATTGTACTCAATTTTTAATTACCCAATTCTGACAATGAATCAATATAGTATTTAAGTTTTTTTTCAGGTTTAGTAGTATACCATGTATACATTGACAATACTTTACTATGACATAATGTTACATCTGACATCCAATTGTTTATATTATTCTAAAATATATATACATCGTATATACTTAAATTGTTCTTTATATTTCTACAAAAATAGTAATTCTAAACTATAAATGTATAAATTACTTTATTTTGTAGTTTGTTCATGTATTTTTTTGCTACATAAAAATTGTTTTGATTTATAGCACATTCAACAAATGCTAGTGTAGATTGCATTTCATATTCCCTTATGAGTTGAGTTAAAGATGTTTTTTCTTCGATTGATAAATTATTATTACTTTCTTTTATTTTAGAAAGAAAAAAAGACCTTTGAACATTTAAAATTAAAATGTAAGTATCCATGTAAAAATTATTTTTCATTGACAAACCTATAAAGTATTTTAGTATCCCAAAGTATAATTGAATCAGATTTTACTGGAAGTTTAGATTGCCACATTTTTATTTGATCACAGATAGATTTTAAATTGTCTATGGGTTTTGTCAATAATGACAATGTGTAACACTACAATAATACATAATCATATTAAATTAAATAAAAATAAAAAGTAAAACTAGTCTTACATAAATTTCTGATACTGTTTGCAAATCTAATAACCGTTCAGCTCGTAGTTTGTCATATTGTGGATCTATATTGGCCCATTCATGCAGAAAATTACGCATACGATGTTTACAATAAAGTTGCGCTTTTTTAAACTCATTACAACATAAATATATCATACTGGCTTGTGGTGCTGTATTTGTCTGAAAAATTGAATTACTAATGAATAATACTTTTTAAAACTTTTATACATTGTTGTATATTTTACAGAGTATAAGAAAAATCTGTTATTAAAATAATAAGATAATTTAAAAATGTAATATTTTTAAAATATGCCTGTTTCTAGGCTTATCTTCAGAAATTAAAAACTTCTTGATGATTTTTTCTTTATAAATATCAATCTAAGTCAAAAGTAACAATGTAGTAATAATTCAATTATAAAAGAAAGACGTAAAAATTTATTTAGCTTTAAATTTACCAGTATATGTTCTTCCTTTTCAAAATTACTTAACCATTCATTGAATATATCGATAAACTTTCCATCAGATTGTCTAGCATAAATGTTATGTAATTCCGAATTTAAAACTCTAGGGAGGAGGTGAATTTTGTTCCTGTGAAGTAATATCATTAAACAGTAATTCCAAATATAGTTTATTTTGCTTTGAATCAGTGCTGAAAAAGTTGGTTATTTGCAAAGGTTGCAAAATAGTAAACTCACCAATTACTATCCCAGATTCGTTCATAATTATTTCCAGCTTGTAATTTCAACACTCTGTTTATTTCTTTCCAGTCAGACAAATATTCTGAACACTAAAGTAATAAAATTATAATATTATTTTATTTTACTTTTTTTTATATTCAACAAATAGAAACTTATAAACCTTGTAATATTCCTCAAACAAAAAAAAAGTATCATTAGTTAAAATTGAATTCTGCGAGTAGCTTTCTATAACTGAGTGAAATTTAGATTGAGCCAAACGCCAATCTTTAGACTGTTCAGCTTTTAAACCTTCTTGTAATAATTCACATGATATTTTATTTATCTTGTCTTGAAATATACCTTCAACTACATCTAATTCACCAATATTTTTGTATAATCTATGAGTAATAAACAATAATTCAACAGGTTTAACTTTTTTTTTTACAATCAAATATTTACTCTGCTAATTTAATCCAAGCATCATCTAAATTTTCATTAGGTTTAGTCTTTTTTCCTGGTTGCACATCTAAATTTTCTGATTCTAAACTATTTATTGATGACTCAATAACTAATGCTCCCATTGACAAAAGACCACTGGAAATTGCAGCTAAAACAAAAATCCCATATTACATACAAATAGTTTATAATACTCTAAGCTCTAAGGTCACCTTCAGTCACTCTACAAATATTTATATGTATTTCCGATGGGTAACAGAATGCTGTATCCAATATAAATCCAACAAACGAAGTGTTATAATGACAGTCATTTACCATTTTTGCTAAAGAATTGTTTAAACTTTCAAAAAAAGAATGTTTATTAATAATATGGTCTTTTAATCCAGACATTATAGAAGACAAAACGGTTCTAGATATTCCATTATCTCTCTGAAAAAAAAAATTATTTATTTAATTTTATAAATATTTCATATTTAGTTAAATATTACGTGATAATAAAAATAAAATTACATATTAAAGGCAAGAAGACTTATGAAGTTATGGTCCTTTTTCTTTTAACATTAAATTAAATTTTAAAATTTTAATTTTAATTCATCCGTTCAAAAGTTAGATAATTTGAAAGTGAGGATGACTGGTGATGGGAGGTGGAGTGCGGTAGGTAACGCAAGCAGATAAAAATAACTCTACGCGGTTTACTTTTTTGCACTCCACCTCCCGTCACCAGTCATCCTCACTGTCAAATGAATATAACTTTTGAACGGATGTTAAAAATACAAATTTTTTCCCCAATTCTTTTGAATAAAATAGCTAACTTGAAAAAAAAAAGTAAAACAGGTAAGTGCAATAAAAACCGTGGTGCTTACACCGCAAATGAGTATAAATTATTTTTAAAAAAAAAATCTCAAAAATATTCACTAGAACAAAAGTTATTTCATTAGTCAAATCATTGTGGACCACCTTGTATATATGTTGAAACTACATAATGGGTATGTAGATACTCGTATTTTTTAAAAAATTATTTAGAATTCATATTTTTATTATTTTGTCATAAATCTAAAAATAATATTATACAAAACCAGGTTAATGAAGCGTGACTACATACAAAATAACGCTAATGTCAGAAAAATTAACTTATTTTGTTTATTTTACTCTTAAAATTAATTTAAATTTTATCAAATACTGATGTTAAAATATGTTTATTATTAGGTTGAAAAACTATATACAATATAATATATCTTCAGGTAGACTGATATTAAACAATTTCAATTGTCCTCTAAATTGAAAAAAATAAAACCGCATTTAACAAAAACTTTTTTATATTGTTTATTTACATTTGATTCTACTGTAACGAATTTTGAATTTGAATTGCAAGCTTCATTAAAACACCTACCTGGTAAACTGTTTTGCCTACAATCTATACAATATTTTAAAATATTTAATTAATAATGAAAGTAACTATATTGTAAGCATACTTCTTAATTTTGTTTTTATTTTACTTACTTTGGCTAGTTCAATTAAAGGTTTAATGATTGAGGAGTTTGTTATTTCAATATCTGGAAAATCTCCTATCCTGTATTCTCGAAACATGTTAACATTTGCTTCGCGCTTTTGGGCCCTTTCTTTTTTAAAAATATCTCTATTTTCGTTGATTTGTATATTTTTCATGGCATGTATTTTGCTTTGCAATTGTTTGCTATGCAATATACGTCTTTGCTGTTTTTGTATAAAATCTGATGTTCCTGTAACACAATATCCAAATACTTAACACAATTTATCACCTTTTTTATTTCTACCTAAATTTTTTTTAAATTAGGGTGAGTAGCTGCTAACATGATGTTTAATGTTAAAGAAGAAGTGCTTTTATTTCAAGAATACACACTGAGTAACTAAAATAAAATACTTTAAAAAAAAGCTACAACTCTTTAACTGGTATGTTATACCTGTACATTGGATTATATGTTGGATAACACACCGAGTTACACTATAATTAATACTATAAACAAATAATTAAACAATGTTAATTAAAAAAAAGAAAAACCAATTTCTGTATATTACTTATAACATATTAACAAATTAACGGCACAATACGGCAGTACAAAAATGACTAATTGACTACAACTGTTGATCACTAGCGAGCGTGGTTATTCCTGACCAGTGTTACCAATGTTTGTCATTGCTAACAATACTATTACGTAATTATTAATTTATGTATTTTCTTTTTCTTTTATTCAAGGTGATAATGAAGGGGATATATCCCCACATGAACTTTTTTTTGTAATGAGGCATTTATGGTATCTATAATTTATATTTATCCAAATTTCAAAGAAAGGATATCAAAATGTTTTAGAGTGCTCCTTAAATATAAACCTCAAACCCTCCTTTTGAAAAACTTAGCACCCCACGGCCCACTGTTCTTTACTGAAATTCCTTAATTACTCTTTACTATGTCAGACTTAGAGGCTTACCTATCGAAAAAGAATAATGAAAACACAAAATACCTTTTTTTTGGTCATTGGCTTCTAGAACAATATTATTCGTTGATGAATCTGTACTATTCAATGTTGAACTAGAACATAAATCTTGAACAGACATGTTGTTGGAAGAAAATTCATATTCAGTTGGTTCAAACTGAAAAGTCATAGTTCTTTTTATTTGGAACATTGTACCATGAACAGATGTTGAATATTCATGTGTATTTGACTGATTAATTTGACTAGCTATTGTGTCTGCATATATGGGAACTGAAGATAAATGCTGGGCACGCCACGAAGCAATGAACTTATAGTTTTCAAATTTGCACACATGAAGTGGGTGTTGAAAAATATTTTGTTCATAATCTGATGCAGTACAACATGACTCTAGTAAGATACTGACTAAATTGCCCAAAAAATTTGATTCCGTATTAGGTAGATATAATTGATTCATTAGTTTTAGTAAGCGGTCAATGCATTTGAGAGGCAGTTTTTCATCATCAGCCCAGTATCTAAATAAACCAATTAAATTAAAAACTATAGAAATCAATTTTAAAATGTTATAATTAAAATAATGAATTTAAGTATTTAGAGCCATACTACTATATTTTTACATATTTTTAAAAATGATAAAAATTGTTAATTAATTAATACAAGTTTTCATTAATTTATTAGACTTATTTTGTGTACAAATACTTTATAAAACTAATTAAAAGAATAATACTTTAAGTTTAAATTTATTTATATTAACCTGAATACTTCTTTACGTAGTTCTTTATCGTTGTCCATTAATCCAGTCAATAAACATTTCTTACATACTTCCGTTATTTGTTTTGACTCATTATTCATATGTCCTCTACATAATAAATACAAAAGATTAAAATATTGGCTAATTTTTTAATACTTTTTTTTACCTACATGTGAATTTTATGAGCCGTTTTCATAATTTCATAAACCTGTTTTCTATGATTCCTATTATTTTGATTTGGAATTTCAACAATACTATTAATCAATAAAATTAAATCTTCTGCTTTAAGGGACTTTACAAGATTTAAAATGATATTGAGACATATTAGTTGATCTTCAGAATCACTATACATTAACAAAGTATTATCCATTATAGTCAATTATAAAAATACATACAATATTTGTTAGTAAAAGTTGACACTAGCTAAAATAAAATAACTATGGCTGTTTATCTTAATAGATTGACTGAACAAAGAGATGTATACAAATCAGAAAAATAGCTAAAAGAAAGATAGCAACAATGCAAAAAGTGTGAACAAAGGTTAAGTCAAACGGTTGCGGCAACATTAAAGAATTATTTAAAAAAAACTTGAAATGAAAAATTAAATCCAAAGAAAAGGTTTAATCTATAAACGGACGTTCTATCTATGGTAATCTATGGTAGTCTACTGTTGTTGAAGGTGATGAGTCAATATATAAAAATTATAAATAAATATTGTTACCTGTCTTTTATTATATCAAAAAATCCGTGTAGATGTGATAATTGTTCAAATGGACGATCAATTAAATCAAGTCCATTTGAAAACATTTCCAAACATTGAGTACGATGATGTCCATGTAAATTTTTAAAAATTTTAAATAAGTCATTCATGTAACTATAACATTACAACAAGCATTATATTATATTATAACAATATCTATACAATACACCAAAAAATGTACATTTTTTCACAAGTTTTGAGCATATTACTAAATATTTAAATTATGAGTTTATTAAAATATGTTTAATTTGGCCATACCTTATGAGAATTTTTGAATAATGTTTTTGAATTGAATAAAGACATGATAACATCTTGGTAATGTTGCTATTTTCCTTTAGTTTGATAGTTGAAGTGACATTATTTACTAAGTCAGTTTCAATAATTAAGGTTTCATCAACAATTCTAAAAAACGTGTCAATTATGTTTTATTTAAAATATTATTATATTATATGAGTCATAAAGGAAACATACTTTAAGATCATTCCAAGTAATTCTGATGATGTTACATAAATCCCTGGATAGTTATTTTTCAAATTGTCCAGTAATATATTAAAAAAACTGGAAAAAATTGGAAAATCAAATTTTTCTTGCCGTCCATAAACATTTAGTTGTAAAAAACCTAACCTTTTTATGTATCTATTAATACAGCCCCAGTAACATAGTATATGAAATGTGAAATAATTTAAATGTTTGTGATTTAAAAATTTACAGAAAATCTAAAATTAATTGACTTTATCATAAACAAGAAAACTTTCACTTACATTTTATTGTTGTGTATAGAAAAAGGTAGTATTCCATTTGCAGTTATTATTCCTACCAAGTGTAAGCCACATTCAGACCAAATATTATTAGTTGTATCAGGTTTTATCAAATGTAACAAAACATCATATTCCATTTCCAGAGATTGTTTCCAATTTTCCACAAGGAGCCTAAAAATGTAGCAAATATGTTTATTTAATATTAAATTATAAAATAACTTTAGTTTATTATTATATACAAATATTTTGTTAACTTTTAATGACAATAAAAGTACCATACTTACTTAATTAACTCTATATTATGTTTAAACACATTCTTTACTTCAGTTTTAGATACGGACAGGAGAAAACACAATAATTTTTTTGCAAGATTTTTTTCTTCATTAGTAGATGGAATTGCAGAAGTTTTCCAGGAAACTAACATTGTAACCTGTTTAACAAGAAAAATGATACAAATATATAAAAGTATATATAATTTAAAATATCCTCGCAAATCTTAGAAGTATTAAATTTAAACAATTACCACATCTGCCAAAAAGTAATTCATACTATTTCCAAGTTGTTTTTCCAAAATAAATTTCATAATAGGACTAAGCCATTGTTTAGCATATGGCTCAAAATACGATTCACAGTTAACAATTAATTTCATTAAAAACATTTTAAAATTTTTATCTTTTGAAGAGTCCTGACAAAATGACAATTTCAAATAATTCATCCATTCTGGCATATCAGTACAAGACTAAAATTGATTTAATTTGCATTATAAATACAACTACCACAAACAAATATTAACTAGGTAAACATTAAAATATACTTCTGTGCCATGATCAGTTACCGAAGCCATGTGTGCTATAACAGCACATAAGTGAGCCATGCATTCGTGGTTATTAAAATCATCTAACTCTAACTCAACACTTACAGGTTGACTGAACAATTGAGACTGTAAAAATATATTTTTTATTACATTTATATATGTACTATTGTAAATATTAAATTATACTAATAATACTAGTGGTAGAAATTATTTGACCATTCAATTATTGGAGTAATTAAAATAATTAGTCAAACTTTTATTCGAATATTCTAATTTTTAAAAATAAAATTAAACCCAGAACAAGACTTACATTTGAATGGTATAAATCATCATCTAATGATAAACTAGATCTTAATGAAACATTATTAAAATCAAACTCATCTGCCAAAGAACTCCTTAAATAAGTTTGAAAATTAATATAATTTTCTGAACTATTGTTTTTATTCATTTTTCTTTGAATATTTATCAGTATTTTTCTTCGTTGTGGCAACTATTAATAAAATATCAATAATATTTATAATAATAACTTTAAGATTATAGCAGTAAATAAATAGACAAACCATTTCAAAATCTATTGGTATTTCATAATGCTTATCATTATCTAAAAGATGTTTCCATATACATGTTTTCGGTAAATGCTCATAGAATAAAAACATGGAAAAAACATGTACATCATTACCAGCTGTATTACTTATAATGGTAACAAGCATGTTGTAAGCATTACAATGCAATAATCTTAATAAATGTATTTCACGTGATTCACTGGTATATTGTACAGCAATGTTTCTAAGTTTTACAGCACTACAGATAGATCATAAGTACACCATAAGTATATGCTTATAAATAGATAGTGTACTATATATATATATATCTTACGAGTTTCTAAAATGAATTAATAACGATTTAGATTGAGTTTGAGTTAATGAATATGGTATTATTGTGGGGCAATTAATTTCAGTAGTACTGAAAAATCTAAACATTTCTTCAACAAGTTTAAAGCATGTAATTTTTGATATCAATAAATTCCGAGCCTGAAAAAAATGTAAGGACAGTATTAATATTGTCACTATTATGAAAAACAGTTAGCATAACATACTTTTCCACTACAATTGGCCAACAGATTTTCATTATTAGTTTTTAAAATAAATTCCATCATAATAGAATACATATGTAAAGCCGCGTCTTTTTTGCAATAAGTTATTAACGGAATCAAAAAGATGTCAGCAACCATATGTCTTCGATCTTCTGATAGATATTCAGATATAAACTTATTATATATAAAGGTACAACAATAAACCTGATTTTCCTTGTTTAACCTAAAAAAAAAAAAATAGCAAAATTAGTTATAGTTATTATGTAAAAAACATTATGCTTGTTTAAATACATAAATTAATAACATACAGTTTAAAATAGTAGAGTAAAATGACAATCAAGAATGTTGATTATACTTTTTGTTAGCTCCAGATACCATAATAAAAAAATTGAAAAAGCATCTAAAGATCTAAAGCATCTATTAGATGTGCCCTAATTAAAAAATAGCTTTGATTTAATTTTCATCTATCTCCCAAGAGGGGAGGAAGGTTTTTTATTTTTTTTATTTTTAGGTTTAATTTTAGGATTTAAGAGGAGAAATTATTTAAGTTAAAATACAATACGGAAAGGGTATATTTAATAGTTTATTGTTTTGCATACTATTGTTCTCAATATGCATTAAATAATTGCTTATTAAAAAAATTCTTTTACATTAGAGTATGAACTTTCCCCAAAATTAACTCCATAAAATACCTTTTAGGTGACCATTCACACTGATTAAGTAAATCAGGTAAAATAGAAAAAATTAAGCACAGTATAAAATAGTCTGTAAGATGTTAGCTAAGTGGGGTCACGGTATTTTATTAATCTTAACGCTTCAATATGAAATCAATTTTGTCCAATAACCACACATCGCGTCAAACAGTTTTCTAAATAAGAACATAAAATAAATTATTTATACAAATGTCAACTAGATCCGGCTATTTTTCACCAAACTAGAGTGTGTCAAAGTGATATAATCAATACATATAAAACACGGGTTTCTCAAAAAAATTTGTAGTCTTATTTTAATTTTATTTATTTATAGATTAATCTATAGATATAAAAAAAAAAAAAAGTTACCCTCACTCCTCGGAAGAAGTGAGATGAAATTTTAAACTGAGAATATCTTATAAATGTTTAATAAAAAATTTCACTCGATCAGAGCATTTCTTACAAATTAATAGCAAATAAAAGTTTGTATGAAAAATTTGGAATTTTTTGTAGGGATTTTTTTCTATTTTTAAGTGTGAAGGCATTTTTTCAACATTTCTGTCCCTCTTTTCCAAAGTGCAAACTAGACACAATTGTTACTGATCAAACAAGTAAATCAATTACTTTAAAAAAATTAGATACCTACAAAAAACACACATCAGCTTTGAATTGTATTTAAAATTACCATCTAGAAAACTTCAAAAGTAGATGGCAAATTTTAAAAGCAAACTTGTTATTTTTAAGAAAAAAATTCTATGTTTTAAGTACATGGTTTAATTAGTTTTTTTAATCACACATATTTTGAAACTATGATATTTTTTATTTTATGTGCAGCCTATCTAATAAAATATTGATGTAAGTAACTAATCATTGTACATTTTGTTATGAACAAAATTAAATTTATTAAATAAAAAAATAAAATAAATTAGATAAGTAAACAGAATAAAAAAAGTTATAACATACCTTTTAAAAAAAAGTTGCAAGTATTTCTTTACACAATTAACACAAGGGTGTTTAGGGTCTTTTATACACCATTCGACAATTATTTCAAACAACAGACAAGATGAACATAGCTCCATCGCTATCAAAATTTTGTTGAATACCAATTTTATATTATCTTCTTTTTGTAGTTTAGTTGTTGAAGTCATAGGAAAAACATTATCTCGAAAATTCATTAAACATTTTCTGAAAAACAGAAATGCATTTATTTTACAATTGAAAACTATTGATAAAAAAAAACCTTAGGTAAAGTTAAATATTATTTCAGAAGTCAAGCTTAAAATTGGTTAAGCTTAATTAATTTATAAATCTATACTTATATGATTTTCATATTATATAATTAATAAAGTTACCTGATGACATTATCGAAAGGTTCTATAATACATGTTTGTTTAGATACAAGCTGTGGTAGCAGTCCAAGCAACTGGCACTTTTGGTATACATTCAATTTATTGTTAGTAATTTGTTCACATACCCAATTTTGGAAAAAGGCAAATTTTTCATTTCTAAAATTGTCTACTAATAGTGATGACAACTGTACTAACTCAAAAATTTCATCCCAGGATAATTGGTCTTTTAATTGCAACCAATATTTTTCATTGTTAATCACTTTTTCTATCAATGATTGGGCATTGCTATTTAATAGTTATAAGATATAAATTCAGAAATAAGAAAAAAAAAAAATTAACCTTTACTTACAGTTGATTACTTTTGGCTTCTTTAAGTAAATTCACAATAATATACAGTATTTTATATGTTTTTATTGTGCTTTGAACAAATATTTCATAAATAAATTTATCAGGAAATGTTTTTAAAATATGTTTAGTTAATGGTTTTTTGAAAACTTGAAAGAAATATTGTCCATAATGTAATTTACTGTTTGTATCCGGCTCAGTTATCTCACGTGGGTCTGTAATTTGTTCTATCAACTTCTCAATCTGAAAAATAAACATTTTTTTTTAATATGGTTTATTTGTAATTATATGATATAGCATGTTTATATTAAATTGTTTAATGGTATACCTCACAATTGACTTTAAATGATAAATCCATAAGATCTTCAACAAATGAAAGTATAATAGGTTGGAACTTAACTGCAATTCCGTAATGACAAATATTTTGAAACAGTAAAGATTGAATCTGTTTTTGATCTTCAATACTGCAGAATGCCTGTATACATTTTTATTATTTTGCTTAAACATTTTTATGTCATGTAATAAAAAGGAACATAAAATAAATTTACTATTAAAAAATAATGTGACAAGCACCTAATACTTCTTACATTAAACTGTACTCAAAATTAGAAATTTTTAAACCGAATTATTTGCTATACAGTTAAGTTCAAAAATTCTGATCTAAAAAAAGGCATACTCAAATACTCAAAAACTTGACGACACCCACTGAATTTTTACTTTATAACTCATATTACAATTTATTTTCTTGTCAATAAACATCAAAATTAATCTAATTATAAAAGTTAACCAATTTAGAATATAAAATTTACCTCAATTGAAAAGACTTCACACTTGTCAAGTAATCTGATCCCTCGAATAAACTTAATTGGTAGATTATGTTCAGACAATGAATTTAGATTTTCTATAATACTTGACCATTCTTTCACAAAAAACTGTTGAAGCTTATTAATGAAACCTTGTGATTTAATAACCATACGGATATAATAAACAAAAGAGTATTTAGTTAAATTTGATTTTTCTATATAATCAATGACATTAGAACCAAAAATAAACCTTAAAAAAAATAAAACAATTAAGTATTTAATAATTACTATATTATACAATAATAATCGAAAATTTAATTATTACTTGATTGTAATACTATAAAGTTGTTGAATACTTGCTTCACTTAATATTTGTTCGTAATGATTATCTAATGAACATACAAAGTAAAATAATGCAATAATGACATTATTTTTTAATGAGTTAAATTTATTAGATAATATAACAGAATGCTTAGAATCGTATTTAAATTGTATTCTTGCATTTTCCAACCATTGCTTTAAGCTAAATTCCTCAACATAACTTGAAAAATAATCAATTGAGTGGAACAAACTAAAAATAAATTATAAATGTTATATGAGTTTGACATATCAACTTATGTAATAACTATTTTGTAAAATGAACACGATATTGTAAAACATTTTTATTTATTTACCACCCCAGTACATTATAGTTTAGAATAATATACTAATTGAGTAAAACAAGAATAACATTAGTATGATAGAAAATTTTTAATGTAATTAAGGCGGATGAGGGGCTAAATGGGTTAGGTGGCAGTATATAAGCTATCACTGTCACCAGTTTGACAGTATTGTTTGCTGGGCGGAAAACAAACTAGTAAAAATGAGTCATCATCCAGACAACCCAAACAAGAGTATTAAATCTGTCATAAACCTCCTCCCAAATAGGGGGACAAAAATGGGCTTTCACGCACCGCTTAAGCTGTTTTTGAATAGAGAATGAAACATAAAGTTTGTATGTTTAAACAACCAATTAATTAAAACAATGTTTTCTACACTATTGTAAAATAAGGCTAAGAAACTGATTAATATCTAATAAATCTCAGCAACTTATCTAATCTAAGAATTATAGGTTATTGTCTAAAGCAAACAGCTAATTAGTAGTTATACATAAATAAATAAATTATCACAGTATGGAATGCACAACACATGGTAATAATAAAAGTTTTAGATAGCAATGTACTAAGTACATACATTCTCCTTATTTTCAAGTGTCAAAAAATTTATATATATCCAACTTAAATATTATAAATTATTACTAGAACTTCTATGTGAAAAAAATATGTTTTCTTCACTTATTTATTTACATCGCAATAAAAATAAATAAATTACATATATAGTACCTGGTGTGGTTAGAGTTTGAAATCAAGTTAATATCCAGTATATTATCTTGAAAAAGTAGGGTGTAACATTCCAGGGAAGCAATTAATTGTTCCAACCAATCAATTAACATAAATGAAATTTCTTCAGAAGTCGCATCACTTTTTTTAATTAATGTATTAACTATTTTTAAGTTACGTTCTATACTGTCAATTAATTTTACATTTTCGGGTAAAAATAAATCAAGGATGGTTTTTAATGACGTATGACCTGTTAAAAAGTTAATTATTATTCAGTAAATGTGAATAATAATTTTAAACTTACCCTTAACTTTCTCTGCAAGTAATTTTGCCATTTTAAAGCATCTTTGTCTACATGCAGTAATTGGTGAACTTGAATATTTGTAAAGCCATTCAACTATATTAATTAATTGAGAGCCAGACATCTCTTGGGGCGCAATTCGGGTCAAACATGACTAGAAAAACATTGTTCTACAATCGATCACCATATCATTATAAAAGTATTAAAAAATTCTTATTTTACTTCATTAAAAATGTCTGATTTTTCCAAAAATACTTTCTCCAAATGATCTAATGATTGAATAACATCTTCCTTAGATAATATAGCATTGTTAGAATCAAGAATAAGTACAAAACAGAATAACAGTGGAATCCATATTTCATTTATAATAGTTTCGTCTTTTCTTAAAATAGTGTAGCATGAGTTAAAAGCAATAGCAGACCCTAGAAATAAAGATTTCTAAATAAACAACTTGTCAACAGATGAAGTTTAAGCAGCTTTTTCTTTAAACAATTTCAATCCAAAAATTAAAAATGTTAATACTTTAATTATTTATATATAAATTTTAAGTATTGATTCTAAAATTATGTATATATATATAAATATAGATATATGTGCTTTTATTAATGATGAATATTTTAAGGAGTAAAAAATGAAAATGTTTAATGGCCAATGGCTTACCTAATTGTTTGTAAGGATCAGTGCTCATACAAAACTGTTTTATCTTCATTAAGATCAAATTTATATTGTAAGGCAATTTACTATTTGTATCATTTTGTTTCAATGTCCATTGTATAAACTCTTTAATACATTTTGCCGAAAAATCTCTGATTGCAGGATTGCTGTCATCACATATACTGTCCTAATAAAACATAAATTCATAGTAAAGTTAAATTAGAAATTTATTATTTACCTACCTACTTACAAAAAATGCTTTCTAATTAAACTACAGTTTGTGAACTAAATATATTTATGTAACTAAATAGTTTATGATACTATATGAATAAAATTGATAAGTTGCAACTAAACAATTCAAAACCAAGATTTAATCATGATTAATTATGTTTACTAGAAATTAAGAAAATAAATTAAATAAGCGTGAAATAAAAAAAATTAACTATTAAGTTGTAGGATGTTTTCCTAATTAGATAAAATAGAAGTTTAATAAAATACAGTGACCAAAAAAGTTATGCGATAATGCACTTACTATAAAAATAATATACAAATTTATTTTAAACAACTGTTTATTTAACAAGTTATCTATATGGTACATTTATTTTTTAGAAATTAGAATATATTAATTTTTACCATTAGTATATCAATGAGAATTGGAGTATAGATACTTCTAGTTTGAATTTTGCTTGAAAAATAGTGAACTATTCCAAATGCTAGTGGTTCAAACAAATGTTTAACTAAATTGTCAACATCACAAGCCAATTTTAGAATTATAGGAATAATTTTTCTTGTAATAATTTTCATTTCTGTTGGTTTTAACGGTTCCAATTGTAAATCTATAAACGCAAAGCCTTAAAATTATTGAACTAAAAAATGTATTTATTTTTTTCCTATCGAAAACACACATCTACTTCTAAACCTTTCTACACTTCTAATCTCTCTTAGCTGTTTCATAATTTCACTTTCTTCTTTTCTATCACCATATTATATTTTCATGTAGTTTCATACCATTAGCGCAACTCCCGAACTTAATCTAATATACTTATTCCTAGGTACTTTGTAAAACAAATTGTTCAACAAACTGAAACACTTCAAACTTTTTAGAATTGTAAAATGTGAAAAAATGGAAAGGTATTTCAATATGCAAAACTTACTCAGTCCTAGGTATAACGTAACATAAGCATGAAAAATTTCACAAGCAATAACTCTAGTTTGGCGATTGCTACAACCTTGTGACAACTCTAAAATTCTTGGAAGCATATTGTCTTAAACAAATAATAACAGTCGTTATAGTCAACTATTAACATTAGTTTTAAATTCTTTTACTTACCAAAAGAAATATTTATTTTACAATCACTAAATGACAATTTATAGTTAATAATATCTTTAGGATAAAAGCCTTCATTCTCAGACTTTTCTAAAAGATTTAAGCACGTAGTAATATCCAAATGAGCTAAGAATTCTAGGATTTGGTTTTGAACTATTTCTAATTCAGTTTCTGGTTTCATTATGAGTTTATTTCTTTTAATCAATTTTCTTTTTTTTAATGTTTGGATTTTAATTTCATCTATAACATTACTATCTAATTCTGCTTCGTTTTCATATCCTGTGAACAATGGCATAATAATTTATATATCAAAATATTACTGTCTGCTTATAATATACATTTACACTAAACAGATTTAAAATTAATTGATTTATGAAAGCTGATAAATAAACCGTATCTAATCCTTACGGATATTAAGGTCGTTATTTTAACTGGTTTTTTTTTAGATGTTGTACCAACCCTTCGAATTCTTTATGACCTTTAAAAATGTAGAAATATCAATTTTAGAAATACCTATAATACTGCTTTATTTGACATATAATAAAACAATTATAATAAGGGATTTTACCTAAATGAAAGTAGAGAGAAGGTATTTCAAAAATATTTATTAATTTAATGAAAAACAATAAAACATAAATAGTTTTTAAAAAATGTGTAAAATCTATATTTATAATTTTTTATTTTTTCATTCAAGATTAATATTAAGTTAGTCCAACAGATAATTTGTAATAAGTACTTTCATCCCAAATTTTCGGAAGTTTTTTCACAAAATTGTTTTGTATTTTATGGTAATTTTATATTTAGTGGTAATTAAAAGCAATAACCAGGACAAATTTAATTTTGAACTAAAAATAATTAAAATTTAAAAAAATTTATTAAATTTGAATTAATTATATTATATACTTAGCAATTTAGATTATATTAGAACAAATAGGTTAATACGGCTGGACCTGCGCCTGACTTAAAAGTCATAATCGAGCTATAAATTTAGCATTTAAATATACACAGGATATTCTGTCATGGTATATTTCAACACAGAATATAATGTTTGGAATATTTTTCATGGAATATTATGTCATAGAACCTAATTAAACTTACTTAATTAGACTTTATAAAAAATGGATTTAATATCAAATATATTATAAAATAACTAACCTTTTGTCCTCAAAAGCAAATCAATATAAGGCATGCAATATTTTAATATTGGATCAATTTCATTTTTAGATAAACCTAATTGCCATCTTTGAAGCGCACTAACTGCATGTTTTGCCAAAGGTAAATAAGATGCGCCTACTGTAAATGTTAGCTATAAATAAACAATTTAATAAAATTAGTAATTGATATTTTTTCATAATATTATTCTACCTTCATTATATCCATAATTTGGTTGTTATCCATTTCTTTAATTAGCAATGGAGGTAGAGACATAAACATTTCCAGACAAGCAAATTGTAGATCACCCTTAAATTTATGTACTTCTATCATTGTGCCATTTACATATTCTACAATTATTTTTTTGACAGTAAAATTATTGTCTTTTAATGATGAATCCCCATTTATAACTTTAAATATAACAGTTAATAGCTTATACAATGAACTAGCAGTTGGTAATTCCATCGAGCGCTCTATTAAAACAGTCAGAGTGTGTGGTAACCAAGTTGAAATAGTTTCAGTATCAGAATCTAAACTCAGCATTATATCATTAAATAACTGCACAAGATTAAGCAACGCTGTGTAGTCTGAAGGATTAAAAGCAGTCTCTTTATCCAACTAAAAGAAAAAATATATTATCAGAATAAAATAAGCAATATTTGTAAAGTAAAATGTTGGTACTTCAGTTGTTTTATTTATTCGTAAATCTAATTTTGCTACTACTTTCAAGATGTTAGACATGAAAACTTGTAACAACGTCGCTGATAATGACCTTTTTACATGTAGTGGAATTTCTGCGAATACAAAATTATTAATTAAACAAAAAAAAATAACAGATTCTATTTTTAAGTATTATTCAAAATATATATGTATTTAAATAATAATGTGTGTATTATAATGATGGTCGCTATTTGTAATTTTATAATGGAACTCAGCAAATGGTTTCAAATGGGTAAAAAAATTACTAAATTTTTTTTTAATTTCTGTTTGAATCTATAATATTTTTGTTTTGAGTGAAAAACCAAAGTATCTAATGTATTCAAAAATAATAATAACAACAAAACAAATATTTGTATGATTAATGTTTAAATAATTATTTACTATATACATATATCCACAACCCCAAGTTGCTTAAAGTTTTTTCTAGATTAACAATTAAGTATTAAGTTTTTTTTTTTTTTAAATGTGTGTTTACATGCACTTTCCTATATAGTCATTTATATAATAAACATAGTTTTAAAAGTAAGTTTGACCAACTAAATGAGGTCAACCTCAAGTGGTTCCTTTAGTCATAATTTCCCATTTAATTTACCCGTAAAATATTCATATTTCATAGAATTGTTAATAGCTAAAACATAGGTATTCATATTTTTTTTAATTTGAAAAAAGATTATGAAAGCTAACATTTCACCTTTAAAATGCTTTATAATACATTTATAGTTTTTGTCCATGTTTTTTAAGTATTCTTATTGGTAACTATTATGCAAAATTTTATAATTACTAAAAAGTATTTTTATAAAAGTTACATGCATGCTACAATAATTATAATAAAAGTCTAGATATTAGTTATTAATATTTTTTATAAAACTGAATTTTTTACATGTAAATGAAATGAGGAAAATATAGCTCTATATAAATTACTACATATTTTTTTTATCAATATAAATTATAGTAACAATTATTCATACTTAGATCAAAGTCATATATACTGCATTGATCAGCTTTTAACAAAGAAATCCAAATAGGAACATAGTTAGTAAATGTAATGATTGTGTGACCCGAACAGTCCTTTATAAACTCAGCATCCACAACTGCACGATGCGAACACGACTTAATTAAAGCCATGTAAACTATAAGACATATTAAATAATTTAATATATATATACACACATAACACTATAGATGTAATGTATAATTAAAAATAAAATAAGTCTTACATAGCTGATTCAAGTACGATTCTAAAATGTTTTTGTGACTTAATGCCAAACAATAAATTGATATAATTATAGCACTTTTTATACTATCTTGTAAATCAGAATGAGAATGCGTTGATGCAAAATCATCAAAGCAATAAATGCTCAACTTTTGTATTATTGAAAGCTGATCACAGCTTAAGTAATTTATATTTTTCATAAATAAACTTAAAGAATTTAAATAGCACGCTGCAAAATGATCTTTATTCTGTTCTTCAAATTTAGAACTAAAAAAAAAACAGAAATCCATTATATTTTATTACATTTAGTAATACTTTTTTATTTTCTCCAAATATGTCAGCTAAAATAATCTCCAATTAATATTGTAAAATAAAAGCACATTAAAAATAAAAATAAATAATAATAATAAAAAATAATCTCCAGTTGATTGATGATCAATATTTTAAAATGTATTAAATGTAAGCAATTGAAACAGTTTTTAAGATATTGGAGAAAGGGAAGATCAACAGGTTTACCTTATTAACTGTTATACATGGAATATGAATCATCAAACTAACTAAAATTAATAATTAATTCTAAACAATTATGAAAAAAATTGGGGAATCTAGATTAATTCACCCCACAGAAATTTATATTGATTTATAAGTATACAATTTCAATTCCTAATAGTTAAATTCTTGGAAGTTTTATTGTACTCAAAATGTTTATATTTTAATGAAATATAATAATATTTTATTATAAATTCAATACCTCAGATATTTTTCTTCAGCTTTCATAATGAGAGTAATAAATAATTCTTTTAAATGATTTTGACCTAAAAGATTATTGTATGGTTCAGATAGCCAACCAATACTTCTTATAATTGCTGCTTGAATTTGAAAACTAGATTTTGAATCACACATTTTTGATTTCAGAAAATGGATCATAATCTAATGCAAAAGATAATAATATAACTTAAGTAGGTTTGATCTATAACAAATATTTATGACAATACTAAAACTATTATTTCATAATTTATTGAGCAAAAAATATAAATATTAATTAAACAAAGTTCGAGTCCATATGTTTACTATGTAATAAACAAGTGCCACTTAGAATAAGTTATTTATAATAATTAGAAAGCAGTATGCAACAATATTTATAATCAAGTGTTAAAACAAAGATAGGAAGAAGATAGAAGCAGATAAGCAAAAAAACAAAAAAATGGGAATGGTTAATTGTTGTAGTTAGTAGTAGGAACATCACAAGGTATCAGTAAATGGTGAAAAAATTAAGTACATTAAATATTGGTTAAATATTATTATAATTTTCAGTAATTTAGTTTTTAAGTAAGTTTTTAGTTTTACTCAATTAAATAATATTAAGATTATCTATTTGAATTTTTTTTACAATGTTACATTTAGGAAGAAAAAAATCAAGTACTCTATTCCTAATCCTATACCAAACGAGGTCGCCAGCCAAAATAGCTCACTCCATAAATCTATAACAATTGTCATTTCTTTCGCTCCACAAACCTACACGTCTTTATTTAGCACATATATACACTTTTCATTTAGTCTATTTATACATACCTCTAAATTCTTCAACCCCGCTTTCTCCAACTTGTCTAACTATTTAATTTTCCTCTCGGCTTTTAACATGCCTAACCAATTTTTTAAACCCTCCCACCCTTGGCATCTTTCTAATTTAACTGCAAACACAGAATACTCTCATTCTGAATAAGCCAACCTCAGTCAGTTCACAGTTGTAAGCACTGATGACAATAGCAGGCTACCGAAATAAATGTATATGCTAAAGTGTATTATTTTTTGTGGCTAAGGTATTTTAAAATATTTCATTTTTTTATTCTTTTCAAGTGTGTCATGTTTAATATATTTAACCACCTACAACATCATTTTGCATCAAAGGATTTATTCGTATGTGATTTTATCACTTTCAGTTAAAATAATTTCTAAAGATCCATGACCACCCAATCACCACTATGCCCTGACCACAATGTGCTAATTTTTTTCATACTTGAACATTATTTTGTTGTATAAGCTTTAGTTCTGGTTGAAATAAATAATAGTTATTTTGCAATTCTCTTGAAGCTCCTTTGTAAAAAAATTCAAATGTTGACAAGCCAATTTTTTTATCTTCTACATTAGATAAAGTGCACCAGTCCCAAAGTTTTTTTTGAAACCATACAATTTCATCAGAACTTTTAAAAACTATGTTTAAAAATAGTTCTATATGCTTTTGAAACAAATTTAAAGCACCTGCAATTTTTGTAAGTTTCTGTAGTTAAAATTGAGATTAGAATATTATGATGATTTGTACTTACTTCGGTTTACAACATGTTTTTTTTTATCTTCTACTGTACCAATGAGAATTTTTAACATTTTATACAGTTTTAAACTGTTATCATTAATTTCTAAACAGTCCGAAAAATTAGTTAAAAATCCTGTCAGACCACATAAACACCCTATAGCTACAGGTGCAAGAAAAGTCCTTGATTTTTTATTATCTGCACAGGCATCGGCCTACAAAATGTTTTAATTTTAGTTAAAATACTAAGCAATAATAATATAATAAACCTGAATTTGAAGTTCATTAAAAAACAAGTTCACGAGTTTGTCTTTGTAGTTTATTAAATGTATAGGATGATGTTTCGCAATTACTCCGAAAAGACTGTACAAATGTTGCCGTTCTATATATAATATGACAAAGTAAAAATATAATGATTCTAAATTGTATTATGTTCATCATTGTTATCATTAGCATATTACTTGTTGGCAACACTTTTTTTGAAGAAAGCACATAGTCTAGATGGCCTATAATTTGTGGTATGTCAATTTGTTCACTTAAGTTATTAAATTCCAACAATTTTTCATAGACTTGGTATGTTTTGATACTGATGTCTACATTAGAGTTAGGAGCTACATTGCAAAGTGTGCACAAATCCTAAAACAGGTATTAAGTATAATATTTTACTTACAGATTATAGATGTAAATAAATAATATATTACAATGAAAACAAATTAAAAATCAGTAGGTAATTAAAAAAAAATAAGTTAAGGGGTTAACACCAGTATTTTTGGTCGAAAAGAACTCAGTATTACAAGTTTAACCGCGTAATTTGAGCAGTTTATTTAGTATTTACCATAATTTGAGTGACGTAATGAGTCATACTTGAACGAAATGATTCAAGTAACTGAAGAAATATAAATAAGATGTCTGTTATAATCTTAGAAACTGCAGTTGAATTAAGCTTTATTAGTTCTTTTGCATAATCTACGATTCCTTCATGATCAGCAAACAATATTTTAAGAGTAAATTCTAAAAAAAAACATAAAACTATTAAAAAACAAAGAAGTACAAAAACTAGGCTATAACATGCTAGATGGACCCACTGCCCACACGGCACCCAACAAGTTGTACATGTGTCAAGAGTATATCACCACTAGAAACTATGTTCAAGAATGCTGGCCAAGTTTGCTAATAAACTTTGTTGATCAAATAGATCAGTCTTGTGGGACAGACAAGGCCTTACACTGCCATTTATGCATATACGTATCAATGAGAAACCAATGTAATTCTCACTGAAGTGTCAATGACTGTGAAAGTGGCAGTGGGGATAATTAATCATACTTTTAATTTGTTTTTAAATAGATGAAAAAATAAAAGTATAAACTAATTCTGTAAATCTTGTAAATAACCAATTACATTAATAAAATAAAAACAATGATAATCACCGGCTTCTATAGATGTAATATCTCCATAAAAATAATCTTTAATTTTTGATAGATTTCGATGAGCTGCATCAAGGTTAACATTGTTTTCACTATTTCTTAGATTGTTAATTAAATCGCACAGATATGACTTAACATTTGACATGTTGGGAAGTTTTATAATTTTGAATTAAACTTATTCAGTTGTATTACTTTTAACTGTATGATTATGTTAATTTATTAAAAATACATCTAGTCTGATAAAAATACTTTTGAATTCCTTTATAACAATTTAAAATTAAAAAATATGTTTAATTAAATTATTATAACTCACATTTATTTAAATAAAAATCATAATGTTTCTAAAAGCTAGTATAGTAACTATTATTTTTTTAAATGCTTGAATTTTGTAAAAAAATCTATATTAAATCATTTTAAATAACAGCAAGCTGGTGTACAACGAATGAAAAATCATAGAAAAGAGAATAAATTTCTCTTTTATACCAATTACCAAATGCTTATGCCTTATAGACTATATTACAAAAAATTAAATCATGATAAATTAATCAATGATAAATGATAAATGAAAATGGCGCCAAAATTATGTGATATCTTCAAAAACTGACTCAGTGCCAGAAACATAATACATAAAAAGCTAAAAAAGTAGTAGCCAAACTCAAGCGAATTGAGTAAAATATGTTTTTACCAATTAATCGCATACTAATTAGTACGAGGAGAAATGAGTAAATATGAAGCCAAACAGTCGGTCAACGAAATAATCAAACGTCGTCTCTATAATTTATATTACTTTATGTGTTTAATGTTTTATCTATTATAAATTATAGCAAAATTTGTTATCACGACAAGGACCAAAGTACGCGATTATCTAGAGGTGTGTCGAAACTGCAGTTGTATTATAATTAAACATATCGCCAACTGAACAATTGACGCTTTGACGTAATCGCGGTGCGTTGTTTAATCAGAATTGTAGAAAGCGTATTTTCGTTTAATAAAATTGTATAAGAACTGCAAGTGAAAAACTGAGAACAATATTTAATCTACAGGTGAAATTATTTACTGCATTGGAAAAGTTACAGAGAAATTATTTATTATCCACAAACCAAAACTCCAGTGGCAGTGTCTACTTGGTGTCGTATAGCGTACTGCCGATTACGATTAGACGTCCAAATTCCAAATGGCAGGTAAGCTGTAAGGCTTAGACGAATTGTGCTCCATTTTAGGGACGTAGCGTTTTGTTCGAAATATTTTTACTTCAGACGTCGAGTAGCCTAAAGTGAGCTTGTCCCTCTGACCTGAGGCATTGCGAATTGCAATTTACATTTAAAATTTTAAAAGACTTATTAAAATGTATGAATGGTACTACGTTCTAATTATAACTTTATGCTTGATAATAACTTTTTTATTTTTCGCTTGACTACTAATAAGTCACAAAATTTAATTTTACCCATACATTTTTCATGCCCATATCCTTAAGGAAACAAATTAAAACTAAAAGTTCTTATATATATATATATATATATATATATATATATATATATATATATATATATATATATATATATATATATATGAATTAACGTGAATCAAATACAATTTTAGTTTTTGCATAATTTTGGTGTTAACATGCGCAACTCTTAATTTTACTTGACTGGAGGTATCTAAATAAGCGTACATTGAAATTAATGTCGCACTATCGGTTCATAATAAAAAAAAACATAATATGCTTCTTATAAATAAATATTAAAAAAGAAAAAACACGAATAAATCATTAAATCATGAAGCATATGCCCATAAACTATGTTCAATGTGTCATTCATTATTGTTAAACATATTGTTTTAAATCTTCTTTAATTTTTTTTTTTTTTAAGAAATTGAGAATGAAAGGTGAGTTCCTCTGATACCCAATCATGGACCTTGAACTTCCCAGTCATTTACTCTGTAATGTTGTTTTAAATATGGAATAGTTATAGATAAATACCCTTTTTCTCCTTATTAACTTCCTCATCTTAATTCGTATTGTTAGTTTCCCAATGAATGATTGGATCAAAAATGAGACCATTGCCACAAGAAATTTTAATCGAGTTTATTCATTCACTGCTTGTTAATCCAGCTTTGTTGGAAACCTAACTTTTGATCAAAGTGCATTACTCATATCATGTTACTCCGCTTCCTTGTTGTGGAAAAAAAAAAGGATTCAACAATGTTTTTTGCAAAATCCTCTCACAAATTGGTCACTTCAAATTTTGAAATTTTGAATTTTTTTAAAATATTTAATATAACTTTTCCTAAATAAGTAATTTTTTTTAAATTTGTGTGACATAATATATTAATTTTATATCAATATGTAAAAGTATTATCAGGAAATGTTTTATTTTTTGAATTCAATCAAACAATGCTTCATCCTACTGTGTTGGTTCTTTTGATTTGTTGCTGTTGTTGTATCATAATGAATAATCATATCTTGTATGTTTATTAAAGATCATAATTATTGTGACAATGTCGATGTTTTAAAAGTGGAAGCGTCTAGCAGTGAAAGTGAGGAATCAAGAAATGCGCCATTGTTGTCTGATGATCCAGATTATGAATTGCCAAATACTGGTGTTCAAACAAGACTCAGAACAAAAAAAAGAATTCATGAAGCATGCTGGACACCAGTTCGTACTGCTCCTGGTCTGAGACCTAACTGTGTTATATATTATGATGGCAATGGTTTTGCATACCATAATCACAAAATTGCAAATAATAAAAAGTATTATATGTTTATTTTAAAAAATTGTTACTGAGAGGATGTTAAAGTATATATATTTTTGATTTACTATTATATTAATGCATGGCAAATATTTCTAATGGATAAATTCTTAAAAACTGTTTTGAAATAATTAAAGATTTTAAAGTGTATAAAAGTAAAAAAACAAATTTTACTGAAACGCCCTCTAGAGAACACATATTTGTAAACATTTTATTTTATGTTAATTTATATTTTAGATACTTAAAATGCACCCAAAAAAGTATTAAAAATAAGCCATGTCCAGCAAGAGCTGTTATTCGTAACCAAGATAACATGATACGGCATTCAGGTGAACCTCATACTCATAAACCAAGAAATTATGAAGATGAATTATTAAAAAGAAATTTTTTGATGAAAATCAGAGAAAGAGCAATTTCTGAATATACACCTAACAGAAAAATATTTGATGAAGAAATGAAAAAGTTAGTACTTTTTAATTTAATATACTAATAAAATATAATTTGTTTGTTTTTATTATTACTTTAGAACTCCTAAATTGAGAGGTAAAGTATCATTTTCAAGCACAGCAAGAAGAATGCAGCGTTTCCGTCAACCTCAAAAAATGCAAGGTCCTTTATTTCCTATTGAGGACAATGAACTCCTTGATGCTATAAATGATTATAAAAATATCCCAAACATTGAAACAAATAACAGTCAAGCATCCAAAAATGATTTACTAATTGATGAATTTGACGCAGCTAGTCATATGGAAGTGATTGAAGTAAATGACTTGTATACAGATAGTGAAGAGTATTTTAATGATCAAGATGATCACAGTAATATGAAAGAAAATAAAGAAAATATAACTCTGAATACTCAAAAAGAATCTGAAAAAACTGTTAACATGTTTTGTAAGTTTTCATATAATGTTTGAAGCCCTATCCCAATCAAAACAACATTTTTGTATGCTTTGCTGTCGATATGGATTTGATTTATTTTATAAGATTTACTGCTACTAAACAGAAAATGGGCAATTGTGTAGTATTGATTAAACATACATAGATAGGTCACACCGTATGTTTTTCCAAAAAAACATGTATTTAACCATACATTTGTTTGGTCCAATCATCTAAATAGGCTGCCAAGTAAGTAAACAGTGTGGTCTATTAATGTATGTTTAATCTATGGTGTTGGCATAAATTTAAAAAATATAACTTCTGGTGTATAACTAACAAGCAAGGGTCCGGATAGAACAACTTCTGAACTTAATCCGGACCCTTGTTAACAAGTTTGTAGTCTAAAATTGATTAAAAAAATAACTTTTGCCTAGATCATCTTTAAATATTAACTATGTATTCATTTGAGTTATAACATTTTTTATTGAAAAATTAATTTGTTAAATGAGGGCAATAAATTGTTTAAATCCATTAATAAATATAAAAGTGTTGTAGAGATTATCTCTGATACTCTATAAATTAGTTAAATTTATGTCCCTATAACCTAAAAACATTTTGGTCCAAGCACCAAGTCAAGTTGTATAACCGATTGTAGTGATGACAATTTAATAAGTTTTATAATAAATATTTTTATATGTTTTTAGTTTGCTTAAATTTGTATTGTCATTGTATACATTACCTAGACCATTTACGCATTAATGATACCTTTGTGTTTTATTGTTTTAGGTTGTATTTATTGTAACAAATGGCAAGAAGCTCAAGTTTATGAATTTGTACCTAATGAAAAATCTAAAATAATTGAACCTAAAGAAAAAGTAGAAAATAAAACTCCAAAATCTTTAGAAAATATTTCTTCTCCTAATGTATCAAACATAACACCTATTCCAACTCTTCTAGAAAATATAACTCCGAGTTGTAGCCAAAAAATAGTCCAAAATTTCCCAGAAACTTCAGACAATATTTCTAATGATTACGATGACCATCAGAATTCTTTTAAACAAGTTGACCCCATCATAAATGAAGATAGTAGTTTACTAGAAAATGATATTTCAGATTCTTTAGATGTGACAAAATCACCAACACAAGAAAGAAAAAATAAACCCAATAAAAAGTTGGGTTTTTTACAAATGAGAATTGATTCAACAATTTATTTTGATAATATGGGATACAGCTATCAAATCCAAAATGAAAAAAATGACAAAAAGTAAGTATTTTTTGTGAAAATCTAACATAATATTAAATTTCAACTGTTATTTTTTTTTCTTTTGTCTGTGGATGAAGATTAATTATTTATCCTACACAAGTGAAGTTGGTCATCCAATTTTTTTTATCTGCTAAATCTCGCAACTCTTTTTTAACATTATTCACTTTTTTCATTTATATTTTCATCTTGTGACAAGATTGTATCAGCAAACTGTAAAGCTCTTGTGACTTAAGAGATGCTGATCCAATTATTTTATGACTAATGTTATAACTAAAATGTGTGTATCTTGTAATTTTTATGAATATATTCAAAATCTTTTGAATCAAAGAATATATTTTTTAAATAAAACATGGAATGACAATATTTTAGACAACTTTTTTGGATTCTAACAGCTTTTAAACTTTTAGGAGGCCAAAAACAATTTTTTAGCCAAATTTCAATGCTATTTTTGAAACTACTAAAATGTGATCTTTAAATTTAGATGACAATAGTTTTATTTAATGAAAATAAGGTTTTTTATGTTAACTAATTTATAATTGGCCTACGACTCAATAAGTTATAAATGTGAACTTTAAAAAAAAAATAATCATAATAGTAATAATAAAATAATAATTGTTGTAAAATTACTCAATCGATATTGTGTTTTACATAATAAGTATAAGTAGAAAGTGATTGACAGTGAATAATGTTGTTTATGCTATAGTACAATAACACTGTCAATATATATTTTTTAGTAGAATTTAATTAAAATTGATTGTATGTAGAAGTACATACATATATCAGTGTTAAGAATTTATATTTGAATGAAATATTATAGGTACCTAAGATGTGTAGTATGGGGTAAAAAAAAATGTCCAGGACGTGCACATTTAAACAAAACCACTCTCAGTATTACTAGATCAAGGGGTCATAATCATTTGCCATCAACTAACTGTGATGCAGAAAAACAAGCGCGTGCATTTTTACATGCTATCAAAGGAAGAGCGCAAGATGAGACTACATCACTGAGAACAATTTATGAGGAAGAAATAAAAAAGTAAATGCATATAATATTTATAAAATATTGAATGTATTCTATAATGTTTAAATTTGTTTAGATTTCCTCTTGCAGCTTCTGTTGTTAACTATGCTAACGCAACAAGGCGAATGCAGCGAACAAGACGTCTAAAACATCAACCAGATACCATTGTTAAGAAAGAACCACCACTATTGTTGTCAGTACAAGTAATACCCGGAACTCGGCGTGGTACATCTTTGTATATGGACGAATTAGGTTATTATTATCACAATGATACACTGACAAGTAATGGAAAGTAAGTACATCAGAATGATGTTAAATAAAAATATACTAGAAATTACTCAATTTCAGGATTTCACGATCTTATGTTGTATTTTTGCTGCCATGTCTTTTGTTTTGTTTAGAACCATAACAGGGTTCCATCAAAAGAGTGATGTGTACACATAGTATGTCCTCAGCAACGATGCAGTAAACATCACTCCATAGATGGAAACAGCAATTGTTCAGAAACATCATCACAAACCTAAAGACATAGGCTCAATTGCAAAAATTAAACATAATATGGTAATCCATGAAAGCTCTAACTAGTTATAATTTCAGAATCGTTAGATGTACTAAAAATAGAAAAACGGCCACAGAAGATGCTTGTCATTCAAGGGGTTTCTTACGTGCTTCAGGTGATGGATTTGTCATATACCGTACAAAAAATCATAATCATTCCCCTGGTGACTTAAAAAGAAATCCTATGGAACGATCATTTATAAACACTTTGTGTGAAAGAGCTAAAAATGATTTACATATGGGTCTTAAAGATATTTATAGTGAAGAAGTAGAAAGGTATGTAAAGCAAAGTTTTCATTTTGTATTGCTCTGCTTAGGACGCCTGGTTGGCCAGTGTACTGAACCTAACCATGTCTCATGGGTCTCCAGTTTATGAAAATGTATTTATTTATTTTTCTTCCAGGTTTCTTGATGTTGCTGATAAAATACCATATCGAATGGCTTGGCGAAGTATGGCAAGAATGAGACAGCCCCCTAAAGCTTCTGGTGATGTTAAAGTAGTTAACGTATCTGTAGTTTCTGGTCATTGGGAAGGTTATACATTATATAGAGATGAAATAGGATTTCTATATTCTATGAGAAAAGGAAGAAAGTAAGATTTATATATATTTATATAAATATATAAAATTTGTATTTAATCAAATAGCAACCTAAATCTTGATTTTATATTTTTATTATTTACGACTGATGTATAATATATGTAATAAGTATGATCGTAACAATAATCATTGAGCTGGTTAAAAATTTTGTATCTTTAACTTTTTTTAGATTTGTGTGGTGTCATATGAACACTAAATTAAAATGTTTAGTCAAAGGATCAATAACATCAGAAAATGATGTGTATGTGATGGAATATACAGGAGAACATAACCATCCCCCTCTAGATAATGATGAATTCCAAGCGGCCATTTTTATTGAAAAAATAATGTTAAGATGTGTAGACGAAGACAGCAAACCTAAAAAGTTATATGAAGAAGAAATTATCAAGTAGAAATTATTTAATACAATTAATTGTAGGAATATAAAAAATGAATGTGTTTTTTTATATATCATTATATTTAGTTTTCCAGGTGTAGAAAAACGTGTAACCTTAGCATATGCGCGGGAAAAAATCAAAGCTCGACGGAAAAGTTCATTAAAAAAAAACCAAGCGCAAGAAATATTGCAAACCACTTGTGAACCTTTGCAATTTTTTGAATTTTGGGGAGCTGGAAATAGTAATGTGGTTGCAAACGAAGATGACATTACAGAAGATATTGTTTGTTCGGATGATGAAGAATATGAAGAAAACAATAAGGAGTTTAATGATGTTTATTCTGATGAACTAGGATACCAATATTCATTAGTTAGTGTCAAAAATAATACCAGGTAAATAATATTAATTTTTACATAAATATAAAACATAGTTTTTATATTTTATTACCTAAAAAATTAAGTAAATGTATTTTATAATGTTTAAAATGATAGTAGCCAGAATTAGGTGATCATCCTTTTATAACTATTTACAAAACCTTCATTTATTTTATTAAAAAATTTTAAGAACTTTGAAACAATTATTTTATTGGAAAGAGCATACTATAATACTTAATTTAAAAACTAAGAAAAACATTTTTTTTTTTTAAACGTCATTTATTTCTTTACACTTATACATCGACAGGAAGAGGTTAAAAAAAAATCTTAATAATTTTTGTTTTACTTATTTGTAACCTACTTGGAGGGATGTAGAATGAATTTGAAAATATTAACCTCCCTAATGCATACATTTCACCTAAAAACTTAATATATTATATTATAACAGGTATTTGGAGTGTATAGATAAAGGTAAAGGTTGTTTGTCTCGAGGAGAAATGTTCAAAGGAGAAAACAGTGAATGGCTGTTTGTTCAGCATCGCTCTTTGCATAATCATCCACGACCACCTACATCAAAAAGCGACAAGAAATGATTTCATTATTATTTGTTTTACTAATTATAAAATGTTTTCATATCTTTTATTGCTTAGTAATTTTCAACTAAAATTAATTTAACTACATCAAATCTTTTATAAATATATATTTTGTATATATTTCTTTATTATTATTACTATTAATATTTATGTGTATTCATGATTTAGATTTATTATAACAATAATCTTTTAAAGCAAGTAATTTTTTTGAAAAATTATTAGAATATAACAAATACAAAACTAGTGAATTATTCACCTAAGGTTTTATTCTAAACCTAATCTATATAAGTTCTCAATCATTTTGAAACTAACTGATCCCATGTAGCCTCTTTTTAAAATTTAAAAGTCAAAGATTTAATTAAATATCAGTTTTACTTATTTTTGGTTATCATTAGATAAGTCAGATAAATTAAAACTCAGTTAAATTGTTTCAAACTTTTATATTTTATTTTAAACTAAATGAAAATAATCACAGACATTTACACAAATACACACATACATATTATTTTTAAATATTAATATATATATATATTTTTTTTTTGGATGACAAAATTATATATACACACAATAAATGTATTTACAATAGATTGTATAAAAAATAGTATAGACTTTTATTAATATAATTGTACTAACATATATTTACTTGCAACAACATAGACAACCAAAAAATGTTAATGTAATTATGAATAAAAAAAGAATTAAAAATTGCAGTTTTAGATATCAAACAATTTTTATTATTATTTGAACAAATATCTCATTTATACTATATATATAAAATAATTATTGATTATCGATATTAACAGTTATCGAAGTACATACATAGTTAAGTATATATGTAATACAAGAAAAATGTTTGCTAACTTATTTTATCTCATTATTGACATATTGAATACGTAATATATTTTTTAAAAAAACATTAGTAGTCACAAGTTGATAGTCATCCAAGTTGAAAGTATTAATGTGTTCTTTACTATAATGTCGCTGCTGCAGTTTTGTTGTTGAAGGTGATTTGGAATACCTACATCTGTGACAACATATAAAATGCACATACAAGTTAAAAATAATCACATATTGTTAGTTTACAGCTCTAAATTACAAACTTTGGCACCACTATAACAGATACAAAACAGAGTGAACAAAATAAAAATATTACACTCATTTTACATATTCTGTCCGTTTTACACAATGTAAAAAATTAACTTAACCAATCAAATTCATATCACATGCTAAAAAAAATAAGTATTATGTTTTAAAAACAATAAGAGGGGGATATATACTTTTAATAGTATTTACAAAATTAAGATGTAAAATAAATTGGCTAAGTAATATAAAACTATTAAATAATGATGATCATTTAAAAAATAAAATCACAAAAATAGCATCAATAAATAGTAATTATGACAATTTTATTGCCTTGATATTATATAGTAGAAGTATACGGAATAAATTAATTTTTAAAATAAGAAATAAGAAGGTAAATTATAAATAAATATTTAAATTCAAAATATGTTAAAAATCAAAAGAGCATGTCGTGATTACTGAGTGTGTATACATAATTTAAAGTTATGTTTATATGCTAAAACTTCAATGTTATGACAACATTCATTTAGATTGTTATTGTTAACATGAGTTTAAAAACAATATATATTTATAAAATTATATTTTACAAAATAATGAACAGAATATGTTAAAAAAAGGGTAATATTTATTATTACTACAGATTGGCAAATAAAATAATTACTTGTTAATCAATTTTACATGTCTAGGGATTGTTACAAAAAGGTAAAATATTATTTGTATGGTACATAAGTACTTCTAATTAACATTAACTAGATTAAAAAAAATGTTGATTAAAAGTCAAAATATACTTAAATAATAATATATATATATATATATTTTCGGAAAATTAACAACTAAATTGAAATATGTAGCTTTGATTCTTGGAGTCATAAACCAGAAATTTTAAGACCAGATTATGCAAACATCAATGAAACATTCTTATACCTCGAAACAATAAGACCGATTAATTTAAATCTCTATTATGATATATTTATAAAAAAACCCAGGCTGTAAACCTTTGCAGCTGCAGGTTTTTAAAAAAATATAACATTTTAATCAACATTGACAAAATAATAAGCATGTAAAATTGTATTATTTATTCACTCTGTTTTACTGTATAATATAATAATTATGATATACATTGCATTATATTATTATAAAATAATAATAATAATCATACATATTTCATAAAAACGTAGTTATTTAAAAAAAATCTAGACCGTTACAGTCGAAAATTATATTAAAAATAATAAATTATTAGGTATACTATATCATTTGTTATGACTTATGAACTTATTTTAAATTAAAGTAAAATTTAAAAAAAACAGTACAAGAATTGTATGATTTAAAATTATATAAATTAAAATAAACATTAAAAGTGTTTAAAAATAATAACAAATTTGACTGATAATTATTTAATACTGTAAAAAAATCAAGAGTAAACTAAATTATAATGGAAAGCAAGTATAAGCCAAATGATGGTTTTTACAATTGTACATAATGCCTTCACTAGGTAAACAGATATATAAATTACTATCCGAGTGATACATTGTTGTTACGTTAGTACCCGGCTTATAATAATGTATCCGTAATTTATAAAAAATTATATTTAAATATAAAACAAATTCTAAAAAAATTACCATAATAGGTGTATACCCTACTATTTAAAAGTGTTTCATTTTTTTGTGGTGAAGGTTTTTTTAAAAATATTTTATTATTTTTTACAAATGTATTATCACAAGTTTAGTACAAGTTTTTTGTCAGGTCAATAATTGTAAATAAAAGGAAATTAAATTTTACTGTACATATATTTTAAACCTATTAAAAAAAAAACTTTTATCACTATCCAAAACTAAACCCATAGGCGCAATTTCAATTTTTAATTCGGGGGGGGGGGGGGGCTGGAAAATTTAGACAAATTTTAGGTTCCCTAATTAAATTGGTATAAAATTGAATTAATATAATTAATATTAAAAATTACTTTGACATACTTGAATAATTTTAAACATGTCTAATATAACTATATTTTCTCTATGAGACATGCAGTGTGTGTAACCTAATTTTTTTGGTGGGGCTAGGCCCACCCTAGCCGACACCTCTGTATTTGCGCCTATGACTAAACCTAAGCGAATTTACAAAATTGTCTAGTCATTTATACAAAGTACAATTAAGAAGTATGGAATGTTATGGTATCATGTATCTATAATAATAATCTTTAATTATATACCATAAAATAATTTAACAACAGTGACAAAAGAAAAATAACATTTTAATTAAATTAGATATATCATAATTATCTATAATAATTAGAAATGCACGTTTGTTTAATACTTTCGTGAAGAAAGATATAACAGCATTGCTATAAAACCTAGTAATAGGACACCTTAACATTTTTAAATTAGTTTTATCAAATTAAAAAATAAATTCTGAATTATCGACCAAATTAGTTATCTATCAGTTGATATGGCGAAGTTAAAGTTTAATTAGAATGACTCATTAATAATTAAGGTTTTATAGTAAATAAACGTTGCCCTTGTTGGTTAAATAAAAATTTTAAATATTAGCCATCTAAAATAATGTGTTAAATAGCATTAACTATTAATAATAATACCAATTAATTCATTAAATTTCAATTTTTAAATTATATAATGATCAAATTTTGAAAAGTTAATAGAAATAACAAAAAAACTTAAGTTTGAAAGACACAATTGAAAAACCATAAAAAATAAAATGCTTTTTATTAGAACTACAAATACCTGATTGAAATCTGTAACACTTATGTTACGTTTTTTCAGCTTCCTCAGTCCTTTATGAATGGTGATGTTTTGAGTAATACCAGCCCTCCTTAATAGAGTTGGAGCAGTCTTTAATTTACCCTTCAGTCGTTTCACACTTGCATATGATTTTTTGTCGTCAGTGTAATCTTTTTACATAAAACATTATTATAATTTATATTTCTTTATTTTATACTGAACAGAAAATCTTTGAAACTTACTTTCAGAGAGATTAATATTTAATTCTGCTCTAGGTTTTTCTCTATTTACAACTATTACTCTTCGACCATCTGAGTTACCTGTTAAATTAAAATATTATCCACTAAGTGTATACTATATATTTTATACATAAATTTTGTATCAATTCTAAAATTTTATTTTTTTCTCATTTAAAATTTTGTTCTTTGCTAAATATGAAGAGTATACAAAAGTAAGTTTCCCTATACCAGAAAAAATAAATTAAATACACCAATTTAATGCTGTAAAAGGGTTAGTCTGATAGAGCAAGGTCTGAATAAAATGGCGAGTGCCCAACAACCCCTTTAGGTGTCCCGAAAACTGTAGCCATAACCTTATCACAGAAAACTTGACAGAAAAATGCTTTTGTTTCATTACTAAAACTGATAAAATTGTTACTTAAAGACATTTGGTCCCATTAATAATTAAAAAATACAAAAACTCCAACACACGTAAGAGTATATAAAAAACAGAAACTATAACTAAGTAATGCATTTTTCAATAGTAAAGAACTACTGTAAATAAATAAATAACATTGTAAATATCATCTTTATATCAAAGATATAAAGGTAATAATTACCTTTCATAAACATTTAAGCATCACTTACCTTCAGTTTTTATGCTAATTTCTGGTAGTTCTGCATGCACTTTGCGTTTGCCATCTGTAGAACTACTAAAAAATGGAAAAACAAAACTATCAATATAATACATATAATTTTTTTTAATTTAACAAGAATTAAAAAAACTCAAAAAAAAACATTCAGAAAAATTTGCATTAAATAAATAAAATACTCTATTAAGCTAAAAACACAATTTATGAAAACTGTCGCATTAACAAAAAATACCTATTTAAATCATTTTTTATTTTCTATGCAAATAAAAATTTAGTTTTAATTATTTATGAATAAAAATCCTATTATAAAATGTTCACACAGACAAATGAATAAGGAACTAATATTTATTATTTAAAATTTTTACATTTAAAATTTAAAATTAAATAAAATTTAATAACAATTTTACCTTGTACCAACAACGCCTCTAATTGCAGACTGCAATAAACGAGCTGGATAGAATGAATCAGGTTTTTTTTTTACTTCAACATGAACCTTTAAGTAATATAATTGAAATTAAATTTCATCATTAGAAAAAAATTTAAATTTGGATCCCTTACTGTATTTAAACGAAGAGCTCTTCTTCGTTTCAACTCGGTTCTTAAATCAACAGTTTCATTTGCCTTAACAATTTTATTTTTTTCATCGTCAATTGTTTGTTCTTCTTGAGTATCATCATCTTCTTCGTCACCATCACTACTGCTACCCGATTCTTGTCCTTCTTTTTCAATTTCTTCCTCGTATTCATTTCCATCAGATATCTCCATTTCCTCCTCTTCGTCTTGTTCTAATTCGTCTTCTTCTTCTAATAATTCGTCAGATGTGCCAGATAGTTCTAACATGTCTGTAAATGTATTAAAAACCTATAAATTAATAATCTAAGAGAAAACTACATACTAAAGTAAGCACTCAAACTTAAATAAGCTAAAAAACACATTCATGGTGTCATTTATATCAATTATGCTTGAATTTTAAACCATAGTTTCAATAACGTAAAAAATCCTTAAATGGATAGTACAAGAAACCCCAAATAAAACTTATGTTAGTTTGTTTACCTTAAAAATAGACTACTAATATTCATTCAATAACTATTAATACATATTGAAAAATTAATAACCACTAGACTTATAGCTCATTTTATATACTAATGACTAACAATAACTTTTTAATTGTTAGTTTAATTTGTTCTTTATATTTATGCACAATTTTTTTTTAAACTACATTACTTATCTTTTATACAATGAAATATTAACTTAAAGTTTCTGTAAATAAAAACAGAAAAGCACTATAAGCAGTATCATCAATATAAAATTTTTGACATTTAATAAGAAGTATAATTTTTTATGGCATTATGTGTAAGAATAGGTTGAAATGCAATTTTTACATAAAACTTCTCGAATAACTTTTATTACAGAGTCATAAGGTGGTTAAAACTTCTTTTTTAAATTTATTTTAACGATAACAAAAAAAGTATGTTTTAATACAAATCAGAATGTGTTTTACCTTCTTCAGTTTGATCACTAGATTCTTCTTGTCCAAAAATAATCCTTGGTCGTTTTTTTATGACTTTGTCTGAAGTAGAATTTAATTTCATCACTCTCTTCATTTCTTTTGGTTTGGAATTATTTTCTGTTTTTTTATTGATGTTTTGTAGAGTTTCATGAGTTTGAGTAGAAATTTTAGGTTTCTTTGTTACATGCAAGACTTTAGTTGACATATAAGGTTCAATTTCTTTTTTGTTATCAGTTTGAATAGCAACTTGAACAGAGTTAGATTTTTTTAGAATAATTTTTTTACTTGTGGGATCAATAGGTTTTTTAGATTCAAATTTCTTTTTTCTGGCTTCTAATATAGGGTCCAATGGTTTAGCTTCAACTTCTTTATCAATCAACTTTATTTTGTCTTTATTTCTTATGCGTTCATCATCCAATATTTTGGTATCTTTACGCCGAGTTATAGGAGATATAGGTCTTGATTTGGGCAATGGACTAGGAGTTCGTCTCCTAATAGGTGGTAATCTTCCCTTAGGTGATCTAGATTTGGATCGTAGAGGCGATCTACTTCTTCTTCTTCTTAACGGTGTTAATCGTCTTCTAGCTGGGGAAATATCCCGTGATAACGATCGACGCCTCCTTCTTGGAGATGGTGAACGATACGGATAACGAATCTTTGGTGGTGAATATCTTTTGGGAGAAAGATTTTTTTCCCTTAATGGAGAAAATCTTCTTGGTGATCTTCTAGGTGTTAAAGATCTACGGTAATTTCTCGATCGAACTGGAGAATACCTATACCTATCTGGAGTAGGAGACCGTCTATGTGGAGATCTTGGTGTTAATGATCTTCTATAAAGTTTACTATAAGGAGAAATAGATTTCTTTCTTATAGGAGATGGAGATCGTAAAGGAAAATTAGATTTTGATAAATTATTAATTGATGTAGACTGCCTGACCTCTTCTACAGTTTGTATGGATTTTAACTCCTCCAGTTTATTTAACGATATTTTAGTATCTTCAATTACTTTAGGTTGAGTTGTTACTTGATTTTCAACTTTAGAAACCGTTTTGGCCTTGATCTTAACTTCAGATAATTTTTCTTTTTTTGCTTTGTTAGATTGCTTTCCATTTTTCTTTTCTTTTATGGACTGCTTTACACCTCCTCCAGCTATTTCAGCTTCCATAATATCCATTAATTTATCTAGATCGTCCAAGTCTTCATCTTCTTGTCCTAATAATAATACATCACCATCGTCTGAATCTACTTTATCTCCATTTCGACTTTCATTATCATCACTGCTATCTTCAGAGCCCGATTCATTTTCTAATCTACTAAATTTAGTAGACACTACAATAAAACATAAAAAATAATTATTTAAAAAGTACAACTTATAATATAGAAATGATAGTACCTTCCTCGTCTGTGTTTTTTAAACTAGTTATACCGGAAGATTTTGTACTAGGTGATATTTGACTTGGTGCTTCATTATCAACTTTAGTTTTATGTTTAGAATTATCTGAGAGTGAATCATCTTCTATGTCAGTAGGAATAATAGAAATTAAATTGTTATTTGTTTGTATTGGTCTTCGAAAACCAACCTGTATAACAAAAATAACTTTATAGTAAGATTTAAAAAACAATAACATACAAAACCAGCATGACTTACATTTGTATAAGTACGCTTGTTGTAAGGTCTGTTAGATGGAGGAAAACGACCTCTATTACTTCTAGTAGTAAAGTTACTGTATGAACTGTCATTACACAATGTACTGCTTATTGTATTCATTCGACTATTCGACTTTTTTTTACAAGACATAAGTGCAGCTAAACGTAATGATTCTACATCATCATCATCAATACTCTGAAAAAAATTAAAGAATAAAAAATAAGCTGATATTTTAAGAAGACAATATTTTAGACATAAGATCTTTCCATACATATCAAATATATATAAGCATATATATTAAACACCGTCTGGCTGTGTATTTTTTTTTTTTTTAATTTAATTTTAGTTGTTTTTATAAAGAAAATTATGTTAATTTAATTTTTTTTTCTATAGAATAAATGTAACTATTAGGTTTGACCAAAACATATAATTTAACATAGAAAAAACTTAAGCAACTTATGGTTATATGTAATAAAATAATATTTTAACCATTCAAAAATACATCTTTACTTTTACTTTTGATACATACATATGTACTACCATTTGTGCTAATGTCACATTTTTTTTTTTTTTTTAATAATTTAAGATGATTAAAGCTTGATTTTAATTTTTTAATGAACATTCAATTATTTGGCATAAATTAACTTAATGAAACACTTTTTTTTTGCGATTTTCTTTTTGACATCTTGTTGTTTTTTATGCTGATTACGAATCTGATGTTACAAATCCAATTTTTTATTTACTAATTGAACTTTTAGTAAGAAAAAACAAATTCCACAATAGCTCATGGCTCAATAATAATGTATCCAGAACGTCATAACATGGAGCACAAAACTGCATCTTTTTGTGTGACATAATTATGCATTCTGTATTTGATTTTCTTACTGTCAACATTCTAAAACTAGCTCAATATTAATATCGACATTTATGAAATTTAAAGCCCTCCTGGATAAACTATGCGGTCTTATCTTTAAAATTGTGTTTAAAATATTTTAAATAGTTTGATTTTAGTTTACATTAAGCCTATTCGATTATCTGTTCCCACATGGCACATACTCTTTGGAGATACAGGCCTTAAAAATTAAAATGAATTAAAAAAAAAATAATAACTTTTTTTAGTTACACCTTATTGTTATTCAAATAGCTAATGAAATTTCATCACAATTATTTGTAATCCGAATATACAAACAAATTAAAACCAAACTGAACACGATGAAGTGGAATAAAGTTATATATTTTGTAATCATATTAGTTAAAATAATTATTTTATTATTAAAAATAAAGTCAAGTTGTATTAATAACAGGCTGTAGTAATTATTATCAAATATAAAGCCAAAACATTTCTAAATTTAACTTACATTATAATCCATAATGGTATCTTTAATGATCCGATGGTCAATTCAATAAATTAAATGATAATAACTTCAAAAGTTTTAAATAATAATAACAAAATTTAGTAATCAGAATAATTGAAACATTCTTCCGTCACATGAGTAATAAATAATAATAAACAATATTGAGAAACAACACAATACTTATTGCATAGTAACTACTAACTATATATATTGTCAATAATAGTTGTTAAGAGTTAAGTGAATTTCTAGAAAACCAAAACAAAAAAAAACATATGATAATTTGTAAGTCTGAGAACACGGTGTTACCAACATATTATAAACTTAATTCCAAAATGTATTTCTACCTTAGCTGGTAGAACAATTATTATTATAATATATATAATTATCATGGATAATATATAATATATTTATCGGAGTAAATTATTATTATATCATGATGGAATATTAATTTTCTAATTTAAACATTACTCTTCCTGCAAATGGCGGCCAGGCTTCATAGGTTTTAATGCGTATTCGGCTATCTAGGTTAATAAATATATCTGAGATTTCTTTTTTCTTTAAAAATAAACAGGCTATCTATTCATAATGGAATGTCCAACACATTTTAAGACACCCATTCATAGGAAAGGGATTAAACCTACTGTAGTTATAACTAATGAGTAATAACTTACACTTTTTAGACAATATACGTGGTCCCCACATAGGACGGACAGACAGTACAGTTACTTACATTTCCGCAGATGCAGGGAACTTGTATACTTCTTAGTTTTTTTACTTATCAGCCTAGATTATAGAGATAACCGTACTGCGTATGCAAGGTGGATTTATCACTCCACAGTCCACCTTGTTCGTATGCCTTATTTGGTTAGTACTTACTACTTATAGTGCTTAGTATATATACACAAGTCATTACAGAATACAATATTGAATGTAGTATACAATATGTATATTATGTGACGTGTATACCTATTATTAAAAAAGTAGAAACACCACATAGTTCACGTACAGTATACCATAAAAAATCATAATATTATAACAAAGGTAGTAAAAACAAAAAATATTGTCAATATTCATTGTAGTGGCAATAGCTTGCGAATTGCTAATTCTTTTTACCTAGTTTTGCAGTTCTAATTACTTTTCCATATTTATATTTTATACAAACTATTTATATTACTTGAATAAAACTATAAATTTATTAGTTATTTACGACGAACATATTACGCCCGTCATAATGAATAAAGCCGTAAGTACTATCATAATTTTAATTAATTTTTGGTTTTAAATATAAAACCAAGTTAAATTTAATTAAGTGTGTGTAAGCTTAAAAAAAATTATACTGGGTCTACAGGATACTGTATAGCCTTCCCTGTTTAAATATCCTAGTCAGTCTTAAGTATAGCAATATTTAAGTAACAAGTACTAAATTAAAAAAAAAAAAACAATACCTAGATTAGATCAAATCATAACTTTTACTTTGTTTATCTTTTCCCTCGACTTGAGGCTTACACATTGATACTAGTAGAACTGTTTCACTATAATTAAGTATTTAATAATAACAAATAAGATTATTTGAATAATTTTTTTTTATTTACTTCTACCTATTCCCGTAAATTAAATATGATTCTACAGAAATTAACTATATTTTAATAATATAATATCTATAAGGAAATAAACTTATAATAGAGGTATCGGATTCAATTCCCGTGATAATGCGAAACATGTTTTGTCCTTCTGTTGCACCTGCTCTGTTTATTTGGGGAGGAAGAAAGCGTTAGAAATTAAAATATATAATATGTACATCTTTGGGTTATAGGCATGTATCATATATTTATTTTATTTTTGGTGATAATTTTAATTAGTTGGCATAGTGTGTTTAGTATTTTTTAAAAAATGGTTTTACTAAAAAGTTTAGGAACTATCAAGAGTATAGAGCTATACTATACAGTACATCACTAGTTAACAGTTATAAAAAATTGTATGAATAAATTGTTATATTAATTAATAATACTAATGTATATTTATTTATTTTTATCAGGTTACTTATTCAGATGATCAGTTAGCTGGTGAGTTTACAAAGTCTTAGGAACCAATGTACAATCTTTTATTCAGTTTATTTAATCAATTTTTTGTTAAACAATATTTATACTTTGAATTGTATGATAACTATATACACTTCACATACACAATAGTCATTTTTTGCATGAGGACGTGTATATATAATTTACAAATCTAAAATAAAATTTAAATAATATATACCTTTACTGTATTATTTTTTTTTAGCTTTGTATGCTTATTGTTTATATATATATATATATTAGTTTGAGCTGAAGTTTTATGTTTTTATAACTTAGTCTGCTGAATATGTACACCATACCTAAAAGTTCACACCTGTTAAAATTTTTGGTGAAAAATGAGTGTTTTTTTGGTACTTTTTTCTAATAAATTTAAATTAATGTATGTATATAATATGTATATTAGGATAGCCCTTAAATTTGACATGGCATTAGATGGCTATTCAATTCCAAATATTGAAAAAATATTTCTCTAATTATTTCAGGTTTTGATCTCATTCCCTTGGTCACCCGGTTTGCACATACAAAGCTAAAAATCATGATATATTAGAGGTATATATTTAAGTTTAATTTAAAAATTTTAAACTTGTTTACGTCAAACTATTACTGTGATGGGAATTTATGAAAATAGTAGTAATTCTGTTCATTTAATAATTGAGTAATAGTAAAAAACAAGTTGTTTAAAATTACTGTTTTGATGTACTTTCAAAAAAAAATGTTCTACCTATACTCTGCGCCACGAGAGAAGTAACCGGTTTCGCTCATGCCAACTGACGGCAGCGACTGTTACGAGGCCCTGTTTCCCCCACTTTGTGCCATTCAGTATTGCGCCGAGGCGTGCATACAGCGCGAAACAAGCGATATACAAATAATATACTATAGTATAATAAATAATATACTCTATATACAATCGTATATAGAGTATATTATTTATTATAATTGTGAATGATTATATTATATTGTCATTTATAAATTATATATATAATTATTTATTTATTTAAAAGGAAAAAAGGATTCTTTTTTACAGAATGGTATGACACATTGTCCATGACAATTGATTTTTTTTAATGGGTGAACATATTTCTGAAGAATTATTGTTTTGTTCAGTAGATGGTAGTAGGTTCATTGACTGATTCTTCGTTGGAAACGTTCGTTTAAAAAAAATGAAAAACAAAAATAACGACAATAATGTAAAATTCAACAGTAAAAGCAAGCGAGTGGTTCAAAGATGTAAGACGTTGTGAGTCTTATGACTTGTGACACACTATATCGAGTATACGTTATAATATACCCTATATATGCAGCGCCGCCGTCGCTGCCGACCGTGGGTGTGGCCTATCGGTGGGATTGCGTGGAATCAAACGCGTTTCGGTCAGGAGACGGGTTACTTTTCTCGTGGCGCGTAGTATAGTACCTTGATTTTAAGATTCATATTGTATTCTTTTTTATATGTAGTAATTGATTTTTATCAAAATTATTTTAAGCTAACTATTAAATATTTGAAATATTTTAAGACTAGTCAGATCGTATGATAAGAAATGTCATACCTCATATCTGTCATTCCTCATTTTATGTTCAAAAATAAGCAAATTACAAAATTTACAAAACAATTAATATTTTATTGCACCTTTTTCAGAAATGGAAGAAGCTTTTCAATTATTTGACAATCGAGGGGATAATAAAATCCATATATCCCATATTGGCAATGCTCTTCGTGCTTTGGGTCAAAATCCTACTGAATCAGATGTTAAAAAGTTTGCCCACCAACATAAAACTGGTAAAAGATTGAGTTTTTTAAACTTAAATAATTATAACATAATTTATTAATTATCTTAGGAGGATCTTACTATCTTATTTTGTATGTAATCGTTATCATACAATTTTGGTTAGGTACATGGTCAGTTTCTTTTCAATATAATTTCTGCTTATTCGTTGTTGACTTTTATAGTTTAATAAATACACTTACTAAACATAATTTTTGTATCCAGATGAAAGAATTCCATTTGAAGTTTTTTTACCCATTTATCAAGCTATATCAAAAAATCGATCTGCTAATACAGCCGATGACTTTAATGAAGGCCTAAGGCACTTTGACAAGGAAGGAAATGGATTTATATCATCCGCTGAATTACGTCATTTGCTTACTACACTTGGTAACAATCTATATTTTTTAATTATAAGTTAAACTATGAAAAATGTTAGCAGAATTGGGACATTGTTACGTTTGCTTGTTTATAAGGAAACTTTATCTTACACCTCGTTTCATAAAAATATGATTTATATTATTTATTCATATGACATTATTAACACACATTAACAGTACAATATAAACTATGTAAATTATAAATTATTCGAGAGGTATAAAAATTACAAGATCCAGCATTTAGAATAGAATAATACAATAAAGTAAAACTCTAGGTAAGTAACATAGGTTGTTGAGTACGAGGGTTATATTTTAATCCAAGTATAAGTAAATGTTTATTTCATATCTGTACCTTGGGTTCACCTGTAACAAATGTTAAATAAATAAATAAATAAATAAAAATTAATATCAGAGTCTTCAAGCCATTTAATTGCATCGGCAGTAACTTTGTTGAGTTCTGCTAGTCCTCCTGAAAATGATCTGATAGGACAAAATTATACGTGTATTTCAAATCCTATAAAATAATAGGATAATAAGAATGTCCATATTTATATAAAACTGCTAGTATAAATACTTAGTTTTGAAACATAAGGAATATAAGTGTATATTGAGTATTTGATCTGAGAATGAAATAAGGATAATATTCTATTAAATTTAAGAAGAAAGGCAGCTGTTGGCTATGCTAATAAATAGTCTATGCCTCGATAAATCATTATATAAGTTGGCTGTCAATATTTCTTATTAGTGTGTAAAGTATAGTTACAATATTTTATGTTCCAGAAATTGACCGTTTAAATTAATTTTTTTATTAACCAATAATTTATTTTTAACTTCATAGGGGAAAAACTGACTGATGAAGAAGTGGAACAATTGTTAGCTGGACAAGAGGATTCCCTAGGAAACATTAATTATGAAGAATTTGTGCGCACTGTAACATCTGGATAATATAAATTTATGGGCAGTTCTATTATAATTTAGCACTACTACTATATTATATATATAAATATTATGGTAAAATAATTATATCATGGCATCGACCAAATTTTGTATTTTTAGCTAATTATTTTTATACTACATTTTATATACTAATCATATAAAAAACGTACGTTTCTGAATAAATTATTTTTTAAACACTATATATATGTTATGTAAAATCACGAAAATATTTTTTTTAGTTGAATTACTATTGAAACAAAATAATTTATATTTTTGAAAAACACTTAGCCAATTAGAAAACATAGTGTTATTAAAAAACTTTGTATATATTTTTCCTCATCAAAGTGTTCATAGTCTTTTGAAGTAATAGAAAGAATAATTAACAACTGTAATTGGTATATGAGTCGTCAAGAACAAAAATGGTTTTAAGTCACGGTTTTCACACAATCTAAAGTAACATAAATAAGCAATAATTCTACCTTCTATCTAATGCCTACGAGACAGGCGCAGGTCCAGTCCAACAAGGACATAGGGAGCGTCCGACCCCTAAAATCACTAAAAAAAAACCTAGAGACCTTAAGGTTACAGTCGACCTGCATTGTCATAAATGCAATTCTGTGAGCCTACCCGTAAACAAATTCTGGATCCGCCCCTGTCCCAAGAGTGGTTCGAGTTCTGCTTTGCTTGTTTTCAATAGACAGCAAGAGAACATTTGCGTCCTTGTAAAAACGTGTACAGCATTTCTACTTTATCATTTTGTTTCTTAACTTTGAACCTATGTGACTTAAACCACTTTTGCTCTTGAAAGCTCTTATATTGCTTAAAAAAAACAAGTTTGTTGCAATACACTAGATTTTCTCCACAATCACCCACTGTTGGTTGCGTGCACCATTGATAATAAGATAATTTGAGTGGGATGGTGTAGAAGTATGAGCGTTCAAAGTATTTGATAGCATTCTTTGGAATATTCTAGAACTAGAACCCGCCAGCCGCGGGTATATACGCAGTACATTTTTGAGGTAATATTCTTGAAAATGTAAAACAATTATATATTTTTTTTTTGTACAAATAATAATTTAAAAAACCTAAGTCCAAACAATGCAAATTCAGCATAGTAAAAAATTGCCATATGTTGGGGTCCTGTATATATTTTAAAAATTTTGTACAGGTTCTTTTATAGTATCCAAACAATGACTGTATACTAAATTTATTAATTTATTAAAACGTTGTTAAGCCTAAAATAGTCTTCAAAATCCACATTTTAATAGGTTTCGAGTTGTTTCATTATTACATTTTTTTTACCTATCTTAGTCTAATTTTAATTTTTTAAATCTTAAAACTGTGCTGTAATAAATAATTATGTTGGAAAATACATTCCATACAGTGTCTCGCCATCCTCAAACATGCCAATACTACCCTTGAAATGCCACTAGATTACTTAACAACACTGCTCTATTCAAGTTTCCTTAGTGAGCCATGGTAATCTTTATAAGAAATAAAATAAAATAAGCTAACATAATAAAACAACATATTTTCATTTATATTTTTATGAATTAAATAAACCTATTTATAACAAACTATTGAAAATATATAAAAATTGTATAATTTATTATAATTAAAATGAAGTAATTCATTTTTATAACTTATATAACTAAATTAATAACATTAATGTATTCAAAATACATTTTATACAGTTAACTAAAGTACAAAAGAAATCAACAATTGCAGAAAACCTTAACGGACTTGGTAATAACCAGAATTGGTTTAGTAATTAAGCTATTGTGGAAAATATGTGTATTAGATCCAGTTAATAAACTAGTGGATATATGACTTAACGATGAAATTATTTAATATTATAGTTAAAAATGTGAATTAATTATACTTATTGGTTTCTGGATTTTCTAAACTAGACTGTGAAATCAATCCTATTGATTCTCCATTTAAACCAGGTGCAGTTGGCACAATAGGCTGTGGATGTGGATATTGAAAAGTTGGATTGATTGGTGGCTGTTGTGTGTTTATATTTGGATAAAGTGGTTGAGTTTGATGGTATGCAGATGGTGGATCACTAGGCAAAGGATAATACTGTTGATTAGGATAGGGAGAGGGGACTGAAGGTGGTGGAGGGTATTGTTGACCATTGGAAGGTGCTTGTTGAGCATAACCAGGAACTGGCGTTGGTTCAACAAAACCAATTGTAGGAGTTGGATTAGGTAAATATTGATCAAGAGGGACTGTTCCTTGATTGGGAGAATTAAACTGAGGTGCATCTTGAGCTATTGTTAACGGAATGTTCCCCATTGTGATATTTACATACAATCTAGTGTTTTCATTCATACCACCAACACAAGATTCAATCTGTAATTAAAGATGTTGTTACACAAAGTATCAAACAATACCCATCATAAAACAAAAAATATATTTTAAATTCGGAATTACTTTTAAAAAATATTTTTCTTTTATAATGTCACAATATTTCAGATTTGACAAAATCAATGAATTAGGAATTGGCAATTGTTCCGTCCAAGTTTTAGAACCATGTTCTTCAACACCATCTAAACTTAATTTTGCTAGTTCAGCCGTTTCATATTTTGTTTTCCCAACTGGATGGGTTGCTTTAAAAGCTATTTCCTAATAAAATAACATATAAACATATTTTTTAAATCAGATTATTAATAGATTAAATATGTTAAACTAAATATTTTTACTTTTTCTAATTTCACTTTAACAGTTTCGATTCTAACATTGCTATTGTTATCCAACTCTATAGTAACTGGTATATTTTGTCCAGGTACATAACCCGAATAGGGCAAACAAACAACAAGAGTCATTGGACCAGACTTGCAACAACAACAACAATAATAATTTTCTTTTTCTTCTTTAATTGGTTCCTAATATATTAAACAAATACCCTTATTATTTATCTATTCAAAATATTTCTGCTAACAAATTTTTCACCGATAAATTTGGTTCTTCATTTAAATTAAGAGGCGAAATGACTTGAAATGTACTCTTTGTTTCTTTATCTTTTCCCCATGGTATATCAATTGTAACTTTGGCTTCATAGTGTATATTGCCATGTTCACCATTGTAGGTAGAAGGTAACTGATGTGGTAACGTAATATTAAACGGATAAGCATGTTCACCTTCTTCTAAATGTGATTCTCCTAAATGTATTACATTTACAATTTTAAATTTGTATATTTTAAGTAATAATTTCTTTTTAATTAGTTTCAGTAATTTACATACAATAGTAGTTAAAAAAGTAATACATTTATTGGTTAATTCAAATTTTTATATAGTTTAATGTATGTTTATGACTGAGCATAGTTATCATAATAGTATTTTTGAATCCAAAATAATAGATGACGACCGTAACAAAAAAAGAATGTTGCAATTTTTTTACAAAAATTGTTATTATACTTTGTTTTAAGACCCAAAAAATGTTTAGCTTTTTTTAAAATATACTTGTTAATTTTTTATTAGGCAAATGAAACACTACTTTTAGTAACAAACATTTATGGTTGACTCTAAATTAAAATATTTAAAAATTTCACATCAAATTATAGTTTAAATATACCTAGTCAATTATACAGAAATTATACAATTTAAATAATATAAAACATTCAATGTTTTATATTATTTAAATTCTGATAGAATTTATGTTTAAAATTAATATTTTACAATGGCTAAGCTATAAGAATTTAAAAAATAATAAAAAGATTAAGATTAAAATCTTTTATAAAGATTGATCAACAAACCAATTATTTTCTATTAGTTTAATGAATTTTTTTTTTTTTTATAGATACAAAATAAAGAAACCTTAATTTCTAAATAACTTACATTAAAAATATGTTATATATAACTAATATATGTTAACTGATATTTAGTAATATTTCTACATTGGCATTGACATGATTTTTAAACGAAAATATACGACTGGTCTATAAGCAGTCTCAAAATATTATATCTCCAAGTTAAAAACTTTATACAATGTGTAAACAGAAGGAGAGATGAAATGTTATATTATACCTACATTGAGTCAATAAAATGTGTGACAACACAGCCTATTGTCGAGCTTTCATTTTTTAAAATCCCATTAACATCAACATCACCTTCAATCAAATCATATATTTTTTTGTAAATTTTATCAGTTTAAAAAGTAGTTAGGATAACTTTTAGCTCTCGTTTTTTAAATTATTATTTGTTATTATCTGTAATATATTAAAACATTAATTTAAAGGTTCAAACTTCAAATAGTTTTAAATTTATACCTATTTTATTATTAAGTCATTTTTTTTTAACGAAAATAATAAACTAAAATTTGAGTTTTAAAAAATTACATACCTATCTTGTAAAAAACTAAATCCCAATAACAACACAAAAAAAGTTAATAAAAACAAGATTAATTTCAGTGCTCTACTTGTCATGTACATAAAAAGTAATTATTGTAGTAAAATTTAGTCATTACAGCATGTACCTCCACCACCTATTAATGTAAATTTATTTTCAAAATATTCTTCTTCTGACTGATAACTTTCAGAGTAATTTTCAGTTTCGCCATTGTTGTTTCTACGAGACTCTTGTTCGACCCACTTTACATTAGCTCCACCACTTATTTTCATCTTTATGCCTTAAACAGTAAATGACGAACAAATTAATTTTTTAAAAAACTCGATGACAATCAAATGTAATTACAATAACATCCATAAGTAGGTAATAATGGTTATTATTAATGGTAGGTACTTACTTCTGACTTTTACAGACTCATTAGTCATAACTAGAACCCTGCCACTAACTGCTTGTCCGGGCATGAACACAGTAGTTGGGTTATCATAAATAATTTGTAAAGTTTTCACACCCATATTTGTTTAAATGACGTAAAAAGCGAAATATTTTAATTTCCTGAACACACACCAAAATGATGCCAACAAAATAATATTCACAAGTTACAACTTTAATGGTTAACAGTGTTCAATTACAAACTCACATTGAATTTACAGACTACACTACATAGAATAGAGACACTCTACGTTTTAAAAAATTAAGTGGGTTCAGGGTTGAGTCACTAGTGTAATTTGTAAACGTAAACGCCCGGCGCCGGAACGTCGCCAGTTAAAAATAATTTATTATCAACAATATCGTCTTGTGGTGTTATCACTAGAAATAAGAATGCAACCATTGGTCATTGACCTTATACTTTAAAACCGGACGGGATGCGTACAGCTGCATATAAAAATAATATATTATACCAGAATACACATGGGCCGGGGTGCAGTCACAGTAGTAGCATAGCTATTATTTAGCTACCGTGGGTGCAGCTGCCCCAGGAGCACATTCTAATTTAAAGCGTTTTTGTACGGTTTACTATACACGTCAACATATTGTAATATACATGCATGTATACAAACAGTATTAGTACATGCGTTGATGAACACATTACACGCCCTTGTCGAAAAAAGAAATTGGTGTTCTTTCTTATAAGTTCGGAAAGTGTATGACGTTTAGACTTGGTTAGAGTCTAGAGAGCTCTATGTTGGTTTTGTGATGTTTGTCTGCAGGTGCAGACTGCAGTCGCTAAAGTATGCAGAGCTTCATCGTTGTTGTCTATTGTGTACCTGTTGACTCGCTCTTACATTGTATATAAAGGAATTAGATAGCCGATAGGGATGTATAAACTTTTATAAGAATGCAACAGTAATTAAACAAAAAAAGTATAAAAACAAATTGTATTGTCTCTGTTATGTAACAATATTCTTTTTCTCACGATCGACACTATTAATTAGGTACATGATCTGCTGAAAGTTTGGTTAAGAGTAAAGAATTTGTTTTATATACATAATTTGTACTTAGAAATATTAACAACTTATGGTACAAAATTGATAATTGCCAATTATCATTACTGTTTTCACTTAAGAGAAACAGAATATTTACAAAGGCGCATTAAATACGGGATAATTATTTATGATATATATATATATATATATATATATACATAATTTCCTTTACAATTATTTAAATGTTACATTAAAAAACAAAAACTTCATTTTTCATAATAATTTTATATATAAAACGAATAAAACTAAAATAGATATATTATGTCAGTGTGTTAATCAAAACTGATAATAAATGTCTTTGTTCCAATGTCAGATGAGATGAGAGATCAGATTCAATAGTGTATAAACAAGATGTTTCACCTAGTTGATAGGCTTTGACAAGAGATCGCAGAAGACGAAACAGTTCATCAGATATAAATGTAACTAAAACCAAAAATTAATAATATCTGTATGTTGTATGCACATTTATTTTTAGTTAAATTATATTCACTTACCAGGAGAATCAAAATCACCGTTTATCCACATATATTTCTCTAAGACTGATGTCAAGTCACTTGGCATTTTTTGTCGCGTAGGTTTCAGTATGAGAAACAAGAAAACTCTTGATATTTCACATCTGAATTGGAATAATTTTTCATTAAATAGTTATTATAGTTAAATACCCTAAACGAGTTACCTCGCTAATATATCACTATGTACGCCTAAAGTGTCTGAATGGATATTTGAGGCAACATTAGCAATTTCTGTGAATGTTAATAAAGCACCTTCATAGTCTCCTGGAAAAAAATAACTTTATAGATTAAAAACCAAATGTATTACCTATTTTCTAAAAATTTACTTAGTAATTGGTCTAAAAGAAAAAATGATATACAACATAAGTAGATATTAAGACTAATTGTAATTACAAGGTCTATATAGAAATAAACAAATGTCTAAATACATTTATTGTATAAAAAAATTATTTGTAATTTTTCTAATACCAATCTTGTAAAATGCCTAATAGAAATTGGGTTTTTCCCACCTGTCAGTTAAGTCGCAAATATAAAGTTACTAATTTACTAGAAGTTACAATTACACGTACATGTAATTAAGGAACCTAGAATTTAATCAGTATATATATATATATATATATATATATATATATTAATAATATAAATAAATATTAAATTAATAATTACAAGAGAGAGAAAGAGAATTAAACAAGACTGTCAAGTCTTTAGGAAAATGGAAATTTTCCATAAATTGTACCTATTAATTTGTTTTCTCTTAGATTTCTTAATCGTTAATAAGCTGTTTAAAGGCCTAGTTCAGTTGCCTCTGAGGAGGATGGTAGGTTTCATTTTAGATAATTCTGCCTGCCCATGGAAAGTAACCGATGTGACCAACCAGTTATCACTATCACCGAACTGGTCACAGTAAAGGTCATCCAACGCACTGCCGCTTTACCCACTCGGCCACTCATCCTCCTCCTTTTAATTACTAATAATAATAGATACCTAACATATTTTAAAACATAATTACCAAATAATATTAAAATTACAATTACCAGATAATATTTGAATGGATGTTATTTGTTCAAGAACAGTTAATTTAAGAGCATTGTTTTCTTGTGGAATATCAGTTAAACTGCTAGCAATAAATGATGCTTCATCTAGTTTACCAAGACCAACAAGAGTATTAGCAGTTTCTAGACGAACTGAAGTTTTTAAAATATTTTCAAATGAATTTCCTCGGAAACTATCTTCAGCATGACACATTTCACTTAATCCTGCCTTTACAAAAAAATAATGGGTTAAGAAACTTTGTTTTGTAGATATTTAATAATGAAATTCATTCAGCTCTCAAAGCTGTTTCTTTTAAATATATGTAGATTTAATACAAGTATCTAGCAATGATGATAAAATATAATTTAGTCGGTTGGACTTACTATTAAAGTTATGAACAAATATTTCACTGATTTTTTTTTATATATATGCAAAAAATGATCATTGAATTTGACGTTTAACATAGAAAAAACTGTTTGTAACTATACTGCGGCCACCAAGAGAACGATACTGCGCAGAACCCAAACTGCAGTACTACTGTATGCCGTAGTATACTTGTTTTATTATTGGAAATTTGAAACTAACACCTAGATGAAAAAATATATTTTTTTTTTAAATGTTTAACTTATGACAAATTAATGAGTTTTGAAAAAAATAATGCAAAGGAAGTTTTTGCTTTTAACTTTGAAAGTAAGTTTGAATAACTAATTCTATCTTCACCATTGTTTACAGCATAGAAAAATACAAAAATTTGAATGAAACATTTTTTAAGTACTGAATGAATTGCATTCATTCTTTTTTAAATATTGCATAGAATGATATATAGCATTGATTATAAAGTATAACATAATATAAGAATTGGGATGTACAATAAAATGGCAGAATCCCTGCTATCAATTAAGGATAGGTGATAATGTTCACATTTAAGCAGGACTTAAAAATGTTTCGTTTTATGACATTATAACAAAATTGTTGTGTTATGAATACACAAAAATGGTAAAAACTAAAAGAATTATATCAATATTTGTATGCACAGTACCACTCATCTGTTTAGTCTAAAACCAATGAGTGTAGATTAATTTAATACCAACTTGTAAGTACTCATTGTAAGGTGACACAAATCCAGACGATTCTGTTTTTTTAAATTCTTGAAAAAATTGGCGAGCTGCTTTCTGGTGAGCAAGCGCTTCTTCACAGTTGTGGCCCATTGATTCTTCACATTTTGCAACTGCTTGCCAGCAAAGTGCTGCATATGCATTTTTATCATTTTTCTGGCATGAATTTGCCAATTTTGCTGTAAAATATCAGAAAGCATTCTAGAAATTCATATAAACCAAAAAAAAAAAACAACATCTTACCAAACAAATCACTTGGCTCTAACGTATTTAGTTTTCGAAATAATTTCCTATAAAAAAAATTTTTAAATGTTACACTTTATTATGAAAAATGAATATTATGAATAAAATGTAATAAGTAAAATCTCACTTTTTAGTTTTATTTAATATATATTTGTAGTGTAGAATTATTTCTTCAGGATTATTTATACCAGACATATCGATTTTACAATTAATAACACAAGTATGTTTGTAACACTAAAATTTGAATAGTTAGAAAATTTATATAATCTGTAGTATTTTATTTACTTTAGTACTTGATATTAAAATTTTCCTGCAACAATGATTAATGTATCATAATGTTATTATAACTTCACCTTCCAAATAAAATCTACCGACTGCGGACTGACGAAACCTAGTAAGTATTAAAATTGAGTATTATTGTACAATACAATATACGCTGACGGCCATATTTTTTATCAGTGTTCAGTTGTGTTTATCTTAACCCTGATAATACTGATAAAAACCACAGAATAACCAGAAGGGAAGCCTAGGCCGGGACTGATAGGTGCCCAACATTTTGTTTTTGCGGATTATGTACAACTATTACGCTTTTTGCTGAAGTAGGTATCTATATACAGCCCATCAGATTATTGTCTAGCTCCCAGCCGCAAAAATAATATGACAATTGTCCTTTTCGGCGGCTTATAAGAATCCATGTAATTTTTTTTAATGTTTCCCTTCTGAACGATATAAACGTTTCGTTCTACTTTCCAGTAACAAATAACAATATTTTATAATTTTATATCGCCCAAAAAAGAACTTTTAGAAGTTCAAAATCAGTTATGCTGCCAGAATACTATAAATCATTTTAATTAACATTTACTGTAATTAAAACAAATAGTGTAAATTATGGCTTGGCACTGTTTACAATCCCCTGTTTAAAAATATTGTTTTTGTTTTCTTATAGCTTTTACTTATAAACTCGTCACTAATTGAATACGTACTAGGTAGTGTTTAAATGTTATTTAAATGAGAAAATTAAGGCTTAAACTTAGTAATTAGCATGCAAGCCGACCTGCATACTATTGTAAACTGGCTTCTATTATAATCCCTACTCCGCCTCAGACGTAACACGCTACTGGCAACAAAACATAACAATGAACTTTCTAATCTATGTTGTTTGAAACATGAACTATAACTATAACCCGTTGTACATACTGGTAAATGATAATATGAAAACATTCATTTCATTCGTCGTTTAACTTACACTGACTGTGTTTGTGTGCATACAGGCATTGAATTCCTACCATAGATTAATTAATTTACCAAAACAGAAAATTATCAAAATGAGCGAAAAGGGAAAAATAGGAATCATTGGCAGGTAACAAATTTTACGATTTTATAATTTGTTTTTTGTTAAAATATGCTTTACAGTTTTATGGTGATTGGGTTTTTTAACACATTTTATATATTTTTAAATAGTTAATAGAGGTACGTGATAAGTATTAAGTAATAACGGTTAACCTAATGGCTATAACAATTAACAAGTAAATAATTTATGGTTTTATGATGTAAATAAACATTAGGTTTGGTAGATCAAACTAAATAGAATTAACATCACGAAATTGTATTGGTTTGTAGTTTTACAATTATGAAATTTCTTTACTTTAAAACAATAAAATATACTTCTTAATTATAATATTTATTAAAACACTTTAAATCGCTTATCTATTTAAAAAGTCTTATCGTTTATGACCTATAAACGATATGTGTCGTCCCTTATCAATGCACTCGTACGCACTCAAGTCGAATGATTATTTATTTTAGTTTTTGATTCCTAACCGGGCTGAACTGGATGTAACAACTAATTTATACATTAGCTGTTACCCGCGTCAAAATCGGTTCATTTCGAAGATTAGCCCGGAAAATATTCAATTTGTCCTATTCTATTCATCATTAGTATTTACTGATACATTTATTTAAATAATATTTTCGTGAAATATATGTGTATACACATATGAGTAAATACATACATATAATGGTTGTATGGCAGGAAATGCGAAAATAACATTTTTTCGAGATAAAATACAACTTAGATCACTCCTTCCTAAGTTCTTTATTTGCCTGTGAAAATCCCTTTAAAATTGATTCAGCCATTTCGAAGATTAGCCCGAACAAACTGACAAACTCTTCAATTTTATTTCTATGTATACAGTATATAATAATAATCATAATATGGATTAATATTTTCCTTATAAATCCTATTATTGTGTCTATATAATTATAATTTATATCTTATAAAATATGTTTTGTTAGCATACATCGAGTTTACGATGCAACCAAATTTTTATTTAAATAAAGGTTTTTCATCAAAATTTTTTTGGTAACGCATAGTTTTTAAGTAATACTTAAAAAAACTACAAACAATATATAAAAACAAATTATCCGTTTAGATAACGCTACATTTAAAGGTCCGGCTAAACTAAAATGTACAGCACAAAATTTGCATTTTTCTCTTTAAAAAAAAATGAGATCAGAATCAAACAATCATATTCCACATAAAAAATCAATTAGTAATTGTTCATCTAGTCGTCTCAGTCCAAAAAAATTGTTTCAAATTCTGATTCGTAAAGTTCTTGTTTAATTCTGAAAACATATTTAACTTGAGAAAAATTATTTTTCGTTAAAGAGAAAGATTTTGCTCGAAAATTTATCCGGATATTTGCGCTACAAATCTTTATTTGTAGCTTCTATTTATTTTAAATAAAATATAACGGGGGCTGTAAATTCCCTTAGTTCAGTGCCTTAGTTACCTATAAGGGGTGGGACTAGGAAACTAAGCCCTTTATATCATCTTCAGGTACTGTTCAAAAATTGTTTTTAATGAAATCGATCTTAAATCAATTTTGGAAAGCGTTTTTCTGGTATTTGTCTATTTAACGCACAAAAAAGGATTTTAGACGTATTTTTTGCCGACCGCGGAAGAGGGAGTATAGTGTGTTTAGGCCTATTATATGTACATGTTTGTATAATACCAGAAAATAACCATTTTTCAATCCTATTATATAGTTTTGTTAATTTCAGAATTCAGGAATTCAACAAGTTATTTTAAAGATAGAAATTTTAAGTACAAAGCTATATAGCCTATGCCCTAAAATATAACTATCCGTATACAAATTAACATGTATGATATTAGACAAACATAATATTATACTTTGGGAATGGGCTTTGTCTGTTTATTGATTAAACGTTTCTTTTTTTAATATCATTAATCATAATAGTGTTGCCGACAACCGTATTATATATCCATAATAAGATTATAAATACAATACTGTTTCATTGCTTTATGTCAATATAATATTTTATTGTTGATCAATAATCTTGTGTATCTTATTATATTTGTCTTACAGCGGCCTAATAGGTCAAAGTTGGGCTATGCTGTTTGCAAGTGTTCGGTACAACGTTGTAATCTACGACGTTGACTATGAGCAAGTAAAAAATGCACACAATAAAATTAAAAATGAATTAGAAATAATGGAAAAAAACGGAACTCTAAGAGGAAATATTGGGGCTGAACAACAGATTGCTCTTATTAAAGGTAAGACTAATTCAAGCATCTAGAGATTCAACGTTCAAACCGAATATAGTATGCCATAATGACATTATTTTAATTGTATATTATTGACATGGATATGTCTTATCGCTGGGGGTCATCCAAAAAAATTGTCAAATTTTATTTACACTAATTACACATCTTGTGATTATTCCTCCATAAGTAGATTAACTGGTCTGCCAATGTTTCCGAATAATTGCACGTTCCATCTTAGGGCCGTGGTTCGATGTTGCTCGCACCGTGGTTTCCTGTAGACTGAGGAATAAATAAATAATTTAATTTTTAAAACTCAAAATTAACGCATGACTTTTGCACAGGCGTCTCTACATTGGAAGAGGTGTTGAAAGACGCGATCTTTGTTCAAGAATGTATTCCAGAAGTGCTCTCATTAAAACAAGAATTGTACGGGCTTATTGACAAAATCATTTGCCCCCAAACGATTATATCTAGTTCAACGTCTACATTTTTACCGTCTCATCTCTCTGAAAAAATGGAACATCGTAATCAAGTGATCGTCGCACATCCGGTTAGCCAATTATATAGTTTCGAGGAGAGGGTTGTAATTTTTGCAAATGTTTTCTATTTTCTTATAAGAATAAAATATAAGAGTTCAGGGATTGAAAACTTTACCAAAAATACGAAAATCGTTTGGTTCTCCACAAGAAAAGTCACTGCATCGTGATTAGTGACCGAATTTTGATTAACATTTAATTCATATTATATAGAAGCACATGTGTGATAAAGCGCGATGCTTTAGTAAATAAAATTAAGTGCAACAATATTTATTCTAGAGACTAGATACCTATTAAAAAGTTTTTTACGCATTGTGTACACATATTGTTGGTAGCCAAAGAGTAAATTTGTTGGTGTTTTGATTCCAAGTTTATTCATACGTGCCTGTAAAATGATAAAAACTGTACTTATGACATTTGTGTACTTTATCATTGATGATATATAATTGTAATACCAAAGAGTTATGACCTATGGGAGTACCTAAGCTACGGACTTTAGAGTTAAGAAAGAATATATCATATTTGCTTATCACATTTTTCAACAGTCCTAGGTATAAAAGGAATTGATTTTTGGATAGGTTTGCGGGAGATTTTTTACGCTATTTTAATCGCTGTGATGTAATGGATTTTAACTACCAAATTACAGTAATACTTTTAAAAATACTCTTTCTGCTGACGAACTGGGGATATCATACTTTTAAAACATAATGGACAACTAATAGCTAAACTTAATTTTAATTTTCTATTTTGACGGAAAACTTTTAAAATTACGGTACGCTTTTGTACCGTTTTTATAATTGAAGATATAAATAATGTTAATTTATTAATTATATATTTTCTAGGTTAACCCACCTTACTTCGTTCCTCTAGTAGAAATCGTTCCTTCTGAGTGGACCGAAAGCTGGATTGTACAGAAGACAAGGTCAATCATGGAAGAAATCAAACAGTCGCCAGTTACTCTGTCTAAAGAAGTTCCCGGATTCGCTTTAAACCGCATACAGTTGAGTGTAGCGAAACAAAATCAATAATCTATACGTTTACACTGTATAAAACTTAACGTATCTATTGTACTTTAGATATGCGATTTTGAACGAATGCTGGCATCTTGTAAACGACGGCATCCTAAACGTTCAAGACGTGGATACAGTCATGTCAGAAGGCTTGGGCATGCGTTACGCGTTTCTTGGCCCATTAGAAACTACTCACTTGAACGCCGAAGGCGAGTTTTTCTTCAATATAATGCAGAATACTTTTGAGATTATACCTCTAGGCTCTACTGAGTACTAGACCTCACTGAAAAAACTCTTATGGATGTCCAACGCGGGAAACCCGATATCAGGGATACATAATTATTAAATGTCACCATATATTATTTTATTTTACAATATTCGATTTTGTGTACAAATGTAATATGCAAAAACGTTTACATGCAGATAATTGGTACAATTGTCAAATGTAAACGTTTTTGCTCTTGAACGTTAAATCGGGGACGGTCGAAAACTCGTCATTATGATTATAAAATCAATACCACTTCTTAGCTAGCCATCTAAGTATCAAATAAAATATTTTAAGGAAATTGGATACCGATTATTTCTATCTTGGCCTTATAATAATATTTGTTTAAATTCTATTTTTAGGATTTACGAACTATACTGAACGTTATGCAAATTCAATGCACGGTGTTTGTCAGCATTTTAAAGCACCACCAAAATTTGAAGGACCCCTAGTTAAAGTAATTGCGGATCAATTAAACTCCAAGACGCCCTTGGAAGATTTGCAGAAACGTAGATTATGGAGAGATCAATCTCTAACAAAACTGTCACAGCTAAAAAAATACAATAATTATTAAATAATAAAAAAATGCTGGAATAATCAACAATTGCAATTTTAATATTTGTCAACGTAGATTCAATATAGATTAAATTAAATTTTTATATGTTAATTCATTATTTTAGATTACTATAAAAGTATTTATTAAGCAAATGTATAAAATAAATAATTATATGACTCGTAATTGTTGACTTATCTACGTTCCAGTTGTCTGGCATCCATGAACTCCTCGTTTTTCAAACTAAATTCAATCGGAATCTCTGGTAATCTCTTAAACTAGTTCAAATAGTGTTTGTCAAATATATACTAACAGGTAAATGTAGATAGTCACTTATCTTCTCAGTGGAGAACTCCTCCGGAGTACTTAAAGGAGGACATTTCGCTGACCATCTTAAACTACAGTTTCCAATTTCGTGCATCAAGGACTGTTTTATGTTACAGGAAGTTTAAGTACTGAACTATTTATTTTCAGAGGATATAATGTAATTGATAGCCTTTAATTACAAATTGCTATTTTTTTTTTTTATAAGTATTCTTTATATTGTATTATATTTTCGTATATTTTTTAGTGATGAGTACAATTTAATGTACTTGGATATGGCGTTAATTTCAAATAAATAATAATCATTATACAATTATAAAATACAAAAAAGTGAAATCATGAAGTTTGCAAAATTATTTAACTATAATTTATAAGGCGTAAACGGTAAACCTTATAAATGGTCTGTCTACGCGTGTGAAAGCGCAGTACGCTACTATGATATTTTTAAAATATAAATGTAATGTTCATTAGTATGATAGCTTCAACATCACTTGCCAAGATAAATCATTTATTAATTTAAGTTGTATTTATTTAAAATATGATGGTGGTTTTGAAAGCGTTAATTTTGGTATTGCCTACAAGAGAACCATTTATTTATTAAGGAGACAAGTACAGACCTATTTCGATAAAATCTGACAACTTTTGTTTAATTGTTATTTTCAACTTTTTTAACGGAGTAATGACTCATCTATTTTAGTACTAAAACATGTTTCAAATGGTTTAACTTTCTTGGAAAGCTAAGCATTTTTAGGGAGTACTTACTTACATTGACATTATCAAAAAACTTATGTAAATATGTTGACAAATTCTTATGACTGTTTGCACCAACTAAACTTAAAATTTAAAGGCAGTTTGACAATACTGAAACTATAGGTTAAACTCTACTAAAATTTTAAGTATAAATGATGCAAGCGGTCATTAAGATTTAATTTTATTCAAACAAAAATTAAATTATAGTATTAAATATATGTACCTATGTTTAATAAATTCACGTCTTTGGTTATAAAATAAAATAATTACAATATGTATATCAGGCAATTAGTTTTCGTTAAACGTTCATATCAAAACATTGATTGTATATGCCGCCATTAATGATGTTATTTTTTTCCTGGTTGCTGGGCAAATCCACACAACAAGTGATTTTAGGTGGCTCTACAAAACACGGGTCCATCTGTAACGGTTTCTTATGCAACTTCCTGGCTAGCGCCATCAGCACCATCATTTCCCAAAGCATCGTAGAGTTATAGATTACTAAAAAAAATGTTTAAAATATTACCACATTGTGTAATTTATGGTAGGAGTGGCATGGGAATTACGGTTGGCGTAGACGGTGGGTGATATGGGTGGTTTGCATGGTAGCCATCCAGCCCAGACCATAGTCCGAACAGCCAGTCCTTGGAGTTTGGCAAGCACCAGCACTAGTTGAAGTACGACGAATTTGCCCTGAATATTGTGATCTTTGAGTATGTCACCCAGTACACGCATCGTCATCGAGATGCCCCACATCCCACAGAAGATGGACAACACGATGAAAGGTTGCATGTACATGTAGTTCACTTGATACAAGCTCTGTATTTTTTTTGTAATAACATTACTTTGTATTATACTATCTAAGTCAGTCATTATTAGATTATCCAATAAAAAAGTCAAAAAACATTAGGTACACACCTCTTCTTCGGCCCACATCACCAGAAGAACCATGTAAACGAATCCTTGTACGATTGGAAGTTGTAGAACAAGTATTCTCAAATATCTCAGGTGTTTTCTGCAAATTTGACAAAGACCAAACGTGTCGTAAATAATACTTTAGATGATTTTTTTAAATTTATATATTGTACGAACTTGGTAACTGTAAACTTAGGTAAACAGCAGCAACACGGCCAACAACAGCATGGCGGCACTTGCATGTCAAGTGACTGTGGCTTCACCGAAGCTACGAGATTCGCTTCACCACCGCAGTATGCCATGAACAGGCAGAATAGTTGGTACACGCATGCCATGAACATACCCTGGGTCATGGCTTCGGCGAGCAGATGAGCTCTGGGCACCAATATGGCGCAGTACGTGGCCACGGCTACTACCTGGAAATTCAGGGGAGCATTCCAAAAACAAAAATGAACCACTATTCTTCTAGTTCATAAGCATAAGCTTAAAAAAGAAACCATACCGGGTATACGCTGAGGATGAACGCCGAGTGGGTTTTCACCATAGGGGATGCGTTCTTAATAATATACCTCAGTGTGTCTACGTACAGATAGAGAATGATAATTACACATATCGCTCCCAGTGTGAAAATCGTCACCCCAGCTAAGTTGATCGCTGTGGAAATTGTAAATATATATAAATATTAGCAGCTTGTAAAGTTAATTTACAAGAAAAATTCATATCACCGATATGAATAACTAATATTATAAACATTTATAATAAGTAGTTTGAAGTATAGCCACAATATGGAGGAGATAATGTATTCTAATAGTATTGTAATATTTAAAAAAAACAACGTAATTGAAGGTGTGGTAGACCGTAAGTTATGAAGTAAAATATGTTAATGTGACTGAAATAATAGTAGCTGGTGTGAGGAACGTCTTTAGTAGTAATTGGGGATTTGCTAGTTGTTTTGAGGTAGCCAGTAGCCTTCACGAATTGTTAGAAAAGGTCAAACGAGAAAAATCACAACTATTTTGATATACTACATAACTATTTTTATAAACTCTGTCAGAAGATGAGTCGTGTAGTAATTACTGATTTTTCGTTTTATATTATTAGATATTTTTTTCGTTACATGCGTATTTGAGTCATTAAAATAAAAAAAAACAAATCAGACAACACTAAATTGGCGGCGTCAATTGTCGTACGATTTTGTTTATTTGCCTAATTAGAAGATTTAGTTGGCTGTTTTTTTATTGTTGTAAACATGTACTCGACGATCATTAGCCAAATGATAGTGAAATTTAAATATAATAATTTTTTAAAGAATAAAACGCAATTAAAGGAAGCGAGTTATGAGATTTATTTTATTATATTTACCTATGGTGTTATGACAGAAATTATTAAACCATAATACTTACTAGTAAAATTATTGTTACAACTGACGAAGGATAATTTATTATTTAAGCCCTAGGTATATATAACAACGACGAAAAAAATAAAAGATTCAGTGCGTCTTAAAACTTTTTATTAAAAAGACTAAATCGATAATATATTTTACTGTGACGAAACTCGCAGATTACAAAAAACACCCAAATAGTTTATATAGTTTGCGGCAATAGAGTTAATTGCCTATTAAAAAGAAGGTTGTTTACCTTTTAAACAAGAACAATATATTTGTTTGAACTATAAAAAGCCTTATGATTCATTAGGTGAAAATTTCGTTTTGATTAAGTTTTTAATCTTATGAACAGTTTTTCTTGGTCATCAAGACTAACTATATTGTTGCCGGAAGTAACCAAATGAGGGAGGGGCGGGGAAAGTGATTTTAGAAATTCGTTTTCTGGTTGGAAAAAATTGTGGCATTTCAGAGATCTGCTATGCCAAAATCAGAAGACATAATATTATAGTAATATGGTTCAAGGCGATACAATAGTTATAGGTTGGGTGTTTTCAATTGGACGGGCTCGATGACGCAACCTGGAATCGGCCATGCAGTGAAAGTGGTCAGTCCGCTTGAGGTACTTAGCCGTGCATGTGTACGCGTATGATATAATAGCCGACAACCGTGTGGGTATTCTGGCACGTTAGGTAATTTCCCTTAGCGATCGAGGAGGGCCAAACAATACTTATAGAAAATATTCAGAGAGATGATGCTGCATCTACACGAGTAGACAGAACAAAATATTATGCCGACCTTGAAACAATGTTCAATCCTCCGTGTCCGTACCACCGCAGATCGTGTTCAAAGGTTAAAAAATATACACATTTGACATTGGATAACATGTAGATGGCAACGGGGGGGGGGGAAATGTGGAAAAAATGTGAGAGCATAAGACTGCGCGGCGCATTAGTTATGCAACATTTTTGCGGTCGCCGGAAACAAAAAATTAGTGTAGGTACGCTGGAAAACGAAAAAAAAAAAAAATAACTATACGAACTCGAGGAGGTATGAGGTTGTACATAGGAGTTCAAGTTCAATGAAAAACATCTCGACGTTACTATTATTTGCCAAAACCTTAATCGACTAACACGAACTAGCATGAATAAATTATAGGATAATTTTAAAAACATGAGATATAATATGCAGTTTTTTTTTTAGACCAATTCTATTCATTTCTTTCTTTATGTGTATTGGCGTTGCTTACGTAAAACATTTTAAATAAGGAAAATTAGAGAAAAATATTATTTAAAAATAATTATAGTAATTTTTTCGTTCTTTGCATGCCGAGGCTCATAAATAGCCTTTTCGTTTTGTACATAATTGAAATATGATAAAAGCGAGAAAAAAAATGATAAATGGGTAAATGAGATTAGTGTGGAAAGATTTATTGGTAAAGGTAGACTGAAGAAGTGGCGGTGTATGTTATAAATTATAACACTGAGCTGTATGGACAATAAACAAATAATGGTAGATAAAGATTTGTGGAAAAAGTAAAGTGCACACGAATTGTTCCCAAAGTAACAGGTAGTTAAAATGTTTATATGAACTGTGCACAGAACAGGAGGTAGTTAAGTAATTTAGTAATTTACCTATTGCGTCCAATACTCAAATTAAAATAATATCTGGTGTGCACCGTATACAACGCCCTATTGACTTGAGTCAAGCTTCTTTTGACACAGTATGTTATGACTTATATTAGGCATATTAATATACAGGGTGAAAGTGAATGTATTCATGATAAATAAAATGTTTAAATTTTAATTGAAAATACTGATTTATTATTATTAATATTAGATTGTTGATCTATTTCCTAAAATTGGGTACTCGTTTTTTCAATTGATAAAAATGAGTTTTGATTCAAGAGTACTCGAAAGGATTTGGCTGGCTGGCCTCATTTGTACAGTATAAGGCAAAGTATATAAAGATGGTGATCATATCGTATTACGACATAGAAATACGTATAAGTAAATTATCACTGTTACCACAAGATGTGTATGTTTATTAAGTCAACAATGGTTATAATAGGTCTCTTAAAAAACCCCAGATACTGTTCATGCATCGTAATAACTGTATAAACAATGTTTTTTTTTTTTAATTATAATTTATTAGTCTTGTATTTTCCAAAGGGTTTAAAATGAAATTGGTCGTATATGTTTGATACCAAGCTAAACAATACCAAAACTATTTATTTTTCCTAGACGATAGGTCATAGACCGCTGAACGAATAAAATAAAATATGGTATTAATGATGGAATGGGGATGCAGAAAAATGTGTGAATTGTTTTGCGCTGGAAGGAATGTATAGCAAAATGTTGTACCCGTAAAGTATTCGTCTACAGACGGTATGCCGGTGGACGGGTGGCACAACGGAACCAACAAGTTTTTTACGGCATAGTCGGTGGCTTCTGTGGCGGCGGCGCCCGATCTGTTAGCCACCGCAGTGGTGACTGTTGTGGTCGAAGCGGTAGCCATAGAATTGGTCAACGTGGCTAAAGCTGGGTGGTCGGTTGAGAAGAACTCGAGGGACAATAAGCGTCCAGGCGGCGAGCCTGTGAAGTCAGCGTCCACCTGCTGTTGAATCCCTGTGGTCAGATCCGCCGTCGAATAGTCTTCCGATTCGGACACGTTATATACGACTGGCGGATTTGCGATCGACATGATGACTCTAGAAAAGACATTTTGGTATTAATTGTTGAACATTTTGGTCGTAACTACAAAAAGCTTTTGGGTTAAAATATTTGTTTAATAAGTAAACACTAAACGGCTTACCTATATAACCCAAAAAATCATACACATTCGTTAATTAAACATTAGAGCTTGATGTTCTACAGAAAAGAAATCTAACGTTACCCAACCATATATTTCAATTTTGACTTCTTTATAAACCGGTTACTATACAAGAGTATTTCTAGGTACACAACAATATACTTAAATGGTTTTCAGTTGTAACTAGTAACTATATTTAAAAAGTATCTGGGACATATTGTATATACGATTATAAGCTACTTGAGTTAATGATTATTTGTCATTGTTTTATCTTATTCGGTAAATAACATGGGTGATGGTTAGTATGAGTTTTATATTATGGTAAAATGACAACGACCAATTATTTGAGTAAATCAATAACGGAATACTATCTAGCTTTATATTATTCACATTAGTTATAATGGGTAAATAACGCGTTACGGGACTTCGTTTCTATTATTACAGTAATGAAGTATCACTGCGAAACTTTTCATTTAATATATTGACTCAAATAGGAGGTATTCTGAATTTATTTAACTTTTTTGAACTGATACAAACACTCCAATTTTTTAAATATAAATTATAAACTATTTGAGTTTTAACAATGCCGTTTATACATGTTGAACTAGTATTGAATAATTTTTAAACAAATTTAGTTAAAATATCATCAAGTACTTCAAACATTTACAACTTTAACCTTTATACAATTGCATAACAATATATTATGTAAAATGTACAAATCTTCTTACATTTTTAAAAATGTAATTGTGCAACTAGCGGCCATTGGTCTCAAGACTCAGCATAAACTCTAAAATTGTATAAAATGTCATAATGAAAGATATAGGTACAAAATCAATTTTCTTGTAATGCAAAATATTTATTTTGCAAATAAAAACTGCTAATTTACAATAAAATTATAAAAAATTCAAACTTCTCTTATTTTGTCGACACTATGTATGTATACCAATTACAACATCATTTTTTCGAATAATACTAATCACTTAGTAGGATTAAACTACTATTTTAAAAACCTAGGCTTATTCGTATGAATTCAAAAAAGTAAAAAACAAATAATTAAATCATTCCACCCAACTGAAATCAATAGATTTTAATAACTTAAGTTTCCAAATTTACTTTAACATTAAGCAATGTCTAAAATTAAGTCATTAAACACCTCATTATGCGTCTAGTTAAAAGTTTAAAAAATGTATTATGATTTTATACAAATATATAAGACATAATATATTGTATGTATACATTTTTTCAAAAACTGACTAATTAAACTTAAATTAAGTCCGACAAAAAATGCGTTATTCACAATGTATGAAATATGACCTCCTTGTTTTTTTTATAATTTTCTCAAATTGTCAGTAAGTTACACTTAGTTGAAGAAAATAATAGCCATATTATCATAAATCAGTCTCGAGAATAGTTACGAGATAAAAATGGGGGTATAAAATCAAAGGTTCTATTATTAATAGTTGCTAAAAAAAAAATTAACTAAATATAAAATACAGTCCGGACTATATACTTTATAGGGAAATCCCTAATATTTAAAAACAACTATTATATTATGTTTACTATTATATTTTATTATATTGGCAATGAATGTGTTAAACTTTCATGGTATTAACACTTTTCACTAATGCTTAATTAATCGTCTTAATTTAAATATTCTATTTAGTACCTATGTAACTGATTTCTGAAATAATTATATATTTATTAAAATTTGTAAATAGGAATTTTATTTATAATTAGTCTAATGGAGTTTTTGCGTAGAAACTGATATCATAGAAGTTCTAAGTTCTAGAATAACAAAGCAATTGCATTTTATACATTACATTTTAACAAATTAATAAAAAAAAAGAAGTTGTGCTAAAATTTTTTTGTTTATAAATAATAAAAATAAATATTTTCCATAATTTATTTTAAGTAAAATAATTCTTAAGTTGAATTTCGGTTTTCTCGTCGTTGTGAGTTGTCTAGTCGCTCTAATTCTATTTAAAAACTCTTCTTAAAGTTAATGGTAATATATTGAATTAGATAACCTGAATCCGGATTCAAGAGGTTATGTAATCATAAATAATTGTTTTATTTAGGTATAGTGCTTTATCGAGTAAAATTTTTAACTTGAGTGAGTTATGAATAAAAACATTACGAGATCGAGTTGTACCAGGACCTATTTTACTTTTAGGAGACCCCATACGCCCATAACGTACGCAAAAATCCTTTTGTCTTAATCCGAGGATATTGATCTCAGAAATACAGGATTATAGATAGCAATTGTTCTGAGGGTAGTCTACATTTTAGACCAAAAAATTAATAAATCAATTCTAGATTCTATTGATAAGTCTAGTACCAACTGGCGGCAAGTGCGGTGACCAAACGACAACACCGTATTTTAACACAACCTGTTCAAGTTCTTAAAAATAATCGACAACACTCGAGGGTCTACACTAAAAGACGACGGGCATATTAGGCAACCAGTAACTAGAAGAATTCCGTAGAATAAAACATAATATGAAATATCCTTAAATAATGTTACCAACTTTATCCTTATCCCTATGTTTATCCTGTATCATATTTTCGGATTTCCCCTTATTATTGCATTCTCCAACGAATTAGTTATCGTTACAGTTTTTCTATATTCGCGTGCACCTAGTTTCTTTATTTAGTTTTGGTAATATTTAGAACTTTAATATTTTTTTACTTAAATTATATTTTATTATAACATGAAATTGAGGGAATGGTGTAATTTTCGATTAGAAACAATATTATTTATGGTTATGATTTTATTTTGGTAGAATTCGATTAAGATGACACCTGTTCGTAGGCACGACAAATATATTCTGTCTGCAAGACCATAGGTCTAAGTTTAAAATTATTTATATAACTTTTAAAAAGTACGGTATTACGACACCGATTATTTTTACTGGAACGTAATAAATATTAGGTTAGAATAATATGAATGCTCTACAACATTAAAAGTAGGTATTTAACTATTGTGATAGTTGTTAAACATTAAACTGTAATTTAAAATTTTATCTGCAAGACCAACTTTAAATTATGACTTCTGCCCTAACAGTACTTGGAACATGAAAGTATACACTGTCTACGGACTACCCTGGGCAGTTTACAATAAATCTAATTACTTTGTGGGCTGTTGGGCTTCAATTGTCTTATGTTTTTTAGGGTAGGTTTTTTTATTAAAACTACTAATAGAATTTTCATTATTTTTATAATAAATGTTTTTCACGCAATTTTTTCGCGGAAGTAATGTAAAATATTGTTTCACACTTGAATGTAATTGCCTTACAGTTAAAAAAAAGTATGTTGAACGTTGATAGAATAGGGCTGTATGTTATTATATGTACCCTTGAGTTTTTTTTAGTTTTCGCATAGAATCACACAAACACGAAGGGTAAAACGATTTTCTACAGTATAATTTTCAAAAAAAAAAAAAAAGTAAGGGGAATTCTACTTGTTTTAGTGTAGACCGATTATCTCTTTTTTTTCTATAGGTACCTTGGTGTAAAAATTAAAGCCTTTTCTTGTATCCGCCGAGGTATTTCGAAATCGCACAACCACCGTGACAATAATTTGTGGTGAAATAATGTGTGTCGAATTACTTCCACCACGGATATCATATCCTTTTTCTAGTACATGAAGATATTTATTTATACATATTATACACACAATACACACAATACAATTTACTAACTAGGATTGGTTTCTAATCGTACCGGGTAATTTTAAATTGACCTTCCAAATGTACTGCAGACAAGAACAATAAAAAAAAGAACCTCGACTTCTTATGGCGTCCAATCGTATGTATTAAGTATATTATCTGATGGGTCAAACCATACAGAAAAAATACCTAGCAGAAAGTAAATTATTCAAACACCAACCGGTCACGTAAATAGTTAAATAGCTTAAAAATAATTTGTTTTTTGTTTTACCTAGTTTCTTAGGTGAAATCTGTAAAAATAAATACCCCGCAACGAAATTCCATTTACTTATAATAACTGAAAAATCATAATTCATAGTTATAAAAAAAATTGTTTTTTTATTGAAATAGAATCTTTATTATTTCAATTTTGATAATGCGTCGTTTGATCAAACATAAACAATTCTATATATAGGAGCCAGGAGCAGATACAGGGGGCTATGAGGGCAAAAGCTTTCCCACCCCTATGTATTGTCATTGTATGCACTAAAAGTGTATTTTTATGCTTATTTTTTTTTTTACTTCGTTAACTTTAACTTTATGACTACTGCTTGTTTGTGCCTATTTGAAGTGCAATTTTTTCCTCGTCTTTTTATTTACTCCTATATCCGCCCCTGATGGGGTTTTTCTCACGAGAAGAGTGAAAATCACCCAGGTCAATGTGATAGGTACTGTATTTTGTAAATCTTTTTACTTAATTAAACTTATTGGTGATATTTAATTGTAGAATTAGAAAGTTTACGCTTACCTCGGTTAAAATAGGTTTTGTCTTCGTCGATGTCGATTACTTTACTCGTTGCCAAATGCCAAAAATCACGGCACTATTGTATCGAGCATGGGTAATATTATTATAATTCTATTAAGATAAAACGTATCGCTTGAGAATTTGATCATTATATACGTTCAGAAAGTTAAAAAAAGGAACTTTATAATCGCAAACTTTCCATTAAATTCACCGCCGTCGTTGATGCTAATTTAAATTATTCATCAGTTTTGCACTTGAAAAAAAAAATGGCAATTCTATTTAACAGGCTTTTGCCGCGAAATACAACGTCGGCCGACGGGTTAGCGGCGCTCCGAACGATGCTCGCGCGTCAAGTATTCGCCTACAATTGAGTTTAAACTCCGGTTTAAACCATTACTTATAACATTATCGCGGTTCTGTGACCGGTGAGTGTGTATTTTAGTAAGTATAGAAAGCAAGACCGCCACGACTGGTCATCGGGGACGGTGGCGATTGCTTCCGTCACTGGTGCATGCCGCCACCGATGAGCGGTGGGGTATCTACCGATGAAATAATCGTTGCCGCCACCGCTGCCTATTTACTATTTTTCACATTACACCTAAAATATAATATTTGACAATTGAAAAGTTACATTTACACTGCATGACAAAAAAATAAAGGCAGGGTGTTTTGTACAAATATCTCTATAAATACCTAACTTATTTAACCTATTAACTTTATTAAATATTTAATCTACAGGGTTTATCTTATCTTATACATTAAGATCTTAATAACATTATTGAATTACAATGAATGCATAATTAGTTAATAAAAAATTAAATAATATATTTTTTGCGACATAATTTTAAAGACATTCACTTTTTTTGTTAATTTGATGATTTTTCGCTAAAATGTTGTAAAAACACATATAACACATTTAAGTGCAATTTAAAATACTAGAAAAATATAATATTATAATTTGGTTGTTAAAAATTTACTATGGGTCGAGGAAAACCACTAACAGATGAAGAAAGGGGTAAAAACTATACTAAAAATTGTTACTCAATTAGGTTAATTATTAGAATTATTATATTTGCCTTTAATTGTTTTGTCACGGTAATTGCTCATAAATTTCAAAAAAATTAAATGTATTGAATAATAATTTGTTGTATTAAATTGAAAGTTGTTATAAAAATTATAATTAGATATGGTGTATTTTGCACTAATAACCTTAAAATATACATAAATACTCGGCCTTTATCATTTTGTCGTGCAGTGTATATTATTAACTATTTCGGTACATCTAAAACCCATAGGCAACAATTGACAATTGACTTACACTTAATTATGGTCATTACAACTATAGATAATAGGGTGCATCTATTAAATGATTTGCGTTTTTAAAAGCAATGGCAAAAACAGGAAAATGAGTCACGAAGAAAGAAAAGAGGAAAGTAAAACGGGTAAGAGGGATTAATGTGGAGGGATTTAGTCTTTATAGGTAAAGGTAGCTCATAGCTGCTAGATAGGAATAAAAACTTAATGAATGCGATATATGGATGTTTTAAATAAAGAAACGAAGATGTGTGGAATGGGTAAAGAAATGATGACCGGCTAATGAACATTTTTGAATGGAGGGAATTTGTCTGGCTGAATTTGTTTAGGATAAGACAAAGAAGAAGAGCGATTGGTAAAAGAATATCTCAAATTATAAGCTGTTAATGGAAAATTGCACATAAATAATGCATGTTAGAAACTAGGATTATGTATACTGAGTGGTGGGTAATTTAGTAGGTTATAACTTATAACATGAAAATAGTCTCTTTTTGTTTAATGTTTCATTTGGATTATTGAAAGTGATATTTTAAAATGGCATTTATTAGATAAATAATCGGAATTGACCAGAGAAATTATTATTAGGCAGAGAAAGTGAGACGTGACTCGCGAGACAGGCGAGTGCTAAAAGCATAATAATTTGCCTCACACAAAATATACATAAAATAATATTTTGGTTGATGCTATGTCTTTTTTGACGTTGTCGAGTATTTTCGGTTCGATTGCTATGGTTATCGTTTCATTATTTAATGACTAGGTATCACAAAGTCACGACAAAAAGTTAACGAGCATTTATTGATTTACTGACATGGGAAGCTTATTAAGAAGGCACCATATTAATACACATTTGATACTGAATGGCAAATAATTTATTAAAACAAATATAGAAATATATGTTGTATACAAAAAAATATGATTAATTCTAAAATATTATAAGGTCGTTTCTATTAACTCTAACATAATAAATGATTTAGTATGTATAATGTATAGTGCAAGCCATTGATACTGATTGACGAACAATATTTGTTATGAGTAGTTTAATTGGTCAAATGAAAATAAAACAAATAACTTGAGTAAAGTTTCCTACTAGGAACTCGTTGGTATTAATTGAAACTGAATCAAAATTACTACGTTGAACGCTATTCCGAGTATGAACTGAAATGACAAATATCGTGACATTGTTAATTTATGTATAATACAATTATATATATTATTTATATAATAATACAATAACTAAAAAAACTTAACAGTTAACTTACTTTTCCGTAAAGATTTCTATTAATCTCACAGAAACCACCAAAATTCATAGATGTCCGACTAAGTTGTATAATTTCTATGAAGTCTTGAACCTTAAACATGTTTGATGGATACAGTTATAAAAACAACTTATGTTATAATTATTATATTCTTAGACGCAGTGTAGAAAAAGCTTGTGTATGTGCTTTCATCCATAGTTTTGAAATTATAACCCACAAAATTATGTTTTTTTGTAGGCAATGGAATTATCTATTATGTCCAATGCATAAGTACCTCGCATAAGAAATTTCGCCCTGAATAATATATTTGAATCTTCGTAAATCTTAGGGTTTAAGATAGTTTATTTAGACTATGTTTTGGATCCGAGTGTAGTACACTAATTAAATTTAATAGATAAAAATGACAGACAACAATGAACAATTAGTATTTTTTTTTTTATTAATACTGTTTTTGATATAACGAATGTCAATAGGTCGATATTATCATCGAATGAAATCGGACCAACTAATTACTAAAAAGGTTATTAATAAACAAAGTAAGAAAACAAACATTTTTTTCGGGTTATCCCGGGTTCGGGGTCGAGGAAGTTGACTTTTTTGACTTTTGACACATCAAATACCAATCACGTACGATTTGGATCTTTAGTGCTGCTATTTGAGTAAATAGGTTCAGGGTTAAAAAATGTATCGTATTTACACACATTGTTTTAAATCCATTACCTTCTCAGCTCCGCGTCGAAGCTAACATTCATAACGAGTATATTATCAATACTTCTGCTACACTTTAAGTTAAATATCTAAAAAAATAGCATTCCTTTCCTTTAAAATAGAAAAAATAAATAACTTAACTGATCATTTTTTGATAAATAATTGAATTCTTTAGTGAGAATAAAATTCAGTAATTAATTTTTGATATAATAATGGGTTATTAAAAAAATTGGACTTCATAAGCCTAATACTTAAATATGTACAGACACGAAAAATAGAGGTTTGATGCCCTGAAATGTCTTTCAACATTTACTAGTAAAGTCAATCATTATTCATTCTATCAATTATGAAAAATTGTTGGTTGCCACCGTTGTTGATATTCTTGGCACACAATATAATTCGATCTACATTCCTATTTTTTCACCTTATGTCCTCGTAGATTCATTTTGCTTTCTGTAATTTAAGTATACACAATCTTAAGTTTTTTCACAAAACCCTCTTATTACCGCTTCTTTTGGTTCTTCTTTCAAATGCTTCCCTCAAATATGTCTTAGCCATATTATTTTCAATATCTATAAACTATATGAGTTTTATAGACGCGGTCATCAATTTTTCAGATAAAAAAAAAAAGGCTACAGGTCTATAGGAATCATCATAACTGAAATTGATAAATTTACATTCAAAAAAACGATTTGATGCATTCTGTAGATTGAGATATACTAATGAATAAAAACACACACATAGCAATTAGCACTTACTTCGGTCAAATGTAGTTTTCCTGTTATTTTTGGTTCTTTCTTTATAAAAAAAAGTTTGACTACAAATTGTATAATATGTTATAGCCCTACTAGATCTACATTCACACTAATTTTTATATCTTAAGTTTTAAAACTTAGTTTGAAAGAGAGAGAAAAAAGTCCAGCCCTTCTGGGGGAAGGGTTTTTTTGATATTTGTTCGGTTTGTAACGTATATCGATAGTACTATTTCTAAAAAATATTCCATCCAGTTATGGAAATAACTCTACGACTTATAAAAAAATTATTTCTAGCGCGTTATAGTTTTAAATTGAAACATGTAATTTTTTTGGGTGTTTTTCTAAATTTTGATGGGCAAAGGGTAAACTTTGTCCCAGATATATAGACTTGTTACATTTAAGAATCGATTCAGTAGTTTGAAAAATTTCGTGAGTCCAGAAACAAAAATAATCAAAATTATTTTTAGTTCAATATATTATAACTACTATAATTGTATAGTTTACCTCATGCTTCATCGATTCATTTAGGCCGCTTACATTGATGTTCAATATTTTCCATTGTAAATCTGATCCCATCTAAATAACAGTTGAAATGGGATATTATGTTGTCAAGAAAAAACTGTTATGTATATTTTTTTTAATATCCGGTAAATTATCGGTTATTGGATAGCTTATAAAAAAATTGTCAATATATTAATAATTTTTTATAATTATATAACTATTTAAATAAGGTTAGGAATAGAAACTCAACTGATAGTTAAAGACAATCGAATTTTACAGACGGGTATTATTATTATAACTATTTACGCCATATCTTTTTGATTTTTAATTATTAATTTTGGGGCTAACTTTTAAACCGTCCTACTTATTTAAAATAAAAAAGTTTTACTATTTTGTAAAAAATTGAAAAATAGTATCATAATATTAGTCTTTTTAGTGTGTCCTCATCATTCATTAGTCGCCAATGCTGTACTAATAAATGTGTGTAATAGTTTTAAATTGATGTTAGTGTTAAATTATTTTATAGTTAGTTCTAAATTTCGTATGTTTAATGTTTCGTTAGATTTGTGAAAACTTGCTTTTATCGAAATCTTTACTAAATACTATTTATTAATATGTGTGGCCTGTTTTTTTAAAAGGGCCTACTCTGTTACCCTTTAATAGTATTAATTTACCCTTTCCATTCTTTTTTGAAGTTAATATATTTTTGGAGTTTGTATTGGTATATAATAAAAGGTGGAACAATAGAAAGAGCGATTATCCAATGTATTTAAATGGCCAAATCGCACGTTTCTTTGCACTACCCTTTACTTATCAATCGATCAATGCGCAGTATTACGGTAACGGTTAATATTTCACCTCTTTGAGTATCATATATGCTCCTTCGCAGAACATTAGCACGATGGCATTAGTAAACAAAATGGGATATAACATATTTGAAGACTTGTCGACGGCTACTAAGAAACACACTAAAAACATAAACACCGACATGGCACAAGCAATATACATGATCAAGGCTGTAGAGCAATATATACTGCTATGTGCATTTCCAAAATCTTTGATTAATTGCGACAGATGACACCATAGCTCGACGTGGTCTCTAAATGTTATCGTTGAACTTTTAGACTTGACCAATACTTTCTGAAACCAATAATATTGTAGATTTAAACATTTCAATTCCTTTTTTCACAATGTTTATATAGTACACCCTTACCAGAATTCGTTGATTAATATCTCGTGCGGTCACTTGGAACATGTAAGAGTTTGCGTGGTAATATCCAGTAATCAGACTAATAGCGACATATATATAAATATAATTAAGTGCACTGATTGGTTTGCATTTCCAATGCATGCGCTTGCATACTAAAAATATATTCAAGGAAATTAACATAATCGGTATCGTTATCAATAATCGTATTCTGGTGGTTGCATTCTGAAACGTCAATTCTTTTCCGGTACACGATTCGTATTTACCCTAAAATATAATTTAAACATTTGTTATGTTATCTCATCTAAATCTAAGAGAAAATAGCTAGTTATTTTACATAATATTTTGCCAAAACAAATTCAAATTTCGGTGGATTTGCATTTGGCTTGAGGCATACTCAAAAGTAAAAAATCATTATAATTTGTTTAATTTAGTTCTCTACTTTATACTTGCCACTGACTGCTGACCACATGATTTAAATAATTTTGACGAGATATAATAGCATATTTACAAAATATATAATTAATATTCCCAATTTTAAATACCAAATTAGGCAATGACAATTACGTTATTTTAATTTTATTATTTTTACCATATTTTATACAAATGAGGTCAGCCAAATAAGTCCTCTCTCTAAATCTCTACCCGTCACCATTTCTTTATTCACTTCACACATACCTCCTCATCTTCATTTATGATAATCATTTCTTTTACAACTAATTTTTACCTTTAAATCTAATAATGTAAATGTTACACTCTCTCCTCATTCGACTTGCTCAAACTATCTCAAACAATTCTCTTTTAATTTTTCTCCTAATGAAGCGACTCTCAATCGACCTCTTATAATATACTTATTTCTAATTTTGTAGCTAATGCTTTAGCCTCTCCACGATGGATTAAGTTCAGATATTTATGGTTTCTTTAAATTTCACTTCGTCAATACTAAATAGTCATTTCCATACATCGCTGCTGAATTAACTCGCCCTAAAGCGACGGAAAGACGACCCGTCCCAGAAGCGAATTTGTCAAAAAACTACCTCATGATGGCGGCAGCGTTAGACTTACAAGGGGTGTATACTAAGGCCATTGGGTACCGGCCAATTTTTCCGTCAAAAACTACCCAATTTGTTTCAATCAGTCCGATTGTTGTATTGATGCGATAAGACTTCTGAAAATATATACGAACTCAGCATGAAGTCTACTTAAGATCGGTCAGGTTATAATTTTTTATTTTGCCCTTAAAATTCCACAAGTTTGATTTAAATTTTTTGAAAAATGATAAATCTTGTAGTAGTGTTTAAAAAATACTATTAAATGAAACTGGAAAAGTGGCCTGACCGATCTCAAGTAGACTTCACGCTGAACTCAAATTGATTTTCAAAAGTCTTATCGCATCAATACAACGATCAGACTGATTGAAGGAATATTAATTATGCTGCAAAACTATTAAGTTTTGCAGCATAAAATTGTACGAATCTTGAACAGTAGCCATTTTAACCGACTTGTGCGTGTGCGTACGAGAGTCATTTCAACAATGACGGGTGTGAGGACGGGAGGGTAAGATAACAACACTCACACTAATGTTCATTTACTACGCACACAACGACAACGCGTAACAGAAAAAAAAACAGAAATTGCCTACCTACAACTCCTTAAGTGAGGCCGGTACCCAATCGCCTTAAGAGGACGCTACCCACCCGTAATTTATCCGCAAATAATGGCTTTGCGGGGGACAAGAATGTGAAGGCGGTATTTACAGTAGCCATATACAATTTTTACAATGGATAGAGAAGAACTTTATTTACGGGGTAGCGATTTTAGTTTTTTGATAACTCAATCACAATTAAAATTATTTCTTCGTGAAGATTCTATTTTTTTTTTCAATTTTCATTTGCTTATAAAAAAATATTAAGTATAGATATCAAACAAATAAAATCGCTACCCCGTAGATAAAGTTCTTCTCTATACATTGTGAACATTTGGTAAATCTACTGTTAATACTGCCCTCACATTCTTGTCCCGCGCAAAGCAGTTTTGATGGGGAAAAAATTGTAATTTATCCTATAGAAGTGACTGTGATAGTCTGACGAAAAAAATGGCAATCAATAAAGTATCCTCATTACTGTATTAATAAGTATATAATATAGTTCAAACTCTAATTTAAGATTTTTCGAAAAATTGCCTATACTTTACTCCTTAGAAATGGCCTGGGTAGCGTCCTCTTAAGCTAGAAGACGATTAATAAAAAAACATTAATTCGTATTCTGTTACAAACATTATTGATAGAATATTAGAATATGTAATTTTCTAAGTATATTGATAATAACAACAGTACTAATAATTTGTATTATTATTATTAAGTTAGGTTTACTACTGATAAATTTATTAAGTCACTAGTACCTGAAACGAATCCCACTGGTGCCAATAATTTATAATGCCATACATGTCGATCCAAAACAACGGTATGATGAATATGCACAGTTTCAGAGGTAAGCCCATGAATTTGTCTAAGAAGTCACGAAGTGTTATGTCTTCATTTTTTGTCATTAATATTAGAACATTTTCTAAAAAATTCTTTATTATTGTAAACCCAAAATAGAAATACACAATGCAGGTGTACATTGAAACCAACGATAACAGCTGAAATCGCATGGCTAAAACATTTATAACAATATATTCTCTAATGAATTATTTGTTAATGAAAATCTTACTTTTTCCTTTCTTAGTATACGGTAACAAAGCGAACGTTCTCATTATAAACATGTAATGTCTCATTTGGTTTAAATATGCAGATCGATTGCGACCTATCTTGATGTTTACCACGTTGAATTTATTTACGAAGTCTAGTGGAACTATAAAGTTGTCTGAAATCATGATTTTAACGATAATAACTCAACTTGTGTTTATTTTGTGAGCTTAATAAAATGTGCAACTTTGTTTTAAGACAATAGAAAATCGAGATCATGTTGATTGGATTTTTTATAAATTTAATATTAATAGCTGTTCTGAAATAATCTAATAATCTATTACTGAATACGTAGAAGCACGCGATAATAGGTTTTATTATTTCGATTTAGTATTCTGTTTAATTGCTAATAAGAGTAATGTATATTAATTGAATTGATAATTATTATTTTTTTTTTTTTTTGTGTCGAATCCAACAAAAAAGTATTGGTCAAAGGTATTAAGGTAAGGCTAAGGTTAAGGTAAGGGATCATTAAAAAAAAAAATACGGAATTATAAATTTAGATATAAATCGATTCAACAATAGTTTAAAACCCATTTTGTAATAAAAAATTAGTACCTATCAGATTTTACTATCGCCCGTAAACCAAATTTAAAATTATTAAAATTAATGCTACAAAAAATATGTAATTATCATGAAGTAGGCAATGTAAGCTAATAACCATTGTTGTTGACGGACGTTTAAAATCAATAAAAAATAACAAAACAAAGGACTACTAAATGACTCTTGGATATTGTTTTATTAATAATTTAACTTAAAATAAATAATTTTGGATTTTGGACTAACGTTTTGTTTTATATTGTTTATTGTTTTACCAATCTGGCGATTCATAGTACACTTGCAAGTGTGTAATATTCTCGATTATAATAGTACCCATACCGTATGAAGCACAACAATATACTTGTAGGTATGATTAAAAATGTTGATTTAAAATTCACAGCTTTCTTTAATTTCGTTAGGTTTGAGCCTAAATTTTACCTATTCATTGTGTTTCAATTTACGAGGAACAAGCTGTTGGTTTTGACTAACGAGAACGAGACGTGTACCTATTACCTATTGCATTGGTTATGATATTAAAATACAAATAAATGTATAATATTATATAAATAATATGTATATTATGTAATTATTTCTTAGATCGTATTAGAATGTTGTCAAGTGGACTTTGGTCTTTGTAGCATCTGCTCTGTTGTTGACTGTTGCTTATTTAATAAAATATACCTATTATTTATATTTTTGCCTGTTATCAACTAATATAATAACAAGATAAGATGGTAAGATACCCGTTATCGAATATCGACCGCCAATAAAAATTACATCCAAAATATTTTGTATCGTTCTAGAGGTTCTACTTAAATGTCTATGTTAAGAAGTTTTTGTATGTATTCTACTTAAAATACATAGAAGTCACCATGATCGAAATAAAAAAATCTGACTTGGTCGTTACAACATCATTAACGTTATTAGTGTATTTTAATAACATTATAATAATCGATAATTCAATATTACGACCAAACGTATAGATTAAGTTTTCTTGTTAAAAGATTTTTTCTTGTGTATCGATATTAACTGTTCGCGAACTACTATTTGCCACATCATTTTGTTTAAGACAAAATTGTTTATTGTTTATGAGAATGAAAGTCCCAGTAGGAGTTTTCATTTGTTTGCTAGTTACATTAAAGTATACCTCCCAAGCGGACATTAACATTGGTAAGTTAATTTTCAAATAATCTTAAAAAAATAGTCTATGTTCAAAAAAGTAATAGAAATAACATTTGGAGATAAAATACCATTCTAGAATTTTTTTGTAATGTATACTTAAATTTTAATATTTTAAACACACTACAAACAAAGTGTTATTTTTACTTAGGGTTAAAAATCGAATTCAACCTATTGGTTTAATTGTTTTTCAGCAATAATAGGTGGTGGTATCGGAGGCACATCATGTGCTTATTTTCTAAAACAAATTTTCAATGATAATGTTAGCATTGACTTATATGAAGGTGATACAATTGGTGGAAGGCTTGCTACAGTGGCTTTAAAGGACGGTAATGAATACGAAGCTGGAGGTTCTATTATTCATGAGCGTAACCGATATATGTCAAGTTTCGTAGATATAAATGGTAATTATCCTGTTATTTTATGCTTGGTTAAATTATTATTCATTCAGTAATTGATTTAGTAAAAAAATAGAAATTAGAAACAAACATTATTATACAATAAATTAAATAATAATTAGTCCTTCATTTCTTTTTAAGGTCTTGAAAAAAATAATAATGCAGTATCAGAACGAGTTGGTTTGTATACTAACGATGGCTTTGAATTCATTGAGAGCAGTAATCATATGGTTAATATAATGAAAACTCTTTGGCGATATGGTTATGGCATAAAAGAAATGAAAAATTTTATTGATGATTTGCTTAATAAATTTGATAGGTATGAATATTAAATAAATAATAATAATGATGCAATGAACATTGAACCTGTAATTGTATTTAGAATTTATGAGCATCAAGCTGCTGGTCACAGTTATGATACTGTGAATGAGTTATTAATGGCAATGGATCCAGCTTTTAGTGGTTACTTAAATATATCCATCAAGGATGCTTTTCTTAATCTAGGTTATTCAGAAAAGCTTATTGAAGAAATTGTGAAGGCATCAATAAAAGTAAACTATGGACAAGATGTTAATGTTCACCAATTTGTTGGTAATTATAATAACACCTTGAAAGGTTAAATTATTTAAAAAAATAATATTTTGTTTTGTTTTTTTAATTAGGTGCCGTGTCATTAGCAGGGATGGATGGATCATTGTGGGCAATAAAAGGAGGAAATAAACAAGTTGCTGAAAAACTTCTTAATTTATCAAATGCACGATTAATACAAGAATATGTTGTGCAAGTTACACAAAATAATAATAACAATGAAACCTCTTACATGATATCTACCAACACCGGAAGAAACTTAACTTATGACTATGTAGTCTTTGCTGCCCCACTTGCTGAAAATCAAAAGATTCCAATCATATTTACTGATATATCATCACCCCTGAAAAATGTCGGAAAATACCATCGTACAGTTAGTACGTTTGTTGTTGGTAAACTAAGAAATGAAAAATTTACTCCTCTCTCTGATGGCAGTGATGCAGTACTTGTAATTGCTCTTAACGAAAATGAATTTTTCAATTCTATTGGAAATATTGAAAGCGTTGCTTCATCATCAATTCTGCGTAACTGGAAAGTGTTTTCTCGTGAACCACTTACTTCGTATCAACTGAATGAGTTATTTGAGAGCATAAGTGAAGTTAAATCATTTGATTGGTTAGCTTACCCTCACTATGAAATACCAAGTAAATCGTTAGATTTTCAGCTGTCTGATAGACTTTATCACATAAATGCTATTGAATGGGCTGCAAGTGCTATGGAAATGAGTTGCGTAGGGGCAAAAAATGTTGCATTATTAATAAAGAAGAACATCGACAGTAATTGGAATGAAACAAACAAGTGGATGCGTGTGGAATTGTAAATAATATTAATAAAATCAAATCAATATAGTTATTTTAATTACTTATCAACAAAACTTGAATTACATTTAAATAAGTTATATAGTCATTATGTATGTACATTTTAGAAAAATCTAAAATTAAACAATAAATATTAATAGTAACAAACCATATTTTAATATACAGAACTTATAATCATTGAAAATTGTAGGTGTAAAAATATTAATTATCGCTGCTGAAATGTTCCAAAGCCTAAACCTAAACCACGATGAGTATGTGTTGCCATACGTGCGACTTCATATTGACTTTCCATTGAATTAAACATTTCTTCTTGTTTTTTTATAATGTCTTTGGATTGGCCTTGTTGATTTACTTGACTATCTGCAGCTGAAAAATACAAAATTAAGGTGATTAAATAATATGTATAACAAAATTACACAAAATCGGTATCATAAAAAATAGTAAATGAATAATCTTACATTGAACATCATCTTTAATGCCCATAAGTCTTTTGAATTTGGCTGTGACTTTTCCATCTTGATCACCAAACTTAGTAGATTGCCATATTTTTGCTGTGTTATTAGTATTAGGTATTGCAGGCTTGTGCTCCACAACTTGTTTAACAGATTCTTGATTACTATTTTGTTTGTTGCCCCATAAGAGTTTACGTTTTTGAATCTGTTCAGCATATTTATTAGGATTCACAGCTATTGGATTATAATAAGAAGGTAACTCTATCCCAGTTTGCACTTTAACTTTTTCCACTTGTGCTTCCATAGTTTTTTGAAGTAACAGCTGAGGTGTGACCTGAGTGGTAAACATTGAATTGCTGCCTATAGGAGGAACTTTTAACTCTATGCCCAATTTATCTAAAACTAAAAAAAAATATTTATTAACATCAGAGATTGTATTATTAAAAATATTTCAATACTTTGTCTTTTGCTATTTGCTTTTTTCTCCATGTAGTAATTATGTGAAGATGTATACTTTTCCTTGCTGTTAGAAGGACTACTTTTCTTATAATGATTTGAATCGTTCCTTGGACTCTTTGATTTCCGTCTACTGGTTCTGCAATTCACAATATATGTACGTTATAACTATTCATCAATTAATATGTCATCCATTAATATATTTTGTCACCTTAAACTCCTGCTACGACTGCGAGAACGATGTGAACGTTTTTTACTACGACTATGGCTTTGTGATCGGCGAGAATGTTTCCTTCTGCTGCTACTACGACTTCGTGAGCGACGAGATCGTTTTTTATTTTGACGGTCTTTTGATTTATTTCTATAATAATTATCAAAAACAGAATATAATGTTAATGGTTTTTTGTTTTTGAGTATTAAATAATTTACCTTTTATGTCGACTATAACTTTTAGTTTTATCTTCTTCAGAACTGCTCGTCTTTAAATTACTAGGACTCTTGTGTTTATCTTTGACATATAGTCTTGGAGATCTTGACATGGATGCTGGAGATGATGCTGAACTAGAAGGTGAATTTTGATTTTTAGAAGGAGATTTGTTAAAGCTGTGATTTGACTCCTGCTGAAAATTGAAATCTTAATTAATTGTTATAATTAAGTTTTGTTTGTTTGAATCAATTCATAAAATTAAATATTGTGTGTTGTTTTAATCAGCTGGGCAGCTGTTGAGTTTTATTGATAATATGTATTTAAAATTATTCAATATTATTTTGATCAACATTTGTATACACACATATAATATATACACACATAGGTATATGTATACACATTATACATACACACACATATATGATAAATACAAATATTATAAATTGGTAAAATAGGTATTTAAAATATACAATTACCTAACAGTTAGTGAAAAAGAAACAAAAAAATTATACCTTCTGATATATGCCACAGCTTGCTGAGATTGACGTCTAGTGGGAAAGGGTTTACCTGTTGTTTTTTTGTAATTACTTACCACTGTGAATGTGATAATCAGCCGCAATCAAATTTCTTCTTCAAGCGGCGCAAAGAATCAATGGCAAGAGACTCTCCCACAGTCGATTGACTACTCGTGGACTATTTTATATATAATTTCAGAACAATGTCGTGTTAATATAAGTTTAAACCGGAATTTACTTTTGTTTTTTAAGGTAATTTGGTAAAAAAGTTATTATTTGTTCTTTAGTATCCTAGTTTAATGTGTTTTACCCACCTTCAGTCTTGGATATATGAATTTAACCAGGACCACTTGTGTAATCAAATTGAATGGCTGGTCTCATTAATAAAATCTTCAGGATGAAAACAAAAATATAATGAGAGTTTAGTTGAATGAATTTCATTTTTAATGAAACTATATGCACGTACATATTGTTTTGAATTTAAAGTGATAAATGTGGATACAACAATTATCATTACCAAATTATATCCATAAGAAAAAATCTAGGAAGTAAGTATAGAACAATTGTACAAATATTTATAACTAAAACTATAACAATTTAGTTATGGTCAAGTGATATTCAATAAACTAGATATAAAATATTTAGATAGGTACATTTTGCACACTTAATATATAAAATATAATTGTGATCAATTTGATTATGTTAAAGGGTAATGTAAATAAAATTGTATTATAAACTACCTTATAAGTAACTTAACTAAATAAGCAAAACAAGAATACTCAAAATTAAAATCTGTAATAACTCATACCTCACTCAAGTCCATGGTAATTTGCTCATAGTTTGCATCTGCTTCTAACTTATTGGGATTTCTAACCTTATCCTAAAATCAAATTATTAACAAATTACATTTTTTACAATTATACATTATGTGAATAATATTATAGCTAAAATATAATTGTTGGCACTTTTAAAAATGATAATAATATTTTTGACTATTGAAAGATAACTTTATTTTCTATAAATAATTTTGGGATATGAATATAGGACTAGAATTAAAAATAATCTGTATATACAGCCAAATAAACAAGTCAATAAGTATTTAGAAAATACTGGGTCTGTAAGAGAACCACACTTTGTATATTTTAACTAATTTAATAAAATTTTGATATAAAAACATTGTAACCCTTAAAAAAAGGATCATGATCCTTAAGTTCTACACAGATTTAAGACAAAAAAGGCTGGGTCTGGTGTCATGGTAAAGCCACAGCCCATTGGGAAATCTCCTGGAGTTACAGAATTTGTCACTGTATGGTAGGGAAGGTTTGGTGAATACTGATAACAGACTATTCAGAAATACGATTAATAACTATACCACTCGGTTTTTTTTTCATTAGAAGCATTAAATAAATACTAAAAATTATATTATATTTACTTACAGAAATTTCACGTTTTGGGCTAGAACTGCAATCCTCGTCACTAACGTAGTTACACAAACTTTCCATTTTTTAATTTTTCTTCAAATTGTCGCTAATTGAAAACAAATACTAGGTATGCGGGTTCTTATAGAAGAGTACCCAAATTAAATGCTTCGTACAATTGTTTAGAAGTCAGGTATTCACATAATTCCACTGTAGTACAAAATAAAAATGAATACATTTGTGCATCTATTAAAAAAAAAAACAATGTACCTCTATATGAATTTGGAAGTAAAACTGTAACAATGACGAACGATGAAAAGTAACTTCCGATATTCCAACAAAACTATAAGCCGACTTCCGACTTACTCGTAATATTGTATTTTGTACAAAGTATAAGTAATTTATTACTCCTTCACCCGAATAGTGTAAACTGTAAAAACATCAAGTTACAGGTAAAAGACAAGAGTTAACATTAAGGACTAGCTACTATAAGTTCGTAGTTAATGGTTAACAAAATGGCGTCAGACCATTGAAATTGGAATCGTCAATATTGGTACCACTATCACAGCTGTTTTGAACCATTGCTCTAATATTTCTACGCCATTCAACGACACATGTTGAGTAATCCGGTTAAAAAAATGTTTTCCCGAGATATTGTTGGCTACACTAGATCTTGGTGGTACCACAGATTATTTTCATATAATCTTTGGTAGCCGGGTACCATTTTGTAATTTGATAATATTATGATAAAGTGGGGATATGGCATATGCAATAACCGGGTATATTATATTTTAGCAATTGTAAGCACGTGTACTGATTGACTGAATTCTTGTTTGGGTAGTTACAACTTACAACTTTAATAATATTTTATACATTATAAAATATAAAACAAGACGTAATACTTAAAGGCCAATAATTTTCTTTTAAGAAACATGGGCTATTCATTTTGATAATCTGATTAGATATTACAGATTTTTTAAACTCAAATTTCAGAATTTGGAAGTGTCCTAATAAATTTTGTTCGAAAACATTACAAAATGACTGAAGACGCAAACAAAGAAATCAAGGAAAAAATTCCATACAGCGCCAGAATAAAGTTCTTGAACGAAATTGCCAAACCGTTGGCTTCAAAAACATTGACTAAAAAAATTTACAAATTAGTTAAAAAAGGTAAATTGTTTTGTCTATACCTATTTGTAAAAATGAAAGATATTACAACTACTAAATTTTTTGTTTGTTTATTGATACCATAAATAGTTACTAAGTATTTAATTAAAATTACTATTGGGAAATAAGTCGACGCACATAACATCTTCCAAAATCAACGTTTTAAATTTACGAGGAACCCTTCGTTTTGCGCTTTTTTTCACCATCTTGTAGTATTTTTTATGCTCATTATAAATCTGAATTCAAAAATTGGCAGACTTCTTTAGTTCCAAGTTATAGTTACTTGGTATTGCATAACAATAGACGTCTGTGGTCGCCGCTGCCCGCTACCGCATCATACATTTGTTGGCAACGCGAGTACAGTGTTAGTTATTTTTTTTTATTATTGTTATAAATTTGTAATATCAATATTGTATTGAATAATATAATTTTCTTAAGCATTAAAGCTTTTAAGTTAGTAAATCTTGAACTAATAACTCAGTTTTAAAAAATATGCACTTTTATGTACTAGACCATTTCTAAATAAATTTTAGTATCAATGCAGAGCTGAGAGGCTATTAGTTTTTTTAAAATAAATATATACTCAATTAATTTGTACATTTTTGTGTTTTTTATTTCAGCACATAAAGAAAAAACTTATTTAAGGGTAGGTTTGAAAGAAGTGCAAAGACGTATTCGCAGAGGTGAAACAGGATTAGTTATATTTGCTGGTGATGTTACACCAATTGATATCATGAGTCACATGCCTGGAATTTGTGAAAACAAAGGACTGTTTTATTGCTATGTACCATCTCGTGAGGATTTGGGTTCATCAATGGGTGTCAAGCGGTCAGCGGTAATGGTACTCATTCGCAAACATGAAGACTATGCAGATTTATACGACGAATGTAGCAGTGAGATAAAAGGACTGCCCCTTGACTTTTATTAAAAATTTAATTATTCAACTTGTGTTGTTTAACAATAATGTTATATAATATACAATATATTATAAGTAAAATTTACCATTTAAAAACCAAGTGTATTATAGTTAAAAAAAAAAAATTAATTTCTATTAATATTGTACACTTAATGAAATGTGTAAAAAAGAATAACAAAAGTACAAACGACTACAACACCTGCAACAATTAACGAATCGCGTTTTTTTCTCATATTTATTTTTTGTACAAGTGTATTGAGAGCAGGAAATCTGCTTGACAAATCATGCAACCTTGATTGTAATCGTTTAAAATGATGACGTTGTGATACCAGATGTTCTCTAGTTTCCATCGCTATTGATATTTGATCAGACACTAAGCGATCAGAATTACGAATATGATCGTGCTCTTTGACATACAAATCCATTCGACGATTTTTTGTTCCGGAATTTTTATAACCACTAGAAAAATAAGTTATTAAAAAATATACATTATTTTAATATATTAACAGCTAACATGCATGTACCAGCGACAAACAATTGTTTAGAAGAGCCAAAAAACCAATTTCCCTATTAAAATAATTATCATTTTTAGTAGTTAAACTTAGGGTACGCTTAATAAATTCACAAGGACAGTTAAACAAATATACAATGGTGCATAAACCGGATTGTTGATTAGATTGTCAAAAAAATTTAATAAGGCTAAAAGAAGAATAATTGTTCTTTTTTGAAAAAAAGTGAGATTGTATCCAGAATTGCTAGAATACGTTCAATTTGATGAATTAAATCTTGCATTTTCTTAATCTATTGCTATGGCAGAAACGGCTATTTGCCTGCTAGCTGTCGATATATTATTAACATATCATTCCAATTTTTTTATTTCTGTTTAAATTACTCAATGTCCTGTCGAACGCTGTGTAGTAAATCTTCTCTTTCCCTTCGTGCTCTGACATTTGATTGTATCTTTTGAAATTCTTTTGTATAATCCTGTAATATATCTCTATGTCGTTGTACAGTATGCATATTTTGTGAAACATTAGAATGACCACTGTTGGTATTCCATTCTCCCATTTTATCATTGACAACATTTAACTGTAAAAAATTCATTTTTTGTAAATAGTTTTAGTATAAATGTATCTTATATCTACAAGGACCAGGTAAAAAATTTATTTTAAGTAGCTTCAGCATGTTTACACTTAGAAATAATCCTATGGACCTAAAACAATAATTTAATAAATCAAGCAACACTTAATGTAAACAACTAGGTCCTGCAATGAAGGTTGTAAATAACAATGTTGGAGCTAATAGAAGCTTGACGGAAAATAATAAATTACACACGTAAAACAAACAAAAATAATGTGTTTTCCTACCCTTATTATTGGTCTAACAGTTCAGAAACTAAAAAATTAATGTTCTAGATTTATTACTAAAGAATATTAAATATTTTAGTTTATTTATTAATGAATATTTTTCTACTTTGTAAAAAGTAAATACTTAAATATAAGAAATTATTTTTTCATAGAATTAAAAACTAAAATGTTCAGTAGCAATCTCTAAAACTTGAAGAAAAAAAATACATTTTAAAGAGTACTCGTTCCAAAAATTTAAAAGGTTTTGTGTAATATATATGTATTGTATACCAAAAGTAGTGTGGCTATCTAAGAATTTAAATTCAAGTATTATTGGTCTATCAGCAGATAAAAAAATGTATTTCTTCTTAATACTTTTTTAGTTAAAAATTGGAAAATGCAATTTATTAAATCCATGTGACGTCACTAGACTTTTAGGTTGTATTGAATATATTTACATACGTGCAACTGGCACGCACATTACATGTATATAATGTGTAAATGTAATGTACATACATGCGTGCAAATCTCGGGGACTTACCTTGGTAAGAAGTTCCTCGATTTCAGAAGTGGCAGTGTCAAATCTGTCATCAGACAATAGTAGTTGTGATTCATCATCGCCATACATCATTGGGTTATTGGTACTTATTTTGCTTAAGGAAACCAGCATAGAATCAATTTCTGATTCCAGGCGCCTGGCTTGTTTTCTTAAATCTAAAAATTAAGTATCAGACAAAAAATGGATACTTTAGATATTTAAGAATGGAAAAAATTTGGGGTTCTATTTAATAATTTGTTTCTCAGTATAGTTAACACTTAACTAGTATTAAAATAGATTCACTCCCGAGCGAATTCACTCAACTAGCAAGTGTACATTATCAATAAACTAACAGGTACATTTTGATTCAAGTTAATTAATTTTAGTTGTTTGCAATAGAATGTATTCACATAAATCATGTTTAGCATATTTTTTAAATATTATCCACAAATAGTCATAAAATAATGGATGGAATATAGAATAAGTAGTTAATTAATTTTAGTACCTTCCCAAGTCGCCATAGTAATGTTACGTATTAAATATACGTTTGTTCCCAAATAATCATTTGATTATTATTAAAATAATACAACGATTTTTTGTAACTTTTTTAAATACATAATTCATGTAATATTTTTATAACTGATAAATTGTTCCACTGTCACCTAGTACACCGAGTTCACAATAAAAATATACTAATATGTAATAACTACTATAATCGTTTCAAATATACGTGCATTAAACATTTGAATGCGACAGACGACACTGAAGATAAAATACTTTTCTTCAATTCATAAATTATGAAATTGTTATCACATTGTTATCACCAAGTTCCACAGTCCTTAGATATTGACACATCATTGACACAGTCATATTAATGTTATAATAAATGTTAATATTCTGTCTATGCTTAATCGACATAATTGAACACACTATAATATAAGTAGTTATTAAAGGTAATAATTTCAAAGCACTTATACAGATTCACATTTTTTTTTGTGATTTAATCACTTTCTGGCATATTAATTTTGAGAGACCTTAATGAGGACTATGCAAGACTTGGTTAATTTTTTATAAAATATGTTATTTACAATTTACTAGAAGTTTCTCCAAAACTAAATAATACCGGTTGCATCTCTACCAAAAAGTAAGATGTATTTCCTGTGAAATTCATATTCACCATCAACAGAAATGAATTTCACTGCCACTAATACTAGTAATTAAAAATACAAAAATATTAGTAAAATGTTCAAATATGGTTATGGAACAAAACTTACAACGAATGACTTTCAATTTACTATTAAAAATCATAAGATTAACATATTTTATTTCAAAATCAGCACATGAGAACATTATGTTAGAAGAAAATGGGTTATTTACAGAAATATCAACATAAAATATTGCAAAAATGAAGTACAATTTATTAATAATTCATATAAATACAGTGAACCTTTTTACAATTAAAACCCATTATGTCTTATTTTATAAATTCTTTACAATAACATAACAAGAATTACTTAGGTATAATATATTGGGCCGATATTACTAGGCAAAAATGCCTGTATACATATATTATATACATATGAAAAGTATTAAAGAAAACATGACGGTGTAGAGTGTAAAAATAAATATAATTTTTAGCTTATCACATAAATTGTTCAAAATAAGTAACATTAAATACCCCATTGGATTAAAGAACTCACTACTACAAAAACATACATATAGCATAAATAATAATATAATAATTAAGCTTAAAATTTAATCACATATTTTATTAAATTTTAAAATGTGTCATACGCATACCTAAAGCTATTTCTTATAAAAAACATATTACAAAATAACTATTAGTAATAATTTGATAAGTAAAGATTTACAAAATTAACAAGGTCGCTCCTCAATTTGTTTTTGAAGCTCTTCAATTTTAATTTTACGATGATGTAACATTTTTTTCATAACATAATTGTCATTTTCTAATTTAGCAATTTTTTCCATCATGCTTTTATGTCCAGCAACCTAAAAATAAAAATTGTTTTATAATGTTCATAACGTAATATTTGAGTTTAAACCTACCATGGCACTACTCACAACACTTTGTTCTTCAACAGTCTGAGTGCATTGTTCAGTTTTTCTTACACTTGTAATTTCTTTTAAGCGTCTCATTTCTTTACGCAACATATGATTCTAAAAATTAAATTTTAAATGAATAAACATTATCTTTTATAGTGAAAGCTTCAAATTTATAGTACCTCTTCTCTAGCTCTTTTGTAAACATGTTCTAAATCTTGGTTTTTGTTCTTGAGTTCTTCGGTGTTGGTTTTAAAAAACAACTCAAGTGTTGAAATTTTGGCGTTTTTATCAACAATACATCTGTTTAGTTGTTGTATATCTTCCTTTAGAGATTTTTCCAAATTTTTTGCATTTTCTGTAAAGTATTAAATGATTAATATTTATTCGCAATTATATTATTCTTATTTAAAACATAAATTAGTCATAGTTTACCAGTTAGTTTTTTATGTTCATTAAGCAATTCCAAGTTCTTTGCGTGAACTTCACATAGCTCTGCTTTTAATTGCTTTATTTCTTTGTCGTGTTGAAGAATAACTTGACCTTTCTCTTTTCGTAACTGATAAATGCTTTGCTGGTAATTACACACCTCTTCGTTTAGTTTTTTCACATCATCATTAATGTTTTTATATTGATCGCATTTATTCCTCAAGAAATCTCTTTCCACTGTTAACACTTCATTTGCCTTTCTTAAATCATCCTCCTGTGTTAAGAACTCAAGAAGTTTATCATCCTTACTTTTTAATTCTATCAACATTGTCTCGCACTCATTATCTAAATTCATATTTTGACGTTTCAGATCATCGACTTCTTCTTCTAAGCACTCACATTTAGCTACCAATACTCCAACATCATCAAGAAGGGCTGATAAAGAGTTTGTTGATTTAAACAACTTTCTCAATTTATCAGTAACCACATTTAATTCAATATAATCATCATCTTTGACCTTTGTTTTCATTAGATAGTTTTCCAATTGATCATTTTTCAGTTTAATAGTTTGATGACAGACTTCTAATTGTTTTTCAAGCTCATTAACTTTTGATTTATTAATTTCCAATTCTTTAGTAAGAATAGAACATTGATCTACGGATTTTTCAATTTTATCAGTCAATTCCATTTCAATTTCTATTTTCTTTTTATTTTCTACAACTAGTTTGTTTAAATTCTGCTCAAGTTCTGAAAGTTTATCAGACACAGGTCCATCATTAAACTGTAAATTTTCTAATTGCTGTAGATGTAATTTGTTTTCTTCGTGGAGAACATTGTAGTTTTTAGTTGTTTCTTTAAGTAATTTTTCAGTATTATATAATTTTTGAATTTTGTCATTTAATTCTAGTTGAAGTTCATCAATTTTTTTACAGTTGAAGGCTATTATTTCTTCTCGTTGTAAAGTATTTTTTTCACTCAAAGCTTCATACTCTTTAGATTTTACTATAACTTCTTGAACTAACTTTTGAATACACTCTTCTTTTTCTTCGATAACAGATTTTAAACAAGAACACTCTGACTGAGCATCTGTTAATTGAGTTTTAAGAACAATATGATGATTCTTCTGGTCTTCATACAACTGCAATGATTCGTTATAAATATTTGTGAGATCTTCAAGTTTTTTCTTTAGATCTTGCATAGAGTTCTCAGTGTTTGATTTAAACTGTTCAAATTCATCCGATAGAAGTTGATAATTTTGTTCATTTGTGTTGCTTATTTGGGTTTTTAATTCCTTTAGTTCATTGAAATAGTTAAGAGATTGAAGTTCTGCTTCAGCAACTCGTTCTTTTAATTCTTTAATTTCGACTTCTCTACTAGGATAATTCTGTTTTAGGGATTTCAGCTCTTCAAGTTCTAAACCTAATTTTTCATTATCGCTTTCCACTTGTTCTTGCCACTCTTTAGCTTTTTTAATATCTTCTTGGAGCTGTCTTATTTCATCTTCAAACTGCTGTTTTACTTTTTTGTGATCATTTATCAAATCAGTCACAATTTGTTGTTCTTTTGTCATTATAAGACCAACAAAGGTGTCCAATAAATTAGTCAAATTATGGTGGATAAGAACCCCAGTAATTTTTCCTGGTTCAAGAAGATTAATCTCGTTAACTATATTTTTTTTACCATTTCTTAATTCTAATTCAATATCTAAGCTATGATCTACTTCGTTTTTCGATTCTTGGTTATTTTTTTCAAGCTCATCATACTGTTTATTCCGTTGATCTAATAAGTTATTTAATTTTTCGATTTCCTGACATTTTTCTTTTAAATCATTTACTGTAGACTTCAACTGATCAGCCAATTTATCATTTTCTACTGTTATCTCCTTCAATTTATCTTGCAGTTCAGCAATATTCTTTTCAAATGCAACCTTGGTTTCTTGTAGTTGATCACTTGATTTCAAATTAAGTTGTTCCATCTCAGTATATTGTTTATTTAATTTATTTAACAAAACATTCAAATTTTCAATTTGATGATATTTATCTTTTAAATCATTTTCTGCAGACATAAATTGCTCAGCCAATTTCTTATTTTCTACCATTATATCTTTTATTTTATCTTGTTGTTCAGCAATATTTTTCTCCAATTCAATTTTAGTTTCTTGAAGTGAACTAACCAAATTACTCTTATCTTCTAACACCTTACGCAGCGTTTCAATTTCTAGTTCAATTTCCTCAACTGGAGATCCAGGTTGATTTCCACAACTAAGTTTCCATGCATCTTCCAATGGGAGGATATCATCTAACACCATACATTTTGTTCGGAATTGTTTTTCACTTTGATTTCCTGATATCATTGCAGAATTAAGTTCAGTTAGTTTTAGTTTTATTTCATGTACGTGGTCGACAAGAGGATCTATTAACTGATTTCTAGCCTCCGAATCGTCTTTTATATCGTTTTTATTAATTTTTTCATCAAATTTCAACTTTAAAGTTTCCAAATCGTTTTCTAGACAACTAATTTTCGAATTATTATTTTCAAGTTCTTTGTTAACAACATATAATTCGTTATTAATACTTTCATTAGTAGTTTTGGATTTTATTAATTCTTCTCCAAGAACATTTAACTGATCCACCAAACTTTCTCTAGCAGCAGTCACTTCAACAAGTTGTGCTTTCAAAACTATGATTTGATCTTGAGCTATATTAAAATCAGTGGTAACACGTTGGAGTTCATCTTGAATTTTACTTAAATTTAATGCCAGCTCTGATTTCTCATTCATTAGTGTACATTCAATTTCACTTTTTTTTTCTAATTCCAATTTCATAGAATCAAATTCATCATTCAAAGCAACCAAAACATTATCTTCAAAATCTTCAACCCTAGTTAGGAATGAATCATTTCTTGAACATAAAAATTCAATGCTCCTCTTATACTCATTTAACTCATTACATTTTGCTTTGTATTTATCTTGCAAAATCTTTTCACTTTCTTCTTTTTGAGATAATAATGTTTCTAGAGATAATAATTTGTTTTGTGTTTCTGCAAATTCACGAGACTTGATCATATACTCTTCTTCTAATATATCATATTCATGTTGAATGCTTAGTTCCATTAATTGTTTTTGAGCATCAGCAAGCTCACCAGACTTAAATTGTACTTCTTCTCTCAACTGCAATTCTGTTTTAGTTTTTAATGCTAAAATCAATTCAATATCTCTAGAAAGAGCAGTGAATTCTTCTTGTAATTGTTTGTAATTCACAATTTGAATTTGTAATTTATTGTCAGATTGTAGTTTTATAGCATCACAGTGTTTTGACATATCAATGAGTTTTTTATTGACTTCATTAACTTCAGTCTGAAGTACAGTATTATGTTGTGTAACTTTTTCAAATTCATTTTTCAAGTTTTTAGAATTGTAACACTCTTCTTCAAATTTAAGTTTTTCAATAATAACATTATCCATTTCATTAGATTTAGCAAGAAGTGATAATTTTGTATCTTCTAATGTGGCTAAAATATCGGATTTTTCGGCTAATAAAGATTCTAATTGTTGTTTTAAATGTTGAATTGTAGTTATATTAGTTTGTATTTCATTTTCCATGCTTTCTACTAATGTTTGTACTTCATTTTCTTTAACAAGAGCATCATCTAAACTTGTTGTCTTGGCTAGTAATTGTTGTTGAAGTTCTTGTTTGGTTGTCTTTATGTCTTCTAGTTTAACTTGTAAATCAATTATAGTCTTGTGAAGTAAATCATACTCTTCAGAACAATTTTCTTTTTCAGATTTCCAATTTTCCAGTTCATTTATTAGGCTTGTTTTTTCAGCAAGATCTTTTCTTGCTATAATGAGCTCTTCATTTAATTGTTCCACAATAACAACACTAGATTCTGCAGCAATTTTCATCTCGTTCATTAGATTTTGTACATCATCAGTTTTAGAACGAATAGTATCCAACTCATTAGACTTTGCTGATAACTCTGTCCGTAAATCACTTTCAATTTCTGTTTTAGTTTCTACCTCAAATTTAAGTTCTTCAACAATTTTATCTAGCTGTTCATATTTGTCAAATTCACTACATTTCTGAAGCAGTTCTAAATTAGTGTTTTCCAACTCAAGTATTAACTTGTTTTTTTCAGTTAGTTCTGTTTTAAGATACTCAAGATCGGTGCTTAACTGCTCTACCGTCAGTTTTTTGCAACCATGCTCATTATTTAAATTGTCTATTATAGATTTTATTTCAATTATCTTTGAATTAGAATAGTCAAAGTCCATAGCCATTTCATGTAACATATACTTCGCTTTGTTTTCATTTAATGTATGTGTCTCTAATTCAGTCTTAAGTCCATTAATGACTGTGGTCAACTGTTTAATTTCTTCAGAACATCCATCGTGATTTATTTGTTCGATCTGAAGTTGACTATTTTGATTTTCAGTAAAACTAGATGATATGTTAAGTTTAATTTCTTCTATAATATCTTCAATCATAGTTGTCGAATCATTTACTTGGGTCAGTGAATTTTCAGTTTTATCAGTGTTGTTTTTCAATTTATTTGAATTGGCACTTACATTATTCAGTTTGTTAGTAAAGTTAGATTCATCTGAAAATGTATTAAGTTCTAGTTTTGTACTATTCATATTCACAGACAGTTCTGATTTATTAGAAACCTCAGATATTAGAGATTGTAATTCATTGTTTAATTGTTCATGAGTTACCAAATTCAATTCAATTTTAGTTTTTAATTCTTTAATACAATCTTGCATATCATTGATTTTACTATGAGCGTCTTCTAATTCTATATATTTGGAGGATAATTCAGTTCTTAATTGCTTTTCAATTTCTTCTTTTTCAGCCAATTTAAATTTATCATCACCGTTCAACTGAATAATTTGCTCTAATTCTTTACACTTTAATAGTAGTTCAGATTTAGAATTTTCATATAGAACAATTGTGTTCGATTTTTCTACAAGTTCTTGCTTAGTGGTTTCAACACACCCTTTTAACTCTTCAATAGCGTTACCATGTGTTGTATTGATAGCATCAATCTCAGTATAGGCATTTTCTAGTTCTAATAACTTCATATTTAACTCTTCGCGGATTTTATTCTCTACATCCGTTTGATTTTTTAATGAACTTTCAAGTTCAGTGATCAATTGACTTGATTGGTTAACTTGTAATTGAAGTTCGTTTTTAATAAATTTGCATTCAAAAAATTCATCCCGAACAAATTGATTAATTAACTGATTTTCTCTAAGCTGTTCAATAATATTAGCACATTCAGATGTTAACTTCTCAAATGATTTAAAGCTCGACTTGAGAAATACGTTTTCTTCTTCAATATTTAAAATATGTCTATTTTCTTTACTTGACTTTTCTTCAATAGAAGCAATAAATAGGAGAACACTGTCTATATTTTCAAGAATAAATGATACAATTACTGGTATTTTGTCATGTGATACGCCAAGCTCTTCTTTTAATTTTAAATTTTCATCAGATAGTTTAGCCAATTTTTCATTTTTGTTATCAAAATGTAGAGCAGCAAATTTTAATAAATCTACAAAATCTATTGTACTTCTTAAATTGTTTAGATCAGATTCATTACAAAATTGTGAAATAGTAGACCTGACACTGGTTTCAATTAAATTCAGCTGAGATTTCAATTCAATAATTTGATTGTTTAGCTCAGATTTTTCATTTATGTGATTAGCAGATAATAGTTTAAAATTATTATTTTCATCTTTTAGGCTTTGATTTTCTTTTTGTAATTGTTCTAGAGTATAATGAGACTGCTCTAAAAGTTGATCCAACTCATTAATTTCACTTTTTTTCATAACAAAATGATCATCATAAGCTAAAAGTTTAATAGCATAAGGAATAGTTTGAGCTTCAGCAACAAGCTTTTGAAGAACAGATACCTCAGTAACCAAGTTATAGTTCTTTGATAACTCATTTTTCAAATTATTATCTTTTTCAAATAATTCAGATTTAAGTGTTTCAATTTCTTTTATGTGTATACTATTTTGTCGAGTGATGTCTTTGATTTTCATCTCAAGTCTTTTAATCTCTTCATACTTCTCCGTCATATCAGAATTACTTGCAATTATTTTCTTTAATTGATCATCTTTAGATAGAAGTTCTTCCCTCGTTTCCTAAAAATATAATAATAATAAATTAATAAAAAAATGTATTGTGATTTTTTGGGTTAAAAATCGTTTTGAACTAAAAAAAAGTAGTTTGTTATTCTGACAACGTGGGATGTTAAACAAATATCTCAAATTTTGCAATAATTTTTTTCCCAGAAAATCTTTTTAAAAACCCTTATGACATTTATTATAAAAATGATTTGATTTTATAATAAATGTTTTTTTTTCTAAATCCATCTTAGAGTAAGTAAAATGCATTTTAAATACTTAAATTTTGTTGCTAGGAATTTAAAAAAATAATGTCCTCTTAACAAGAAAGTAAGAACTATTTAATCATTGGTAAAATGATTAATTAGTTATTTAATTTTTGCACTTACCTGTATTGAGATTAAAAGTTCTTTTTCTCGTTTTTCGTACTTTTCTTTTTGCATTTCTGCAATAACCTCAACATCTCTTTTTTCATTTTCAATTCGATTTATTGACAATTTTAGTTTTTCTATCACTTCTGATGATGCATTTTTTGCAATTTGAAGTTCTTCAACTTGTTTTTTTAAATTGTTTAAGTCTTTTAATTGCTCATTCTATGACAAAATTAGAAAAATATTATTGGTCATCAATTATCATTTCAATAATTTAAAGATCACTTACATTTTCATGAAACATTTGTCTTTCAAGAGTAGTAAACTCTCTCAGTTCATTGTTTTCTCTCAAACTCATTTCAAATAGGCTTTTATAATTGTTAACACGTTCTCTTAAAACTTTTCGTGGTGTTTCACATACACCTGGTGGACTATGAACATAAAAAAAAAAAAAGTTGGAAAATGAAAAATGTTTTCAGCATTTTAAGTATTTTTTACTAAGACAAAATAACATTTCATAGGAAACTTACGGAGATATACTACTAATTTCTACATTGCTAATTACTGAAGACTCTTGATCTACAGTGCATCTTTCTTCTCTAATTAAATCCCATTCAAATGGTTCTAAAGGTGTCTTAAATGTTTCTAAAATATAATTTAAATAAAAAAATTATTTTAAAATGATTTATTATTTATAAACTTTCAAATGCTATACTATATTGTAGTATAGTAGTGTAACCTTTGTTTAAAACTCCGAAATTTGAGGGTACACTAGGTCGTGGTAAGTTTATATCTTCTTCGATAGTTTCAAGTATGCTATTTGAAAAAAACGTGTTATCAAGTTTTCCACCCCATGTACGTCTACGGTTGAAACCTCTCTAATAAAATAATAAACAAAATTATTGGATGTTATAAAACTTTTAATTAAAACTAAGAATTGTTTACTTTTGTTTGAGATTGATCTTTATTTTCTGCTGATGAAGTAATCATGTTTTTTTGTAAACGCATAATTCGTTCCTTAAGCTCTTCGTTGGTGCGTTTTTCTTCTTGATACTTGTATTTTATTTCATTTACTTCGTCATTTTCATATTGGTTTTGTTTTATGCCTTCCAATTCCTTATTAAGTTTGGAAATTTGAACTCTATATCGTTTCAGAAGTGTTTCATCTGTGACATTTTCATTTACTTTAGCAGTGTTCTTAATTTTTTTTGCTCTGGATGCAAAACTAAATTACACATACATATTCAAATAAGTAGATGTATAGTTATAAGGACTAATGGAATTGTAAGTTTATAATATAAAATACCTTAATGTATTGAGAGTTTGATCATCAACTGCCAAAGTAATTGTACAAATAATGGCCGTAAGAGAGTTTCCCCCAAGAGAAGTTTGTAATATTCTTGTCAATTTACTGTCTCGAAAATTAATGTGTTGAGAGCTTTTTTTTAACAAAAATAATAAAGTTTATACAAACATTTTCTTTAAAAAAAATAGTAATTCAATAACTAACCTGTCTTGACATTCACTAAGTTGTTGAATAACAAGACCAAGAGTTGTCAGAGAGCTGTTAATTTTGCAACCTTCTTTAAATCTTTCCATGGATGGCTGTGTTTGACTAGTTCTTTCTGATCCAGCCAAGTCAACTAAATTGATTACAGATTGTTGATAAGCTCCATCACAATCGTCTTCAATATTACGACTTTCTAATATCTAAAAATTGAAGACAGCATACAGTAAGTGACAATACTGATATCAATAAAGATCCTTATTATTAGCAATTTAATTCTTCAAAAAAAAAAAAAAAAAATAATAATGTATATAAATGTTTCTTTACAATACGGAAAATTGTATGAGATCTTGATGATCTTTCATTCATATTTGTTTCTCCAATGCTACGATTTTTCTCACCAATTTTCATCAGATCAATTACCTGAAAAACAATAATATTTATTAATCTTTATAAGTTGACTAGGTATATTCTTATTCGGAATACTATGGTTAAACATTTTTAACTACTCTATTATTTATATATTTACCATTTGGGCATTTTGGCATACTATAGCTTTTAAAGGTGTAATATGTAAGCCATCTTTTTGAATTTCTATTTTCCTTGTTTGTATTTTGTTATCTTTTTTTTCTAATAAGTCAATTATTTTTTCATTGTAAATTTCCAAATAACAAGCCCTAGGATAAACAGTACTTTTAATTAAAAAATATTTTACATTTTACAATTATTTAATATTTGTAGTCACCTGAGTAAATACTCTCTACTGGATGAACTGTTCATAGCATTAAACATATAATTAACAGCTAATGGAATTATACCAGGACTCCAACTGTCTCCAGACATGGTGAATGTTTTTCCTGAAGATGTTTGACCATAAGCAAATACTGTGCCATTGAAACCTTGGACACCTCTATCAATAATTGGTTTGACAATCTCGTCAAACACGTCATTGTTACTATAGTGGGAGTCAAATACTCTATCTAAATCCAATTCAATATTAAAATTAATTTAATTAAAAAACAAATATAACATTAATTTATTATTCACACCTATTCCAAATTTAAATATTTTTACGTAGGGCTAATTTGACTTTTGTAACTTTACATAGGAAGTTTAAATTAAATTATCTGTATTAATATTATTATTTAAATATAATAATATTTAAATTTTAAATACCAATAATTAACAAATAAATACACAATAATATGTACTTATGAATAATTTTTTACATGAGATACAAATTGTACAATGTTTATTTTATGAAAATTGGGTATAGAAAAATTAGAAGGTTATAATTAGTTTAAATAATTAATATGTTATTTTAAAAAACTAAGCTTAAATTTATTTTGACTTAAAAGATACTTTTTTTTAATTAGAAATAAGTACCTACTTATTATTTGTTTTTGAATTGTTTACAATTAAAATTAAATGTATTCTATTGAAAAACTAAAACTATAAAAATAGAAATTAAAAGTAGCAATGTAGAAATTGATTAAAGGTAATCTCATTTTGAATTAATAAAATTTCATAGTTAAATTTTTTTAATATAAAAAAACAACAAATAAGGTTACTATTAAGATACTATTAAAAGTTATCCTATTATTTTATGAACACTGTAGGTAAGTTGACATATACAATAATAATATTATCTAAGTATATATTTATAATGTTATCTCAATATATTATTTCAGCTATCTCCAGGTATTTCAAGCTATTTTTGTAAAAAAAAAAAAGAAATTGCGTGTCTTTTAAGAGCTTTACTAAAAGACAATTGAAATAAAACATCAATTTCAAAATTTAAACATAGTGTTTTTTAATAAAAACTGTAGTAATCAAGGAAAATAATTTTGATTATCAAAATTAATATATTTTAGATATAACATTAGGATTTACCGAAAATAAATGGATCTCCTTTTTTCTTTTCAGAGGACGGGTCGATTGGAATTATACTGTTGGATTCAATTTTCCAGTAAATTCTACCGTCTAATTGTTCTTTGTGGTTTAACGGCCGGGCTTTGATGGCCACTTTAATGTTGCAACTGTCCATGGTCTAAGCAGACATGTAAGTTTACAACGGGAAATGTATCGTATTCATTACAACTATTGTGTAACTATATAATACATATAATAGTCAATACACTTGTTACACACTACACTATTAAAGCTAAAAAGCGGTATTTAATTAATTAATGTAAAAAAATTGATTTATAACGTTAGTTACATGAAATCACGAAGCAGAGACAAGAAAACCGCGAATTTTTTGATCACTTTGTAGGTCCGTTGTATTTTGTTCGGATACTATATAGTTATATTGTATATACTATATAGAAAAGGTTTATATTTTCCGTTGATCGGTTTAAAAAAGTACAGTGACGCCAACATACAAGTCGGGTCATTGTGCAACAGCTGTTCGTTAATGACCCAAACAATGATAACGTTTTGGCCTCGATTGGCCTTGAATCTGTGATATCATTAATCATGGTCCATGGAATTAAAATGATAACACCACCAGTGTGTGGTATTATCAATAAAGCTATTGTCATTTGTCAGTGAGTTGTTTATTTAATTATTATTATTTTATTACATCTATTTTGTTTAAAATTTTGATGTTGATATAATCAAAAGCCGATTAAAAATTACCAATTCGGATCAATAAACTCTGATTGCTATTTAAAAGAATTACATAAAGTCAAAATTAACAATCTTGTTTGATATGCAATGTCCGTGTCCCTTTGTGTGTTAAGATTTGAATTAACCGAAGACGAATCACTGGCGGACGAAACGCAACAGCAAACGTTGACAAATTGGGGTAGTTATATTTTATACTTATGGTAGTTTTTCGTTAACAATTTTTTGGCAGCAAGATATTCGTATCATTTCAAACAAGACCACAGCTGTTAATCTATATTTTCCCAACGCTCTAGACCATAGCTAATGTTAGTGGAATCTAACTAGCTCGATTTTATGATTCTGATAAAATTTCATGAATTTTAACAAAGGCCATTTGTAGTCTAGTATTGTTCAGCTTCTTATGTTTTTCTTAGCCCCACATCACTATGGTGTCGCTAGACTAAAATTGTTGACTATGTGTAGTTGTTTTAAAAATAAATTACAAATATTCCATCCATTTCATGATAACTTATCCAGTCAATAAAAATTTTGTTTTTACTAATTGGATGTGGCTCATTACATATAAACAGATCTTGACTTTATACATAAATGAATAAAACTAAAACCAAGAATATAAATAAAAAAATGTTTTAAATACGATTAATCGGTCTTAGTCTATTGTATCCTCTGATGATGATAACATATGCTATAGAGGATTATTTTTGTGGTTATTATTTTATAATGTTATCTTTATTGTTAAAATACATTCAAATATTATTTCTGTCTTTTGTCACTTGCGTTCAGATTCCTATAATAGAGTAACTTCTACTATACTTTTATAAAACCCTATCTACAAAAATGAAATATGTATATGCGTTAAGTATATCATTTTTGTGGATTGAGTTTTAATCAAAATATGGTTTTGGATGGTTTGTTATTAGTATAATATCTTGCTTGTATTGCAAGACTGGTGTAGACTTTTTTTATAGTGTGGGGATAGCGGAAAATAAATATTGATAACATACTGAATGGATTTCCATGAATTATTATTATATGTTGGTAGATAAAATCTAAACTTATTAATAAAAACATTTTATTTTAGTTGTAAAAAAATAATTAATCCAACACATTTTTTATATGCTTTGATTAATTGGTCATGATTGAATAATTTATAGAATTTATCTCCAAGTTCCAACATTACGGTACTTTGTAAAATGTTAAAATGTCATCTTAAAAAAGAAAACCCTAACTTTTCTTTTTGTACAATAAAAAAAAAAATTAAGTTCATTATTTATAAATTAAGGTTCATTTAGCTGTCAAGTAGTAAAGTGATAGTAATCATTTGATTGTAGATAAAAGAAAAATCATGTCTGCCCGTGGCCGTCGAAAATCTAGAGAACTTACAGTGGAAACATATGGACATGTGAATGAAAATGTGGAACCATTGGTGGATGAGAAATTAAAAAAAAATGAATTTATCAAAAAACCTAATACCAAAGCTTTGAAAAAGAAGAATAAAAATAAAAATAATTCAAAGGAGAATTCAGCTATGCAAATTAATTTTATTTCAGGGAATCCTTTTGTTGAAGTTACAAAAGGCGTGCTACATGTTTATAAAGAAAAGTATGTTGTAGGTAGTAAACGAGAAAAAGAAAATTAGTTTAAATTTAAACCATCAGTTTTTGTTTGATTCATGTTTGAATATGCGGTAATTAAATCAATTTTTACTTATAGTAAGTTGACACCGGTTGACAGTGCAAGTAGTCGAAGTCAAATGGTGTGTATTTTATCAGTTCCCGCTAACATGAATTGCCATGACTTGTTGACTTTTATTGCGGCTTGCCAAGAAAATATTCATCATATTAGAATAATTCGAGATGCTTCTTCTTTAAACCAATATATGACTTTAATTTCATTTAGAACACAAGTAAGTTTATACAATTATATTTTGTGTATATATGTATAAGTATTGTGGCGTTAATTGACTGCATTAGCTATTTTTGTACGCGAGTATTTATTTTTAGCTTTGATACAAAACTGAGAAGGTATCAATTTTACAATATTCAGTTTTTTACTATTGTAGGAAGCTATAATGGACTTTTTCCATTCATTTAATGGCATGCCATTCAATTCATTGGAACCAGACTGCTGTTGCAATCTTGTATTTGTATCTAAAGTAGAAGTGATGAAAGAAGACCAACCAGGATGCAGTGCTCCACCATCTCAGCATACAGAATTACCAGTATGTGCTGTTTGCTTGGAACGTATGGATGAATCTGTGGATGGAATTTTGACAATACTCTGTAATCACTCTTTCCATGGAAACTGCTTGACAAAATGGGGTGACACTAGGTATATAAAATAATTGAAACTTGCAATTGGTATAAGTCTACTTCACCGCACACTAATTCTTTTGCTATAGTTGTCCAGTTTGTCGTTATGTTCAAACTCCTGAATCGGTTCCAGACAACCATTGCCAGGAATGCCATTCTTCTGAATCGTTGTGGATATGTCTGATTTGCGGCTATGTGGGGTGTGGGCGTTATGTGCAAGGACATGCTTACAAGTAATCATTTTAAAAACTAAAAATAAAGCTGAAAACTATTGTTTAATAAATTTGTTTTAGTCATTATTTGGAAACATCACATTGTTATTCAATGAATTTAGGAAATAATCGTGTTTGGGATTATGTTGGTGACAATTTTGTCCATCGCCTAGTGCAAAATAAAGGAGATGGAAAATTGGTCGAGGGGAGTACTCCTGGCAAACTAGATGTATGATATAAATTGTTTTTATAGAAATATAACACATCATTAATTTATTGTTTGATAAATTAAATGTAATATATTATATAAATTAAGTGTGTAAATATATGTTATGCTTTATGTATGGATTGCCATTTAGCATTTAGCAATATTTTAACAAATGAGAACGATTTTTATAGGAAATGCTGTTTAAAAATTAAAGTTTTAAAATTATGTGTGTGTTGGACATAGTAAAATTAATATGTTATAAATGGTTTTATCCATACTATATACTAGAATTCATTTTTCTTATTTAGATCCATTTATTTTTTTTGTAGGATACAGATCAGAAACTTGAGTCGGTCCAGTTAGAATTCACCTACCTTTTAACTACTCAGTTAGAATCACAAAGAAAGTATTTTGAAAGCCAAATGAAACATTTTGAAGAAAACACATATGTTGAGGTAAACATTAAAAATTGTTGTTTCTTAAGTATGTCCATTGATAATTTTATCTAGGATAGTGCAATTTTTTTTATCTGACCGTTTGTGATTTTATGTATTTAATCACATAAGTAATCAATTAAACGGAAGACAATTAGAACTATTTCTAAATGTTGGCCTACTCGGCCTAAAGTATTGTCTATGCTCTATGAAGTATGAATAATGTATAATAGTAATTAATTAAGTAATATTATTGGGTATATTTGTTTTATGTGAACCCTGAATAATAAAGTTTAGTATTAAAATGATTTATTAATTTGTATACTAGGTAAATGAAATAAAGGCAAATGCTAAAGCAGTGATAGAAGAAAATGAAAAATTACATAAAATTATCAATGGTGCAAATAAGGATAGTGGTATTCTAGAAAAGAAAATTGAAGAAAATAAAAATCTATTGGAAAAAGTAAACTCTATGAACAAAGATAAATCTAATTTAGAAAAAAAGGTATACTGTTATTTATTTTAACATTTAGTCAATGAGTTGTTTAAGGATTATTAATCTTAATGTTGGCCACTGATGTATAGGTAAATAGTTTGACTACCAAACTGGAACAAACCAAACTTAAATTAGATGAAGAATGTCAGATGAACTCAGCTTTACGAAAAAATCAAACCGAGTGGCATGACAAATTTTCTCGTCTAGAGAATGAATTCACCAATTATAAAGTTACAAAAGATCAGGTAAATGTAAAATAATTAAGTATTTTCTTTTTGAACTCTAGTCAATTTGTTTATTGTAATTGTTATTAATTGGAAAATATTCATTTATTAAGGAAATATCAGAGCTAAAAGATCAAGTTCGAGATCTTATGTTCTTCTTAGAAGCTCAAAATACAATTGACAAAAGTGCTAATCGAGATGATATTTTAAATGGTTCATTAATTGTTGATGAACAAAATCAGTCATCTGGTCCTAGTAAAACTCGTAAACATAAAAAACAAAGGTAATATAATACAACAATTCTTATTGAAACTATTATGTTGTTATTAATGTAAAATTTAGAATTGTATAAATGATGCCTATTGTATTATTTTAAATAAAGGTTGCTTGTGATATTATTAAATAATTTTATGATCTTTTAAACAGTTTTGTATTAAAACTCAATAAACAACTATTAAATATCATATTTTTTTTATATTTTATAATATGATGCGGTTGCATCGTTACCCCAGCCGGTGGCGGATGCTAACTACATCCATCACCGCTGGGTAGTGACCATTATAGTCCGTCAGGCCGCGCACCAGCAGCGCGAACAGCTGGAAAACTGCCGCCGATATACAGTAACATGGCTTTTTAGTATATAACATATACCTAATTTGTATATCAGCTGTATATTAAGATTTTTGTTAATAAAGTCATCCGTGATAATAGTACCAGTTTACACTTCTTTTAACAACACCCTCACCACGAACTACATCAAACATGTAAACTTAAACCTATATAATAATGTTACATTACTAAAATTAAAAAAATAATGAATAAGAACAATTAATTAATATAATAACTCATACCATATATATATTCACAAATATAAATATTTCCATCTTTTAGAGTAAAAGTTTTACAAGTTCTTTATCATTAAGTTATCCTGACAGTTCACCAAATGTAAGCTAAATAAAATATTCATAATAATTTAAAGTACATATCGGAACAGCATAATAAAATAAATTGTTGTAAATAAAGTAAAACATATCCTATCAATCACTTTAGCAAATTTTTGTCGTTCACTAATGTTGTTACTCTCCATGTTTATTTCTTCGCTTCCGCAGAGCATATGGCAATCGATTGTTAAATCCTATTTGGTAAACAATAATGATTAATAAACATTAATAAAATGATAAAAATTGTTTGAATTACATTAATTTTGATTCCCAAGTAAGTTAGGTAACTCGAATGAATGAATTTCCTTATACTATGTGGCAATGGGCTATTGACTGTGATCATGTTTTTTACTGCCATAGATATGACAGCTGTCACTGCTATAAGTCCCAAACAATAAGTGTAGTAGATGACTAAATAAACAAATTATATTATTAGCTAATTACTGTGGTAGGTTCTAAAAAAAATATTTGTATAAGTTTATACTTCTGTGGCCTTACCAATTAAAGGTATACTGGACAGTATTAGTGGTACTTTAGAATAGACAATTAGTATGACGACAGAAACAAATAATGCGTTTAACAGGTTTATGGCCGTTTTACCATACTGGTTATAAGGTATCCAAAACGCGATTAAGTTGAATATAGCACTACCTGTGAGGAATAACATAATGTAACTATGAGTTTATAGTTTTTTTTTTTAAATTATTATCTAGAATCTAGTTTCTAGATACCTACCAATCGCCTATAATATTTTATAGGCGTAGAAAATTGAGTGTAAAATATTATTGAAGTATTGTAAAATTAAATAGTAATGGTGTTAACCAAGATATATTGATTAATAAATTCTTATTTTTAAACTCATTTTGGTATATTAACTGTTATTATTTATTTGAAGGGAAGTATATAAAAAAAAAAAAAATACTCGCATAAGGCCGGCACATAGATGACCGAATAATAAGGATGTGTTTTTCGTTTGATGGTAAAGCTGTATTCAATATCAATGAAAGGTACAGTTCCGTTAGGTCCAGTCGTGTAGTATCTTACATTCCTCTGATTGGTCACCTTTTGCACGTCCCATTCGGAATGGTAATTATACACTTCTACCTGTTAACGTGGCCGAAATAAACAAGGAAATTAAATTGCACGGCAACTATAGTGAAGACAAGACCTATTAACTAGTTAATAGGTCTATGGTAAAGATAATAAAACAATAAACACACTCCGTTTCGGTCGGTAGTCAGGTTGAGTTCGGCACCGTTATACATCCAAGATCCCATTCTTAAGACCGCAGTCTGCGTGTCGTATGGCCAGTAAGTCATGTCCGTTTGACAGTGTACGTTATACTGTACAGGTTGCACACAACTCACCGAACCGTTGTAGTTTACTTGACAGTTGTTATTCGCCTGATCGGTTTCCGCAAAAGTTATTATACTGAAATTGTTATGCATTATACTGCTCGATCATGCAGCTAGTTAAATAAACCTTTATTTTCTGTTTTAATTAGGGGATCAGGACAATCGAAATCGGGTTGCCAAAATATTCTCTTGTATAAACAAATCTAATTTTTCAACAATTTAGACAAGAAAAGTCCATGCACGTAAAATCAATATTCTAATATATGATCCAAAACAAATTCTGGAATAAATCTACATTACCAGACACCTTTTTTGAATTATTTGCGAAATCGGTATAAAAAATACTAACGAGTGTGAAAAAAGTCCAAAAAGGTGTCCGGTAAAGTAAATTAATATTTTCTACCCGATCCCTAGTTTAAAACTGTTAAGTTTTTTTTTTTTTTAATTGGTTGATCGATATCAAAAACTATAATGTTTGATTTTATAAAAAGTTCCTTAAACATGTATTATATTACTTGTTGTAAGGCATGATATCTGGAAACCAAATACAACGGCGATTCACTACTATGGCCTTTAAATAATCATAGTCATTTGGGATCCAAGTCAGACGATCGTCTTTCCAGTTCTGAAAAAAAAACAATATTTTTACGAATACACGCAACCATTAAGTGGCGTTAAATTTGTTCGGTGTGAATATGGTTTTATGATAATTACCACACCATAGGCTTGCTTCAAGAAGAAATGTATTTAATAAAAGTCAATCTTTCCCACGAAAAACATTGGATCATGCAAAAGTGAAACGGAGGGATTTCTTGTCGGCTATTTCCATAATTAAGTTAGTGTTATTTTGCGAATATTGATTGATTTTTGAATAACTTGATACTTGGTTCATCTTTTTACCTAAGAAAATGACTAAGTATCTATTGTAGGTAAACTGTAAATGCTTTGAATTTTGCAACTTTTTAGTCGACTGACAAATGGTTTATTTCCCGAGACCGATTTATACTAATTTAGGCTATTCGATTCGATTTAATTTTGCCAGCCAAAAGATATATTTATCCTAAATCCAAACCTATATCCCACCTTCAAGGATAACCGTAAATTAGTCAATCTGTAGTCACTATACACATATCGTTGGTGTAAATAAAAAATAGCTGTATTTAAAGGTAATATGAATATTATCAATTTTTTATTTTAGTTAATATTTGATATGGGCGAGTCGAATAAAATTACCTAATGATAATAATTATATTAAATGTTATTCACGGATACAACTTGGCGATTTGTAGGGGGAAAAGATACGGATATTAAAATCTGGATAATGGAATAATAGAATTTGGGAGTATACATACTGCTATAAACCAGGCGCTGAGTATCATTTGAGATGTTTCATAATTCTGTAAAAAAAACATTTTGTTCGCTTTAACGTGTAATATATAATCATAATAATTCATAACACTTAAGATCTGAGTAGTTATGCATAATTACCAATTCGGCACTGTTGATTACAAACTGTATATCGACTAACAGAGATTTATCAATGGCAGCCGGAATTATAACTTTGTCGTACTTGTTGAATATCTGTGCCCTTAGTCCTTGCTCTGCAGCCATTCTTTGACTTGATTCATCTTCGGGAAAATATAAAATCATATCGTAAAACTTGTTGTAGCTTCGACGTGGAGCTGAGAAGGTATTGTTTTAACAGTTAATGTGTTTTTGTTATTGTGTGTGGACCCAAGATATTTTCTAAATCCACTATAAATCCGATTTTGTCATGTAGTAATTCTATAGATCAGAAATCGTACTTAAGAGGTACTTTATTTGGACAAACATTTAAAAATTCACCCCTATTATGATAATTTTTTCAAAATATAAACAATTAAAACCAATGTTTTTTCAAATATGTAAAATATCGAATTATCAGTGACACGGACAAATATTGAGCTACAGCAGGGAAATTTAGGTTATCTGTGTTTTTTTTTCCATCGAATAGACCCAGAAAACGTTCAAGAGTTCGAAAAATTTCAAATTGGCGGATACGCCGATAGACATGCAGCGGTTAATCGTTTATTTTTATTATTATTAATTATCGTGTCATTCAGTGGAAATGTGTTTTTTGTCGAGAGTATGTGATTTACTTGCGTCTGTCGATGAGAGGTGGAAGGTGAGAAGCAGGAGTAATCCGGCCGGCGGATAAACGACGTCCATAGCCTTGTAACGGGTGTAAATAGTAAAAAAATACTGAAAGGACTGGACGGCGGTCGATCAACGAGAGGCTGTATTCACTTGAGTACAGGATACAGCCTTAATTAGGACTCAATTGAACGTAACCATTATATTGTGACCAATGTAATGTAATACAAATTGTAGAATACGAACAACTACTTACAAACAAATAGGTATTTCAATTCTTGTTGAAGAATTTCGACTAGATTAATGATCAGGAGCTTGGAAGCTGTTAAGAGCACCTATCGCTGTTCTACAATAATAGACGTTGCAATTAAGTAGAATGAAAATCAAATAACATCAACCCGGGTCTTCTATAATATTGTCCAAATCTCTAATTGTGTGATAGGCAACAAATATTAATGCAAAAAAAAAAAACGAATCCAGTACCTACTTTACTTAGGTTACTTGTTGTGTTAGTCAAAAACTTGATATTAGTTATGTTATGTATTTCATATTTTTACACAAAAATCCTAACATACAGTCTTCACAATCGTTCTAGACGACGCTTTTGAAACGTTTTTGCCGGGGTGTCCTATTTGTATTAGCTCTAGGCGTAAAATAGAAGGGGGGGGGGTTCTAGTCCCCTTCAAAAGAAATGCACCATGCTAAGCCAATGAACTCCATAAATCCTAATTAGATGGTTTAAGGAACTTATTAAGTTTTGCATAACCCAACACCAATGACGACTAAAACTGATGAAATTGGTTTATTGGTTAGGTCATATTATTTTGTAATAATTTAAATTTATTGCGTGTAATATTTGTATATATATATTTTTTAAATACACTTATTATGTACCTAGTGTTTTGTAAAAATAAATTTATATATTAATCTATCAAAGCTACACGTGTACAAAAGGTTATGTCAAAAAACTAATTTTATTAATCCTGTAGATTGGTACAGTTAGAATTTAAAGCATGAGTAAGCAAGAACTGTTTCTTTTTATTAAATACAAATTATAATTTCAATAATTATTATAATATTTTTAGTCTCTATTCACTATCGCTAACTGCATACTACAATACATCTTATCATACGGCTGCCATAATCCAACTCTTATTAATTAAATTATCAGTATTTGGTTGTACTCGACTGTTTTTCTACCACTATACTATAATTGTATAATTTATTAACAACCATGTATTTGACAAAATAATTTAACAGAGTTATATTTTTTACTCAGTTCAACATTTAAACACAAATTAAGTTTAAGTTCCTATTCATTTTTATTTTGTTTACACATTTTTTAACAATAACTATGTATTTAACTGTAAGAACAACATGTTTAATTTTAAATTTAGTTCAGGTATGGAATAATGTTTATGGCGAAGATATACCAGGTATGTACTTTACCAAGTTTTCTATACACATTTTTTCGTTTTGTTCTAAAAACATTTAAGTTTAAAATAGTGGAATCAACATGTTTTTTTAACTTTCAATTTTATTATAAATTACCACTTTGTATTCAAATTTTCGTAAAATTATTTTTAAAGACAACAACTTAAACAAATACAATCAAATATGTCTACTACTATACAGTGTCTAATACCTACATATTATACAAATATCTTGGTTATAGTACCTGTATGAGCTATAATAAAAAAATAAATACATAGTAAGTATATAATAAAATAACGTAATGACCTTGGGTTTTATTACTAATGTTTTTTATGAATTTAGAAAAAAAACAATCAGTGGAGGCCGATATTCATTTTTTGTGTTCTGATTATATTGTAAATAATATTGTATAATACTACAATAGATAATAGTCGATATACACCCACTCACAAAATTTAATTGTATGTTTTATTACACATTTTATGTATATTTTACATTTTTCTGTTTACATTACATAATCAATATATTATAACTGTTCAAAATACTTGAATAATTTCTGAATTCTTGATTTATTTATACTTTTAAAACTTCTATAATATTTGTATAATATTATTACAGCACTAAAATCCGATCATTCTAAGTAGGCGTAATTTTGTCAGGCTTTTAGGTCCAAATTGGTTTCTTGTAAGAACAAAATGGCTTTTATTAAAATAAATAATTGTACTCGTGGTATTAGCTAGATAATTTTTGCTGCAGACTATTAATTTAATTTAATTTTTATATACCTTCTTTCCATAATTTATTATTATTTCTTTCCCTTTTTGTAGCACAATCTTAAGGTCTTCCTTAAATCAAATCTCGCGTCTATGAAATATACATAATTCAAAAAGCATTTATCTATCAAAATAATAATTTATCAAATTTTACAATAACTCATTTAAATTTTAAAGTTCAGTAGTTACAAAAATATCTTATTCCGGTTATAGTTAGGCACATTTTTATGATGGTTTAACTTGATTTGAATCAAATCTTGTTCAATCTTGTAATTATGTTTTTATGTTTTTTCTTATAACTAGTTACATTATAACGATTAAATTACAGCAATTAGCAACATCTATATAAGTAATATAGTTTTTGTTCTAATAGGCATTTATTTAATGCTCTTTGTTACTTATTCTGATAAGTACATTTTTAATGATGGAAATGATGATACATGTATAATATCAAAATACGTTAAATGTATTAACTGTTGACATTAACAATAAAGTAATAAATGCATTATTATTTTTTTTTTTTTTATGACATAATAATTATTTTTACATTGGTTAATTGGGCAAAATGTGTATAGTAAACTACTGGAAACTGTTATGGAAAATTTTGATAATGAAATGTGGGATTAACTTTCTGTAAACAAATAAATATATTATATGTATGATTTAATATGATTCCGGCGATGTATTCATGTATATTATAAAGAAAGAATCCTCTGATAGTCTAAAGTGGAAATAAAACTCTTTAATTTAATGTGTTATTATGTTTTCTTTAGGGTAATTATAAAAAATGTATTGTTGAAATTCTGGCGATTTTTTAAATTTAACTTTAATAATCCCCATACTACTTAAGTCAAAAAACATTTTTAATAGTTGGTACAGATTTACAGTAGTATTATTTTAGTATAAAACAGCTAAATTTTTACATCAAGCTCAAGTTTTTTTGAAAACTTTTTTACCTTTTATTAAAAACAGGTAACCTCAATTAGTCTATTCAAGTAATTCTATTATTGGAACACGTTTAAGTAATCATATTTAAATATTTTATGTTATTTGTTTTGTAAAGGTCAATAAAAAAAATCAAGTTCAGCTTAATAGAATATAATCAATGCTCGTATTTTTGGACTTTGTTCTTACATAACGTGATGTAATATCAGTGTTACAAGATCCACTTGTCAGCTAATAAACATAATATAATTTACATACTCAAGTATACTTAATACGATTTAATCGATACCAAATTTCGAATCGGATTTCAATTAACTTATATTTTTTTAACTATAGATTATTAAAACGTTTCACATTTACCGAACTCGATGATAAGCAGCTAACGAATGGTACCTACACAAATAAGATGTGGTAAAACATCAAAACGTACAGTACTGCAGTGAATTTACATTAAATACCTACTAAAAAATACCCTTTTATCAGTCTCATACAATTTTTTAACAAAAACGATTGCTTAACGGACACGAGGGATAGTTGTTTGTGTTTCATAATATTCATTAGCTTAAGGTTGGTCAATACTAATTTGAACAAAACAAACGTTAGTAATATAAGGCGTTAAACTTAAGTTTGTACAGTGTACTTAAAATATTTCCATACACGGCGACTCGATTTTGTCCACACCCGTCATGTCCATGCTCTGTTTATTTGGAGCCCATCACCCAATTTATAAATTGAAATGCATTTTAAATTGAAAATACTTATGTGTATATTCATAGGTAATGAGCGTTTGATATAGCGTATGAACTTATTATTTGAATATAAATAAAACTTTTTTAGTTAGCAATTAACATTAAACATTATTAAAGTTTTTTTAAAGGTTATTAAAATAACGTTTAAACAATTTAGTACCTAACCCAGTTATAATTTATTAAGTTGACAAAAAAAAATAAATTGTACAAAATTATGAATGCAGGGCCAATGGGTAAAACTCCCTTTACAGCACCAAGCTTGAAACACGAATTTGAAAGTCTTCCAACATTTACATGTTGGAAAGGTTTATCTAAAAACTTCGAATAAACTTTATTTGTATAGTACAAGTAGGTAGTTTATTTATAAAAATGTGTAATATAACATGTGTATAATAACATGTTTTACTAAATCAAAATACAAAAGAAATTATAGAAAAATTGTAAAATATTGCTGTAAACTGGTTTTACCCCTGGCCCTTAAAATAATAGTAATGATATACATTTGTTTTATTGGTTCGTTGGTTAATTAGTTTGGTTAGATTCGGTTTGTGTAGGTGTGGAACATGTGCGGTAGGGACAAGGTATAGGACGCCAAAAGAAATCTGAGTGGTCACTCATCCCGGATTAAGCACCGACGGAAACTAAAGTGATAACTGATATAACCACTTTACAGGCCATGTCCCTAATAATAAAAATTACAATGCATTAATTCATTGAAATCTCAGGTACCTACTTTACTTTATAAAAATGTTAATTATCATTTGATAAGCAAGAGTATTAAGTGGTTAAATGTAAAGGAAAGCAAAACAAGATATTATAAAACAACTAATGCAAAACATTATATTACTATAAATACTTCTAACTAATGATTTCATTAAAAAAATTAAACCTAACATTTTGTATTGTCTACTAAATAATTTCACTTTTGTTCATCAAATAAAAATAATATTTTAGTTTTGCATTCAATTAAAAATTTATCAAAGTTTTTAAGTGTTCAATACTATAATCAGTTTTCTTTTTTTGTGTCTAATACAAACGTATCAAAGTTATTATGATGTATAACATTTATTGTTATCATGATGTTTATAGAATATAAAATAACATTTTAATCTGAAAGCTAATTAAAAACTATTTATAAGTTAAAAGGTTAAAACGAAAGAGCATTAAAATGTTAGAAAAAATATGAGTGTTATATAGATTTGTAATTATAAATATAACTACTGGCAATAATGATATTAAGACAATTAATGGAGTCAAGAGGTATAGATCAAAACGAAAATTGTGATGTAGTTAGATAATTGTTATTTTTCGTATGTAAAATACGTCAACATTTTAATAAAGTATACCAATTTATATTTTATAATTTACAATAGGTGTTTATATAAAATCGAATAAATAAATTAAATGTTAACAGCTGTTAATATTTAAAGTGTAGTCTTATTGTTTAGATAAAATAAATAAGTTAATACATTAATAGTTAAGTAAGTTAGTCATATGCTTATCACATACATATTATTAAAATATATATATATATTTATTTAACAATGAGGATTTATGATTATGTTCATTTAGACAAAAAAGACAAGAGAATTTGGAACGAAACGTGGACGGATAAGCTTAGAAGAGATTTATTGCGATCTTATGACCGAAATTCGAGACCTATTATTGGTGATAACTTAACTAATGTTACTGTTAGTCCCGTCATAAAATATGTGGATTTGGTGAGTTGTATTAAATCAAAAAGTTAAAAGTATAATGTCTAAATAAAATGTCGTGCTCGTGCATTATAATATGTGTAGCATTAAACGACAAAGTCGAAAAAATGCTATGTTCTGTGTTAATAAATATTATTAATTATTGATTCTGAAAGTATTCTTCCACCTACTTCAAGTATGATTTTAGTTTGAGCCTGGGTTTACGATGTTGCTATAATATGTTTTCATCGGTATGCTTTATACTTCTCATACGTAAACTAAGACATTAGTCAAAACGGTAATGAGTGTAGAATAAAACTCATAAAAGATTCCAAATTCATTATTGAAATCGGCGGAATATTATTTTCACAATTATTAACATACGCAATTCTATGACAAAAACGTTATTAAACAGTGTGGTTTATTATTTCAGGATTATAAACAGTCGATAATAACAATTAACGCTTGGGTGTCAATGGTAAGCTAAAGTACCTAAATAGTAATAAAATTAAGAATAAAACAATATCTTGTAAATATTAAAATGTCTATATTTTAAAAAAAATAATTCATCTTATAGTATATATACATCTAAAGAATAATTTATCTATTTTGGGTCGATTTATCGATATTCTGACAATGGACTTAAAAGGAGCCTTTATTGGCTTATTAAAAAAAACTTAGTTTAGTTTAATTACAAACCTTTTATAGAAATACTATTAGAACGTTCAGCGTTTTATTTATAATATACATCAAACATTATTTGTTTGTTAAATATTTGGTTTCCTACAACCATCTACTTTCGTAGACGTGGCAGGACGAAAAGCTTCTGTGGAACACAACCGAATACGGAGGTATTAAAGCCGTTAATATGGCTTACGATGAGATATGGATGCCCGATATTGTGGCATACAACAGGTATGTCTATCGAGCTTTTTAATTGAAAAAAAGATTACATATCGACTTAATACATAATTGTATGTACATATATCATTGTCGTTATACTAGGTATGTTGTGATCAACAGATATCACATTAGTTCGGTTTGACTAAAGGTTTGTGTTTTAGCAAACATTGAATACTTTTACTACCGATATTATTCTTCGTTAGCTTCATTAACTTCTATGCGGTGATAGTATCATAACTATTATTTAAGTAGCTTAACATGTCTCGGTGGTTTCATAGCGACCACAAGAGCAATATGTTATATTTTTATTGTATTTATACGCATGCGCGTACCTTTTTGATTTTGAACTAAATTAAATACATGTTTATCTAACTGCATGTCATCTAAAATTGGAACCAGTTTTCTTATATAATCTCGTTTATAACGCAACACCTGCGTTTTCCCACTAGGCGGCACAGATGAGTATTTAGATTAGGTAATGACTTATACCTAGGTCAAATTTCTTCAGATAATTTTTCACAAGCGTTCTTTTTAATTTAACTCGAATTTGAAATACTTACGTGGTATTCGGTTACACAAATATTTCCTGACATTCTCCCCCTCTCCATCGACTCTCCTCGTGATCCCCGTGCCCCCTGCTATCCTAGGAAGTAAAGGTAGGGAAGGAACTGTGGAACAAAAGAAACCACGACGAAGTAGCATCAAGAAACGAATAGTGGTAGAACACACATTGGTATATGTAAATTAAGACAACAGAGACGATGGCTTCACAGTCCTGAATATGAAAGTCAAAAGACTTCCGAAACTTCGGTAAATCCAATATATAAATATATGTGTAACTGAAAACCATGTAAATATTTCAAATAACGTAGTCTATACCAACTTTAACCAATTATTAGTTTGACGGTAGAGGAAGGAGAGGGAGATTTATTGAGTTATTAGGATTAAAGTTTGATTTTTTTAGTAAATTATAAAACAAAGAACAATGTCTAATAAGTATGTAAAAAAATAGTAAGTAACTAATGTTTACACTATTTACATGACTTGAGGTTACTTCCACTTAGATGTCTTGACTAGTTCGCCAACGTTTCGGAACACTTGCACGTTCCATCTTCAGAGCTGTTCTCAGACTTTGAGTCTGCAGGATCGCTCGGCGCGAGCAACATCGAACTACAGCCCTGAAGATGGAACGTGCAAGTGTTCCGAAACGTTGGCGAACTAGTTAAGACATCCAAGTGGGAGTAACCCCTCAAGTCATGTAAATAGTGTAAATATAATACCCCACTCAAGCTTCAATAATTTTTACCTAATTGTTAATAAAGCAGACATCGACTGCAGTTGAATTGAACCCACAATTTTTATGAAAATATATATCAGTTTTTATTGTGTATAGTAATTTTAGGGCTGTTTTGTAATTATTGGAGCATCTATTATAAATGTGCTTCAACGCTTTAATAAAGAAAGTAATAACTTAGGTATAGTATTCAACTGCATAAACTACATCTCCGACTTAAATTAAATCATTAAAAGCTAGAGACATATTTGCTATATTACATTTTTTTTAACCTTATTCAATAGCTTTCCCGTAATTATAACAGAAACTAAAAATTTAGTATTACATATATAATATTAGCTTGTTTTCCTTGACCTTCCGAAATAGTGTATCTGTATATACCAACTAATCAAATTCTTTACATGCTGTATATATTTACGCCTTTATTAATACAATTATCCAGGAAGGTAAACTATTCAAGAGAATAATCACATTTTATTGTTATTAAGTGTAAGTTATGTTACTTTTTAGTAATAACCTCTTGCACTCTTAAATATTGAGTCTAAGGAATTACAAAAATTCTTCTAAATATTCTCTGATAAGATAAATCAATTTCTATCACTTAAGTCCTAATTTTATATTGGAAAATAAAATAATGATGTCGGTTTATATAACTAATAAATATTTTCTTGTACAATTTATTTATAACTTCTGTACCAATATAATTAATATTTAAGTATAGATTAATATGTCGACATTAGAACGATTAATTGTGTACAGCCAAAAAATGTATAATTTTATTTGGTTAATTTTTTTTACAGTGAAATAGAAATACTGAATTTTAGCAATCAGAAAGTAACACTAAATAGTAAAAATATAAAAAGTAAAAATAAAATGTACTATATTATATAGTGGTAATTCCTTAATTCAAAATGATGGCAGAGGGGTCTTTGCACCTAGTAGGACTTCATTATCTACTTGATATTTTGGATTGATCAACACATTACACAGGACCCATTTTTATCCCCAAACTACCCTAACTTTAACCTATAATTTCAGAGTTGTTGAACAAACTCCCCTTAAATTTTAAGCATAGTTGGTGCAATTGGTCATTAAGTTCCGTTATCATACAAAATTATTATTTCTTTATGAAGGCCATAAATTATAATTTTTATTTTATTTTATAGCGCTGACGGAAGTCATGAAGACATGTATGGGAGGACTGGATGTGTAGTCCGTTCTAACGGCATGGTTCATTGGATACCGCCTGCCAAGTATAGAGTATTTTGTGACGTAGATATGACTAACTGGCCATTTGGGGAACACACTTGTTCATTAAGACTTGGATCTTGGACTTACGATGGGAATTCTATAAGTATGCAAATAAATGAGAATATAAACGTGAGTTAAAACATGTATTGGTGTACTAAAACTGTATTATTCATACCTACGGACATAATAAATAATTTTAAAAAAATAATATTTTTATAGAAATTATGTTGTGTTTAAAATGTTATCATGCTTATAGGCATTGGATATGATTAGCTTAGATGGAGGATGTAAGTGGGATGTAATTAATGTCACCCAAAGACGTAGAGTGGAAAGATACTCATGCAATTCTAATGATATATACGAAGATATACAATACAGCCTAACTCTGAAGAGAAAGATACCGGCTTATCATAGCGTGGTAGTTGTTCCAGCTTTAGGTAATTTTTGAATGCCTAATTCCTTTAAAACGATGATATTGTATTGGGTGTAATGCTCTTTATAAATAATGCTATATACTATTTATAAAAATTTTATGGTTACTTTTAGTCGTTGTCTTACTGACGCTCTCAGTCTTTTGGTTGCCTCCAGAATCATCTGAGAAGTTCATGTTCAGTGGCATTACTTCAATTATGATTTGTATTCTTCTGATGACCATTTCTAGTAGTATACCAATCATGAGTGATCGAGTGCCTCTCATAAGTAAAATTGAAAAATGATCAAAAATTTATGGATAATGACATTGTTTATAATTTAAATGTTTATTTCAGTATTATTCTATTCTAATTCTCTTGGTATGGTCACTCTCTCCATGGTATTTTCAGTTTTGTTGCATAACCTGGCCAGATCTGAACAGTCCGATGATAAAGTGCCTAAATGTATTAAACAGCTTTTAAACACCAAGTTTGGAACTGTCATGCGATTTACATCACTAGTGGTAATTTGTAACTTTATTTATATGAAACGAAATTTTAAAATAAATGAAATTATTTTATTTTTGGTAACCAAGACATAATAATATCTAGTAGTGTCTTTTATAATTTTAGGATGATCAAGAAGAAGCACTATTAGACGACCCAGCTAAAAATAAATCGTCGAAGTCTAAAGTGAAAGAAAGCCAATGGTATTACTTAGCTATAATACTGGATAGATCTATGTTTTTAATTTACCTGTTTCTGTTCATAGTTATGGTGGTATACTTTTTTATATAAATATAATTTTTGTACAAATTGACAAATGTCATGTTTTATTTGAAATTAAATAATCCATAGGTCACTAGACATTTTGTTTAATGATAGTTACTATTACCGTTTATACGATTATATATATTTCTTGTTTTATTCTTATAGAATATATTATTATGTAATTTTTTTTTACTGTTATGATTTTTTAAAATGTATTTATGCACCTAAAAACTATAATATAAGAGAGTATATTTCTGTTATAGTGTATAATTTATAATAAATTGAAATTTTTTTTTGTCATTAAATTTAATCAAAACGTATTTGAATTAAATGGAATATTTTGGGTTACTGGTCAATTAATAATTCATATTGTATTTCATTTAACCAAGGAAATGGTAGTTTTATTTTGTACGGTTCATAATTAACAAAGTCATAAATACTAAACTAGAAGAAAATTATAATTATAATACATTTTAATTTTTGTGCGTAGAACAGATAAAAAAAAAAAAAAAAATACATGCTACATAACAAATAACAAAAACATAATAATGACTAACGAAATTCCTTAAATTTATTTAATGTATAATATAATATGTTTTAGAAATTGTTATTAAATTTGATTCGCACTCCGAAAAAATTACTAAAAACTACAAAACGTTAAACGTTTTCATTAATGTAAATGGTACGAACGATAATTATAATATAGTCGTTGGTATAATCTATGATATTATAATTAAAATATACTGAGTAATGATTCTCATTATATTATCTAATAAGTAAGTAGTAGGAAATATTAGATTTCATATCATCAAAATGTTTATTTCTTCATTAAATTTAATGTTTACTTGAAATATCTAGCTAATAAAAGTTACTTAACTTGAGATAAATTGGATAGATACTTGAAAAAAAGGGTGGTTATATTTTATATTATTTGATTATATTTTATGTAGGGACACACTATATTAAAATCTTGTTTTACGCTAAATCCGGTTGCTTGTGGTACTTGCACTGGTTTCTTTTTCTTGATGGACTGCGAAATAATATTTATATATATATTTTTTTATAGATTTATACTTAAAATCAAAATAATATGTATGCCAAATTCTAATATAGTAATTTTTTTTCGTTCGAACACGATTCACAATTATTTTTTTTCGTTTAAGCTTACCACAAGAAGTAGAGGAACACAGCGATGGCACCTATCATGACAATTCCAAATCCGAAGCACAAGACGAACTCGATAAAGCGCGGGTCATCGTTTAATTGCATCCAATCGGCCAGTGTGACAAATTTGTCACATTTCAGTTTATCGTCTGGCATGCAAATGTCCTTTGTGCATATATAACTACCCTGAAGAGTGCTACACATAGATTTCGGCTTCTCCGTTTCGTCGCAAGAAGCTGAAATAACCCGATTTTACGTCAAAGAGTAAAATGAATATTTGACAAAATTCATTCTAAAAAGTATGTTTATATAAGCTTTGAACTACTTTTTTTAAATTTTATGTTGGTTCACGGGCTAATCTAACCGTTAGATTAGTTAATCATAATACATATTCCATGACCAAATCTACAGTTATTATTTTTTAAATTCATCTTAGTCTCTTAGGTTTTCCTAAAACAGAAATTGTGTTTTACTTACATTCTGCCACGACTAGTCCGTCAGACCGACGGCAAATAACGTCGGCGTTGGCTGTTAGCGCCCACTCGAAGGTTACACAAGGTGGTATGCGGCAGTCGCGAGTTTCCCACAAAGGATCGGTGCATGCGGTTGTGCCAGCCGGCGACTGAGATATGACTGTTCGAGATCGGGTTTCGTAGCCCACGATTTCCTTTTGACAATCGCCGTGGCAATGTGACCATTGACTCCAATCGGACAAGGTGCATCCCGGTCCGCACGATACATAACAGTTTTGCCAGGACAACGGTTTCTGTTTGCCCAAAGACGCGCAATAAGATGTTTCCACCGTTTGACCGTCGCTGTTTCTTGTGCAAGTCACGTTTCTGGCGGTTACTCCGTGGCCGCAAGTTGCTCCCTTTAATCAAAAAGGTTTTGCTTGTAATAATCATGCGCCTATTCGGCTGCAAACGGATTACACTTACGTGGAGCTGACAAGCACTCCAGGGTCCTAATGACCAGCTGTAGCATGGTGTAGCTGGACATGGTTTCCACTGTTCGAGATTCGCCGGACATTGTCTCCCCGTTGGGCTCGGATTCATAGCAGTATAAGCTCTACGCGAAATCGCTATAATCAAATACGATCAATTATTATTATTTTCGCGTAAAATCGTTATGTTTGCAATTCCAAGTCGATGAAAATAATTGAGAATCACCTATATCGCTGCACGAACAAGTTGAATTCCACGATGACCATCCCTCAAGAGCGCAGTCTACTGGACAATCGACGTAACACCATTTTTCCAACGGATTAGGCTTTTGTAGATTTGCGCAAAATCTGTTTTTATTAAAACATTGGTTAATTAATAAATAAAAGTTATAAACACCGGTAAACTGAATTATTTTTTAAATAAAATTATACTCTATCCACAAGATCTTGCTTGAGTTAAAATGATATGATTTTACAAGTACTGTGATATTATAAGCTCTGTTGTTAGTTCATAAACAAGTTATAAACTTACAAAATAACTTGCAACAATTTCAAAATACTTATGTAATTAATGTTTAATAATTAGTAATTACTGATCTGCCACAGTTCTTCCGTCACTTCTTTGACAATAGACTGCACCGACTGTCATACCCTCACCGCATGGACTTCCTCCTAACGGTAAACATGACACTTTGGTTATAGTTTTCCATGAATATTTAAAGCAGGTATAGTTCATGCGACATTGTTGCGTTTGTATAGCGATTGGACAATCTGCTCCTGTCGCACTTTGACTTCGAAGTAATTGCCTGGTCCTTTGTTGTTCTTGTGTTGGCAAACACTCCTTGACAAAAAACACAAAATATTGTCATTTTTGTAATTGATTTATTGATCATTTTGGTTTTATTATAGGTACTAAATACTAAAACAAGTTAACAATATTTCTATACAAATAAAAATTAAAAATGATTTCTAATAACTTACTTCTGGACAAGGAGACCAATCTGACCAAGCACTGAGTACGCAGTCTCCGGGACAAGCTACAGTACATAAGTCTACACCATCCGGCCGAGTGGTCCAATCGCAGTATTCATCAGACATTTCAATACCAGTGTGAACGTGCATGCATCTATAAAAATGTTTTAATGTATAAAAGTAAACTAGCGCTAAAAAACCAGCATAGTAGGATTGGGGCATAGTAGAGATAGATCATATTAGAATCGGGGAAGTCACACATTTTCAGGAATTATTATAACTGAAAGTGATAAACGCTGCGATGTGCATCTGTAGATATTAGAAATAATAAATATTGATAAGTTCATTGATCGACTGTCTTTCCTAATGATTTGTTGTCGCTGTTACTAATAAGACAATCAACAGTATAATAGAAATGTTTTTCGGATACCTGTTAATTAAGTGCGATTTTTTCCTTCTTTTTTGCTTTTTCTTATTAAAAAGGATTTAATTATATATTTTTAAAGAAATCCTACACATTATAGCGGTATTACAGGTCTAATTTCGAACTCGTTTTCAGACCCCAAGTGACAGAACTATGCCCAAAAGTTGAAACAAAGAAAAAGTTTCTACTCTTACTAGAAGAAACGGGTTTTGATATTTTTTGGTTTGTCACATATATAAAATGTTCCATACAAATTCGGGATTAATTTCATTATTTCAAAAAAAGTTATAGCTCGCCATAACCTTAGTATAAATAACTATAAGTTTAGTAAAAATATGTAAATTTGTTGTGATTTTTTTCAATTTTAAAGAGAAATGAGTAAATTTTAATAAAGTACCTTACAGGTACGATTTCCGATCAATAGACTTGCTACATAAAAGTACTTTCTGATACATTGCGGGTCCAGACACAAAAATAAAACACTCAATTGTGAAAAAAAAACTTTTTTAGCTCCGCATAAAAACCAAAAAACATTGCTACACATTTTCGCTTGTATAATGTATTTTATAATATCAACACCTACCGCACGGTTCTAAACTTTTCTCCTTCTCCGCATCCTTTCTTTTTGTCTTTCTCCGGTAATTTACATTTGCTCCATGCTCCCGTGATCCATTGGAAACTGTTACAAGGATTATTACAAACTTTCGTTTGTACAGTTCCACCACAAGCTCTTCCGCCGCTGGTTGCATTACGTTCGATCTGCGTGAAATCGCAAAGACTTATAGTAACATATTCATAATTTAAAAAAAAATAACTGTTATTACTTTTCTGTAACGGTGATGGATGCCTGGTCCACATAGCGTACTGCACGTACCCCATTCACTCCAATCAGACATCTGACAATCTACTGAACACTGGACCAAACAGGGTTCTTCTTCTATGCCAGTGCTTCCTCCACATAATCTAAACGAGACATAAACGTTTACTAGGAATAAGAATAACTAATATTATTTATTGTTAATAATTTACGCTGGATCGACGAGATGATTGTCTATGTCGTAACATCCCAAAGCCCTGTATCGCATTCCAGTACCGCATCCATTGGTTTCGCTGGTCAAGCAAAGAGACCACTCGGAAGTAGGTTCTGAGAAATACTCCGAGCACGGGCATTGGGCGGTTTCTACCAGTTTGATTTCATTACAAACTGGGTGCGACATAGAGTCTCCGATAAGTTCTCGAGTCCGTGTTCGTAAACCGGAACACGGTTGTGGACATGATGACCATTGTGACCATTCAGTCACCTGACATGGAGTTTGACAGTCTACGTGGCAACGTTCTACACTGGTCGGCGTTATGTTTTGGTACTGGAGACAGTGTTTCAGCTCGACATGAATAGGTGAGTCGTCTTTTGTGCACCAGAAATCTTTGAAAAATCAAACGTGGTCGTTAGATTTTCAAGTTTAGAATCATTTTTTAAATATATTATGTATCAGCCATAATTTCTGACAAAACAAACACTTAAAACGTGTACCTCGAGTCCTCAGTCCGTGGCCACAAGTTTCGCCTGCCGCCAGCTGGCAGTGAGACCATACGCCCAAAACCCAAAAATATTTTGGGCAGATTTTAGTCGGAACGATGCACGGTTCTTCTTGTAATACCGGTCCGCAAGTTTCACCTCCAAGGATAACACGACTGCGTTGCCTTTTGAACTTCTTCAAGTCCGTTTTTGCTGTTACAATATTATTGTTATTTATTATATGTTTAATTAAATCACGGACTTTAAAAATATACCGTACTTAATATTAAAACATAATTGAGTTAGAAAAATAATTAGAATACATTTAGGAATTATCGTATACGCCAGTAGTGTCTATATTTTGCCATCTTCAACCACTATGCAGTTACTTATTGTTCCTTAAAATAACTTATTGTAGTTTATGTTCTTAACTTATAATTACCAATTTAATACCCAATTTCTTAAAAAACCAGGAGTTATTGCTTAATGATTTAAGGGTGGAATTATTTTAAATAATAATTTATATGAATTACCACTTATGCAACCATCTTGAGGACATTCTGACCATTCACTCCAATCTGACAGAGCACATAACTTAGTTTCGCAATCCCTATAACATTCTCTGATGGTTACTGGTTTTAGTAATTCGTGACAACTAAAAAGATAATCAAGATATTGTTAATAATGTGATTTGTATTATAATTTAAAGGGTTAATCTTACTTTTCGTCGTCGACGTGCTGGTCGTTTCCTTTTATACACCAAACTTCTCTTGTTTCTACTCCCTTGCCACACGTTCCGTTACACTCTGTCCAAGGTAGTACTAACCAGCTATATCCATAACAACTATGCATATTACAGTTCTCAGATTGTACCATATCTTCTTTGGATGGACAAGGGCGACCAGTGGGACCTGGTGGTCCAATGACTGTGCGGTTTCTGTATCTGACCCCCATGTCGAAATTAATTGAACATCCCATGGAACAATCACTCCATTCAGACCACCCGGAAACGACACAGTCTTCTGGGCATGGAACTAAACACGGTTCTGATGCAGCTGGCTGAAGTTCTTCACATAATGAATTGTCAACGACTTCCTAAATTCAAGAAAAAAAAATTGTAACTTTGAGCTTTTCAGTTTTCGGATAGAGTGCAGTCTTGACCGGCATATTTTCTACGAACCTTCTCGTGTGTAGTGCAGTACACCAATCGACTTCTTTGGCCGGTACCACATTTATCACTAGGATCATCAAGCATACAACTACCCCATTGGTCATAATCCCAAATATAACATTGTGGTGTTTGACAGGGTTGTACTTCGTTGACACTAGGGCATGGCACACCGAATTCACTGGGTGGAATCAACACGGGTCGTGATCGTTTCCTGTATCCATTTTCCATGCCTAAAAGCAATATTTTATTTTTATTTTATTTGTGTAAATATTATAACTCAATCTAAGATATCTTACGGTCTTCCGGTTCATCGTCTATGTCAGATGGACATCTTGCTGGCATACATGCGCTCCACTCACTCCACCGACCAACTTGACAGTCTCTCGGACAAGGTATTTCACATCTGTGAAAAAAACAATTGTATTCTAGTTATAATATAGAAAATATTTTCTATGCATTACCTTTGAATAGTGGGCGGTGTGTCCAAAATTCTGCAAATCGAAGAGTCCATGATTTTTCCTGTCAGAGTTTCCATACAAGTGATATTTCGATATTGAAGACCACCACCGCATTGAACAGTTTCATTATTGATCGGTTGTGAGCATTTAGTCCAACTTGATATTAACCACTTGAATCTGTAAAACCATTTGTTGTTGCTTTAGATTTTACCCTCGTCTACTATATTTTGTTATTGAATACACACAATAATTGCGTTTAAATTGTCTTACCTGTCCGTGCATAGCGGTAGATTTTCATTAGTGCTTCTCGATTCGACTAGATGAGGACACGGTGAACCTTGGCCTTCGTGAAGACGGAGAATTTGTCGTTTTCTGACTGCTATTTCTGATCTTGTCTACATAATGGTAAACACATTCCATTAGATAACGCCATGTCCTTAGTATTCTATTAAAATATAAAATCATACTTTTCCGCTGGTATTAATGCATCCACCTTGTGTGACCTCCCAGTCAGACCAGTCACTAACAACGCAATCTTGAGCAATTATGCATGCTCTCGTATTAGCTGGTAGTGGTTTGTCTTCGCAAAAGCTAAGCGAAACAAGAACTCCAGATTCGTCGAAACAGCTCATGGTCCGTTTTTGAGTGCCCACTTGGGGCCAATGCTTGTAGAATGTGTCAGCGTGTGACCCAGAGTTCATTATACCGTCTGTATCGCCCACAACGTGCTCGGAGAAGGGCATGCACTGTTGCCATTGGTTGACTTTCAATTGGTATCCTTTAGAGATATTGGTAGTACACGATTGATCATTAGGCTTGCATGATCGTGATTCAGTCAACTAATAATAATAATAAAATATATTTTAAAATCAATTAGTCTTCTGCCGAAGTGAAAACTGTATTACCGCAGTTTTAAATACTATATGATATTTAATAATAATAATTATATATACTATTTTTTAAGTAGCTTCCAAAACAATGTTATAAATTATTTAAAGGAAATCTTAGAAATGTATTCAATCGTACAAAGCATCCTAAAAATACCCCAAGTTGGTTTCTTCATTCAACTTCAGAGGCAATATAAAATTTAAATAATTACTAAATGTACTAGAAAAATTCTAATTTAGTTGGCAAAATCCGAAAAACAAAAAAAATGTTTATGGTTCCACTTGAATGAACAATAGTAAAGTACCTTTCTCTTACGAGGGATGAGCAATGGCTCTGTATGGCCTACCAAAGCTTAAAAAAAAATTAATTTAAATATAACTGTTTTCGAATTTTTATGGGATATTATGTAATAAAATTTGTATGAGTTCTCCTCCGCAGTATATCAATTATATTAATAATGTATTTAATTTCTATTGATAGTATGTAATTATGATAGCATTTTCTTATGTGGAATTTTATACAAACGATATTTGTCAGTGATTTAATGTTTTAATACATCGATGACTAAGAGGCCAAAAGTTGTAAGTCCAGTTTTTCTCGAAATCATTTTGTAAGTATATTGCGTTAATCTTTTCCAATAGACCTATAAATATTATAAGTAAAAACCAACAGTGAATGTGTTTTTTTTATACTCTAATTGTTGTGTTTTTAGCGCGAGATGGGACTTTTAGTGTACGTATAATATATAACAGTTCCTAAATTAATGGGACTTACAATAAATATTTTACCGTGACCTAAATATTAAACGGACAAATATAACAAGTCCGGAATTTTTATTCTCGTCAAAAACTTGAAAAACTGCTCTTATGTAAATGTAAAGTGTTTGGGACTCAATTTTGGCATTATAACTGCCGATATTAGCTGTGATGTTAACTTTAAATGTTTAAAACCTTTTGCTTAAATACGGCTTAGTGTCTTTAGTAGCTATATAAAAAAAATATTATTTTTACGAATACGTAAATATTTTATTGTTATTCGCCGCAACACGAACGCGTCGGTTCGTGCAAATATTATTATTTTCCGGATAGGTAATCAATACAAATTGTACAACAAATGTCCATGCGCGACGAATTCGAAGAACTGTGCTTGTGGTACGGCACAGCTTTCGGATACAACATTTCCCACCGTTTCCCACCGTGATTCATCGTCAAGTAAAAAAAAAAAAGATTTATAAAAATATTTATTCCAAAATCGGTTCCACGCGATTAGTGTAATCGATGATTGCGTGCTTTATTCGGATTTTAGGTCATACGACGAAAATTATAAAACGTTTTAAAAAAAATACATACTATTTAATCCCCTCTCCCTCCACCTCGCATCGGTCCAATCAAATGAATTTCCCAATGCGTTTATTGGGAGGTACGGCTTAAATGGAATAAGCTATACTAAATATTATAATTTATAGATCTACAATCTATGAATACATGCATATTAAGGTGATCCTTTAATGAGATATTCGGCTCATTCGACTCCAAAGGTTGAAAAAATATTTCTCTTATTTTCCCAAATTATTATTTCATCCTCCGAGTCTCCCTGTTCGCACATCGAGTTTTTATTCACAATAGGAAAATATACGAATTCGTATAAGTTTATTAATTGAGTGTCCTACTAGAAATCCCACACGCATCTAATATCGAATATTCGACAAGTATATATTACTTGGTTTAGCATCACATTATAATACTGGTAGTAAGCTTGATTTGGAACTTGTATAAAATGTTATGTTTTTCTTTATAATTATAAATTTAAAGTGCAAACTGGGAGACTCGGGGGATGAAATAAAAGTCCGATTGAGATAGTGGATGAAAAAAACAATATAAGGGCCCTAATGTACATACATATATTATACTATAAATATAAACAAGTATTACATAGTAATATATAGGATACGTACAGGTGGACATTTAGCTCCTTCATTTTTCTGCTCGACCACGACACTCCTTATTCTGCGTTGTGTTCCTCCGCAGCAAGCAGTCCAGTTTGTAAACTCGGTCACTACGCAATCTTGGTTTGGTTCGAGCGAGCAAACTTCCACAGGCGGTGTGCCGGGTGATAAGTTTTGGCAGCTAGTGTCTTCTATTTCAATCGGCTCCTAAAAACGTTTTCATTCGTTAACGGGAAACATAACTTAACGTATAGTAAATAGGTCACTCGTTTTTTTTGTAGACGTTATAAAGTAAGACAGTATATTTCCTTCACTCACTTCGAGTTTAACTCCATCGTGGATTACCATAACGCATGAAATTTTCCTTCTCCGTATACCTTGGTTTTCGTCCAGCCCAGTGTCGTCGGACTTGGTGCACGGTTCCCACTCGCCAATCCTCCATTCTACCGCATCTAAATAGTTCAACACAAACCAATGCGATTTGACGGAAAACGTTTCTCGATAATAATTATTATACTGAGTTTTCGAAAAATCGTTTTCGTACCAGCGTTCCAAAGAAAGTTTTGCGTGATCTCGTTGGACGACGGCGGTGGCAATCCACACTGTGACCACTTTACTTGCGCCAAAATCAACGGAACGATCAGCCCAAGACTGAGCGATATCATCTTACGCGATACCGCGTCCATATTCGGACGGCGTTTAATAGGACGATTATTTTTTCACACAATTTAATGGACGGCGTTGTCGTTCATCTAACAACGCAAAAAGAAAACAAATTGGTGAGAACAAAAAAAAAAAAAAAAATGTTACACATCCCATGGACGGGACGACGCAGCAGAAATTTTATGCGCAGAAAAATATTCAACTCCGGTTGAGTTCGGGTATTCCCCGATCCTACTCTATACGGACATAATATAATATATACAGGTGTCGGTGTTATGTAACTCAAATTGGGAATCAAAAAGGAAAAATCGCGGCGCACTTACCTGTACAATAAACGGAGAAGCATCGTTACGGAGACTGCGATTCGCGTACACGGTCAAGTCACAGTCGCAAACGACTACGGGGCACGGCTGGAAAACACCTAGATAGAACGGTAGGCAATCGATTTGCGGGGGGTTGGGGAGGGGAGGGTCAGGGAGCGAACGGTTTCCGTTGCCGGGGAAACGCTTTTGCTTCGGCTTTTGCGACTGCGTTTGTCCCTTTGTGTTTGTGTGCAGAACGGTGTCCCTTCCACTGCCTTCCCCTGCCTTCTCCTGCCTTCCCCTGATGTGTCCTGCCTTCCCCTGCTCTCTCCCTCCCACCGTCGTTCCTCGACCCGGTGTTCCGCAGTTGCCAGACTCGATAATCCATTTGAGAGCTTTGTTACCGAGTAATTAAAACAGCGCCATAACAGGTCATTAAACAACTTTTGTTTTTGTACGGGATTACAGGGAGATTTTCATTATTATTACCTATCCATGACGTGTTGATGTCACGTCAAAATTACGATATCTGTACTACGGGGCCGATATCGTGGGCGCTTTGTAGCTATTGTATATGCACGGCCGTTAGGGCAAATTAGGTCGCTACCTCTGTAACGCAGATACTATTATAATAGGCTATTGTCGTTAACGAGTTACTGGTGATGTAAATAAGACATTTTTATTTGAAGAATTTACAGAGCTTATAGTTAATCACATAATATTTTGGTTTTCAATAGAGAAACACCAACTAGGTCAATCCCTCGTAGTAATTGTGCCGCTACAATATTATTACTTTTACATGAGTTAGACAAACTGTTATCGTAATCAACAACTCGATTTTTAGGGTTTACATACAAACAAAACACAATTTATTGGTTTCAGAACCAAGTGGGTTTAATTTTGTTTAACGACATACCCTACCTAATAACGATTAAAGCGGTCAAAATATGGGTCTTTAAGTATATTTTAGTTGTATATATCAACTGTATTTATAGTTACTTTAACAACGAAAATATCAAAATACACATCTTATTAATTCCCGACAGTGTGTTGTAGCGCTCACTGTGGCTGATTCGACACTTACTTGAAGGATGGTCAAGCGGCTGTCTTAAGAAACATGGCAGAAACGTATATGGTGTTTTGAAGTTCTATCAAATAGGCGCAAGCCACACGAAAATAAAAATAGTACTATGTAACAGTCTTAGTTAATCGTTGTTGTATTTTAAATACATAATCTAATACTTAGAGACAAAAGTGTCTAGAATTGTTGTTTTGTAACAAACCTCTTGAAATATTTTGCAAGGATAGTTTAGTTACAAGGAGTTGTGAGCGGAAGGGGATGCATTTTGTAAATGATGCATGCAATATAAGTTAAAATTAAAAATAAATGGGTACTGCAAATGCAATACTATCGGCAATGGTAATATTATGAATAAAGCAAACTATGAATTAATTACTTAAAATGTACTAATGTTAATAAACGTAAAAACTAATAAAACAATCTTATAGCACGAAAACTACAATATTACTAAATCTAAAACTATGTACAATACTGACTCACGAAAAGGGACCTTGGCATGCGATGGAGTTGTCGAATGAAGCCTTGGCGATGATGATGCCAGCAAGTTTTTGTACGGTGGCGCTAAGTTAAAAAATTAATAACAAAAATACACCGAAAGCTTGAAGTGCATCAGCGATGAGCAGCGGTAATAATGCGAGAATTAGACATTGCGGCAAAAAATAATAATAACAAAATCAACTGTTCATTGTAAGATCAACTGTTTGAGCTGACTTATCAACGACCGAACGCTATTGAGACGATGGTGCGTAAACTCAATAATTGTATCGAATAATAAAAGTTGAGGTCGCTACCTATCCATTTATTAAGGAGTAAAGTATAGGCAATGTTCACACAATTTTAATTTATAGCTTAAAGTATAGTGTATACTCATTAATACTGTAATAAGAATTCTTTATTGGATGTATTTTTTTTTTGTCTTACTGTCACAGTAATTCCTATAGACAAAATTACAATTATTTCCTATCAAAATAGATTTGCGCGAATCAAAATCAAAGTGTCTTGGGAGACGGAAGTGTTGTAAGCTCATCAAATTTTCACATTAACTATAAAAAAAACATTATCTGTGATCAATGTTTATAAACAATTTGCGTTAAAATGATGACTTAGTGACTCAACTTAAACAACCAACAAGCAATTACGTTTAGAATACTACTTGTTTAGGTGTCTTAATTTATTATTTTAAAAATGGGTTCTAAGAATAGTATTTAGTTATTATTATAAGAAATGCTATGAACATTGAAAACATCAATGTATATTTTTATCTTAAAAAATAAATAATGCTGTTATATATGTATAAAATATAAATACTATTTGTACTTATTTACATGCGACTAAAATACTCAGTAAACTTTCCATATTTAGTTTGTGTCAGACTTTACAATAGTCATAACTAGATAGCGCTACAGTTATAAACGTGTAAAGAATACACGCTAGCTGTTAATAATTTGGTACGTGGTAAAATTGTATAATGTTTAAACAAGTATTACATAAATGGTATTTATTATGGAATTCGGTAACAAAAGTATATTACCACCTGGTGTTTTAAATGGTTGTAATCTTTTTTGAAACGTTAGCAGTTAAATTTGATACTTAACAAATATTCTTTTTCATCTCTCTCGCCTTTATTCCAAGTATAAAGGTGTTGGCAACCCTTGTCCAAAACTTCCACTCGACACGATCTCCCACAACATATTCGCGTACACCAGAAGTCCTCATATCATTCTCAATCGCATCCAACCTACTTTTTTTCTATCTTCCTCTTACCCTCTTTCCTTCCACGTTTATTTTCATCGACATTTGTACTGCTTCCGATTCCTCCTCCTCATAATATGCCAAACCACCTCTGTCTATTTTCTCTCCATTTGATCCAACTGCACTTAATCCTATTTACAAAGTAAATTTTGTTGGAATTGTTGTTACGCGCTCGCTCATAATGTTATGTTGGCCGTTAACTTTTACCGCAAAAAAAGCTCATCGAATTTGTGTAGCGGCCGATGGTAGTAGGTATATATTATTTTACCTAAACTTACATCATGTCATAATAATTGCGAATAGCGAAACGCGCAACCATTAGCTGTTGATGTACACTAATTAAGACAAATCACTCAGTGTATTGCAATTATTGTTACGACGACCGTTTGTCCGAGAGGGCGTTTCGTTTGTGAAGCTGTTGAAAACGCGAGCTTTTGGATTTGAAAAAAACAATTTAGTATTCTCGACTCGACTCTGCTCTCTCAGACTTTCAACCAGAACCCCCTGCAACACCAACTGTATTCCCCCCCCTCCCCCAGCTAGTTGCATCTTACACACTTTTCCTCCGGTCCATAAATTTCGTTCGTATTAATTAAACGTCGACCCGAAAATTCTCGGGAAAACGCCGTTGGCGTGGAAATACATTGCCGAAAGAATTCTCTTATTATATTTGACTCCGGTTTTCATCCCTCAGGAATGCGGCGGCCGCTGTGCAATGGCGTTGACGGTATGTGTGTGTGTTCACCGCGACGTTATTACGAATGTAGAAATTTGTAAAGGGGATAACGGCGGTCGGTATAAACTGTTGGAGGAGGTCGAGAAAATACCAAAAAAAAAAAAAAAAACCTGGTAAAAAACAAGACGAAAAGTTTAATGAAATATCGCGGAAGTTTTTGTGATATTTTTATATTGCTTTCTTAAAAGATTACAAAACATGTTTCACGGTGTAAATTTATTACGATGGATTCTTGAATGCTCGCCGCGTACACTCATTGAAAAGATTCAGTCTTCGTTGTAATCATGGGAATTTGGTGTTGTTAAATGTTTAACAGAATTTTAAAACATTTTTAATATGAAACGGCGGCATCGGTTCAATGGTTAACTGTTTGAACGTTACGATTGCTGTTGATTGGTGCGGAATTCGTTTGATTCATGCATCACACACATTTTTTTTTAAATTTGTTTTTTATCAAACTGGCAATCGAAAATACCAGAAGGTTCAAAGAGAATAACATTTGCTTACGATTATAATAAAAAAAAAAAACAGAGTAATAGTTTAATACAAAACGCCTTTGTCCCGTTAACAATCAGTCACCACATAAATGAATATACATAAAATAACTATATGAAGTGGTAAGTACATATTATTTATCGTTTATGATGATTATGCAACTAAACACAATGGATGTCAAACATATTTTGAAGTTTAAAGTTAAGAAAAATACAAATATTCTCTTTAAGCTCGAGACAAACGATACATGCAGTTATCTCCATGTCAAAAATAATAACCAACAACTTTCGGTAGGCAATAAATTATTAGATAATTATATTTAATGAATTTATGTTAATGACGTGTCTTTAACATGAATTCACTATTATATATATTACTTCTATATACTTGGTACTTTACATATTAGATATATTATATACTATACAATATAATACATCCTTAGGCAGTATCTAAATTAAATTAGCTGTTTCAAAGTTTGTGTTCATCAAAAGTTAATAGAACTTTGAAGCTTGAGGGCATTTGGTAAAAGTTTAAGTGTTTCCTACTTAAGGCCATAAGGGAAATGAATAAAACTTAGCTATTACTTATTAGTAGTAATGATATTTTAGGAAAAAGACCTTATGATAAGTTCCAAGTGTAAGCGTTTTTGAAGAAAAACTAGGTTAAATAATTTAAGTAAAATTAGTAGAAGATATACGATACGCACAAAGTAGTGAGTATGAATGTTAAGGATATTTGTAGGACTTATACGGAAAAATTATTGTCAACTCCCAAAATGTATACCGCATAATACCTACATAATATATAAATGTCAACTAAAATAATGTCCCTTTTTTTAATCGTCTACCATTTTTATTTTCTAATGTTTAATGGACTACGATTCTAAATGTTTATAAGTGCTATTTTAATTCACAACTTAAAACAAATATTTTTAAATATGTTATTATTGTATCTTATACATAACTAATGTACTATTAACGTTTTAGTTAACGATAAAATAATGTTTCAGTTTTCGTAATCATTTTACACATTTATACATTGTAAAGC